AACGTACTTTGCTCACAGGGCAGTCGAGCACACTGCAAAGGTGCTAGCGAGACCCCAGTCACCTAGCGCTTGAATTTGTGGAGCAAAGCTATTTGTGCCCGGTAGCTCAGAGTAAGTGTAACAGCAAGAAGCAAATATTTTCCCTCTGAAAGTTGACCATAATTTGCATCTAAGCATTCAAATTAGCATATTGTAGAATTGTAGAGTTGGAAGGGATCCCAAGGATCATTTAGTACAAGCCCCTGTTCAGGGACATATCAGAGGAGTAATAGGTGGGGCAGACATACTCTCAGAAGCAGCACTGAGGAGACTCCTGGGCTCAGGTGCTTTTCAAGATACAGTGATACCTCGGATTAAGAACTTAATTCGTTCTGGAGGTCCGTTCTTAACCTGAAACTGATCTTAACCTGAGGTACCACTTTAGCTAATAGGGCCTCCCGCTGCTGCTGCGCCGCTGCAGCGTGATTTCTGTTCTCATCCTGAAGCAAAGTTCATAACCTGAGGTACTATTTCTGGGTTAGCGGAGTCTGAAACCTGAAGCATCTCTAAACTGAAGCGTCTGTAACCCGAGGTACCACTGTATCTGCACAAACCATGAGAGACCCTACATAGCTGAGGACGAAAATAGACCTACATGTATAGCATACATAAATGTTGCCCTAAAGGAATGGAAATGAGGAATATTATTAGATGATTGTGTATTAATAATATGTACATTCATCTTTTGGCTGGATTCTTTTGGCTGTCCTGAAAGGAAATGCCTCTTGGGGTCTCAGCAAGGAAAACGGCTAAATATTTTGCTTGATGATTTCATCACAGGAGTCTTCTTTAGGAAACGCCACTTCCTGCTGAACAGAGGATATATTGTTCTCAAGAGACCTTTAATATGGGACCCAGCTCAGTCTCATAATGTCAGACAAAGAAGAAGCTGTGGTAAGTCTCTGATATTTCTTTTATTATTTCTTTTATTTATATCCTGCCTTTTGGCCCATGGAGACCGGAACAGGTTGGAAATATCTCAAGAAACATAGATTCAGATTTTCTGCAAATATACTAAAATAAATGACTTAATCTCCCTTGAATATTACAATTGTCATGGGGTTTTTCAAGAAGACACACAGGGAAAATGTTATATTAGCCTTTTTGTGCCTCATTGACAGCATTTTAACACTTGATGATACTGATGCAAACCACTGTGATACATTTTATGATCAACAATAAACAAATAATTATAAAGAAAATAAAATGAATAGTTGGTGAATCTTCTCCAAAACAGTGGTAATTGTAGTTTGGAAAGATGCCAACTTTCTGTCAGAAATCCTTCAGAAGTAAGAACCGCTGAGTTCAATGTGGCTTACTCCCAAGTAGCTGACTACAGGACTCTTGTCCTCACAGTCCCTTAACCCAGTTTAAGCCTAGATTTGTCCATAGTAGAGGTGAAAATAAACCTGCTATCTCTGCTGTCCAGAATATGTAGTTGACTTATCTATTTTAAGGCTCATATTCTTCTGTATACTTTTAAATCTGGCCACTTGGCAGCCATATTTGTCTCTCGTTGTGGTCTGCTTCATGCAATGTGCTACTATGTTTATTTTTCATTGAGTTTCTCCAAACCATTCTTCCTGAGGCTGCAGATGCTGCTGTCTACAAATACCTTCACACTTGAATATTGGCCAAGATGGCTGGAGCTGATGGGAGTTGTAGTCCAAAGTATCTAGAAGAGGCCATATTGGGAAAGGCTGTTCTAAACAAATCATGGTAATCCTTGTAAGAACAGACTTGCTAGCTCAAAGCAAATTATTCAACCATATTGCTCCTTTTCCAAGCCAGATGCTCACAGTGGTGCTCACTGAACGAGTGGTCGTTCCGTGAGTTTTTCGTCTTGCGATTTTTCTCTTTGCGAAAACGCAGTGTCAGCTTTGGAAAAGCTTCAAAGTCTTCAAAAACCTCAAGGGTGGGAGAAGGGAGGAAGGCAGGCATGAGAGGCAGGGCGGGGTGCTGCCTGGTGCCCCGGGATCAGTTCGGCTCGCCTCCGGCCGCGCACAGTCGGCGCCGTCTTGCTGCTTAGCGCTTGCTGTCGCCGCGCGCAATCAAACTCCTGCTGGCAGTGTCGCAGTGCCAAATCCTTGCGGCAGCCCGAAGAAAGCGGGCGCCAGCCAGCCAGCCGCCGCCGCCATGAGCAGAAGAACGTCGGCGCGGCGTGGTGCCTATTGCCTGTTGCTGCTGCGGCGCCGGCAGCCAGCCAGAAGCGACCCGTTGGAAGGCGGGCATCCCAGGCTGTTGCGCCTTCCGCGCTGCCCAAAGAGACGACTCCTGCTGCTGCGCTGCGCCCGGGCGGCGGGAGGTGCACGCTCCTTGCCTGCTACCAGGCTGGCCGTAGGCGTCGCCCAGGTGGAAGCCGGAAGCAGCTGCGGGGTGCTGGGGGGGCTGATCGAAGGCAGACGGCTCCCTAACGGTTGGGGAGTGTGCGCCGCTATTTTCGCCGAACTCCTCTCCCTCAGAACCGTCGTTCTTGCCCCTGCGGAAGACGCACACCGCGACATGTTGCTCCTCGAGGAAAATCAAGTCTGGCTATTAACGGTTTTAGAAAGGAAACAAACTGCAAGAGATTTCCGTCTTTGAGAAGCACAAGCTTGTGTCTTGAAAACAGCTCAAAGGCAGAGAAGACCCTTTCGTATCTTGCGAAGTTTTCAAATCTTGCAGGCATTCATCTTGCGAAGGCCTACACTGTAGTGAAAATCTGAGCTAAACGGAAGTGTTTAATCTGCTAAATCTGTCATGTAAAAGCCCATTGTGGAGTTCTAGTAAACCCTTTCACCCCCATTTGTTACTGAGCATACAATGCAGGCAAAATATGATAGTTTCATTGCTAGGTAGTACTGCATTTGCAAATCCTCATCTCTTCTAATTAGAACCAAGCTTTGCTAAACATGAGTTGCTTAATTTCTCAGATCTCTTGGCAAGAACCTAGCTTCTTTACAAGCAACATAAGGGAGAAGTGTTTGCATTCAAATTTGAAATCTGAGAGTGATAATAAATTGTATTCAACCTTAGAGTGTGGGGATAAGCTTTTAAATATGGAACTGTTTTAAACTTTAGCATACATTTGGAATATAATCAAAACAAATCTAAAATAGGAACATAGCTTTCCTGGTTTTCTTGATATTGTTTTCATAATAGTAGCAGGGACACCCCTTCAAAAAAGGGGGAATCTGTGGCTCAACCAACACTGCATCACTACAGTAAGATCTTGTAGCCTTTCCAACCAGTTTTCCTTCCACCCACTCAGCTTGCACCTCACAGGGGTGGGTGGCACTGTGATAGCAGAACTTTCGAGACTGAATTCTCCTTCGTTTATCCGTTTATCCATTCAATTTTGAAAGAAATTTAGTACCATCCTATGATACTGTTAAGTTTTAGGTGTGGTTATGTGACTATCTGCTGCTAAATCATTTTTATTATTTTTATATTTTGCGATTAACTTTATTTTTCATTTATTTCAACCATTTATATACTGCTTAATTACAATTACATCCAGTTCAACAAATACACATTTGTTATATTTGTATAAGAACTAATTTAATGCTGCGTCATTGCTCATACACTGGCCTGGGATCCTATGGAATGAACGGCAGTCTAAAAAATTAATGCATCTTCTTTTCTTAGAAAGTGATATCCAGATTTGTTCTCCTTCTTCTTCTTCTTCTTCTTCTTCTTCTTCTTCTTCTTCTTCCTCTTCCTCTTCCTCTTCCTCCTCTTCTTCTCTCTCTTGGCTGTGTACACTTTGTACTTTTAAATCACATTCAAAACACATTATTTGCTTCAAAGAATTCTGGACAATATAGTTTGTTCAGGGTTGCTGGGAACTATAACTATGTGAAGAGTGAACTACAGTGCCTTTAATTCTTTGAGGGAAAGAATACATTTAGAATGTGCTTCATGGCTGCACACAGCTCAGATAGATCTCTGGTGGGTGGGTGAGAGAGAGAGAGAGAGAGAGAGAGAGAGAGAGAGAGAGAGAACAGTCTTTGCTTAAAGTTAAAGTTTATATATAGAAATTCAGTGGCAGCTATTTTAATTTCTTTTTCAGAAAAATTACATTGCTCTTTTAAAGCCATTTTTCCATTAACCTTGCCTGATATATATAAATATATACTCAGTGGCCAACTCACCCATTTCAAAATGACTATAACATTTCCTCCTTTAAAAGTTAGGAAAACCTGACACGCACTATCACTTCTTTGAGAACACATTCTTCTCACCTTCACTCATGTGCTCTAAGCAACAGACAGTAAAATCATTACTTTTAAGACATATGGGAATGGGACAAAAGTCACCCTTTCCTTATACCTTAGTACTCTTATGAATGCCTGGGGCCTTCAAAAGGAACAAAATGTGCAATAGACCCCCACAACTATATTTATGGTGCAATCTTACATGTGTTGAGTCAGAAATAATTCTGTGTTCAATGAGGCTTAGTTCAACCCCCTGCAATGCAGGAATTGCAACTATAGCATCCATGACAGACGGCCATCCAACCTCTGCTTAAAAATTTCCAGTGAAAGAGAATGCCAACAATACTGAGCTAGATGAAGCAATGGTCGCTCCTCTGCTGAAGAAAAATCTTCTTATCCACTCGCTACACCCACTTGCTCTTTTAAGAGTCCTGCTGGCAGAAAAAGGTATTGGCAGAGGGACAGGGTAGGGGTGCAGCGATTGCAGCTTCTCACAGAGTGCCTGGTGTTTAAAGGGATAGCCAGGATAGCTCTGTGAGGACTAGCCACCCTACTTTTGCCTTTGCCTCCATGAGAAGCTCTATGTAGGAGGGGAGGTGCTGGTTGATGGTTGGGAGGGAGGAAATCACTTCTATGAGCCATGTTCAACTAATAAAAATTCAGTAAAGCTTAGGAGTTCTCATAGAAAGACAGAAGAGCAATAGTAGCTTTTCAAGTTCAGTCAGATCAGTTGTTTTGTATTCAGTCCCCATCCAAGTATAGTGAGGGGACGACATAATATGGATACAGCAGAAGCAAATTAATTGTATAATAAATCCTCTTGGTGCTAATGGCTCTGGTGTTTTTGGTGTTCTGAAGTGTGATGTTACTAATCAAGAGAGCAGTGTAACAAGAAAGATAATGTTGACATTACTCATAACAATATTCTAGGGTAGTGACATCAGAAGCCTCTAATTCCTTTATTGGCTTTACCAATGTTTTCAGCTGGGGGAAAACATACCGAATGGATCACACGCTCACCACATCTGTCGAATGCTGATTGTTTGTCCTGCTATTATGCTTATTACTCAAAATTTATTGCATTTTGTCTGATCTTGAGTCCTGTGGAACAGATGCTACATTAACTTTTTATTTTGGGCAGAAACTTCTACATGCCTCATTCTTTTAAAAGAACATTTATTGGGTGGATATTATAGACATTAAAGTGTTTGCAGAGAACTCTTCAGTGATCTCTTCTCAATTAAGTGTCACTGATGAAATCACGTTCCGATGGATGCGTCTCACCAGAGAGATGAAGTTAAATATAGTAAGATCCAGAAAATGGTTATACAGATTATAATTGGCAAGCCACAGTGATGATCAATGGTGCAAACAGAAAAGACAAAGGAAGAGACAAGAAAAGGGCTGGAAATTATTACCAGTATTACCATATTAGAGGTGTATGAACAGAGGAAGCTGCTTTATATTGGGACATTAGTCCCAGCTCTGTTTTGGTATTATGTATGCTGACTGACAGGGCCTGGCCAGGATTTCAGACTGAAGCCACTATCAGCTCTACCTAGAAGTGCTGGGGATTGAACCTGGAATCATATGTATGCAAAGCAGATGCTCTTCCACTGACCAATGGCTTTCCCCCCAGTAATACTAGGCAGAGCTATCATCAGCTGTCAGCATGATTGGGCTTCTGCCAAAGCCCATGATTCAAACAAGGCAGAGGCGCCAGCTTGCAAGGGTGATTGCGGGGGAGGCCAATGTCGCATGTGTGACATCACACACAAGTGGACGACCTGACAACTGGTGCGTGATATCAGGACATCAGGAGGAATCAGGGGCAGAGCTGAAAACAGCAGCCATGCAGCTTCAGTGACCAGTGGCTCCTCCTCTGCCTCCTGGCGCCACCACCAGTGGGAGGCTGCTTCAACCCTCCTTTCCCTCCATGGCAGGAGGAGGAGAAGGAGCAGGCCACTGGAGCCATGCCTCACTGGGCTCTGGGCATTGGGGCATTGGGGGGCCCAGCCTCTACCCCAAAAATATTGAGGGGGCAGAAAAGGGCTCGGCTCCCAGGAGCTGATGCCTCTGATACAAGGACTCTGCGTGGATGTTGTTGTTGTTTAGTTGTTTAGTTGTGTCCGACTCTTTGTGACCCCGTGGACCAGAGCACGCCAGGCTCTATCTTCCACTGCCTCGCACAGTTTGGTCAAACTCATGTTAGTAGCTTCAAGAACACTGTCCAACCATCTCGTCCTCTGTCGTCCCCTTCTCCCTGTGCCTTCAATCTTTCCCAACATCAGGGTCTTTTCCAGGGAGTCTTCTCTTCTCATGAGGTGGCCAAAGTATTGGAGTCTCAGCTTCAGGATCTGTCCTTCCAGTGAGCACTCAGGGCTGATTTCCTTAAGAATGGATAGGTTTGATCTTCTTGCAGTCCATGGGACTCTCAAGAGTCTCCTCCAGCACCATAATTCAAAAGCATCAATTCTTCGGCGATCAGCATGGATGAGGCTACTGCAATTCAATCGAGAGAAAGTAGACATAATTGTGAACTATGACTGGCAGGCCGGGTGATATGCAGGAGGTGGAGAGATCTATTTGCCTTGTTGGGCTGCAGATGGTCACAGAGTTGGAAATGTTTATCTAATCTATCTATCTATCATCTAACTACAGTGGTACCTCGGCTTAAGTACTTAATTTGTTCCAGAGGTCCGTTCTTAACCTGAAACTGTTCTTAACCTGAAGCACCACTTTAGCTAATGGGGCCTCCTGCTGCTGCCACGCCGCCGGAGCACAATTTCTGTTCTCATTCTGAAGCAAAGTACTTAACCTGAAGTACTATTTCTGGGTTAGCGGAGTCTGTAACCTGAAGCGTATGTAACCTGAAGCGTATGTAACCCGAGGTACCACTGTAACTAACTAACTAATTATCATCTCATCTATCTATCTATCTATCTATCTAGTTGCAGGGTACACCACGAACATGAAACATACTGGGCCTTTATTCAAATTCAAACAGTGATTCCTATTCACACGCCTTTAAACCTCCAGGCTCAAACCTTCTAAGAATGTCAGTAATAACCGTCATTGAACTCTTCCTGTCTCCACTGCTGCAAATGTCAGTGGGCCGATTTTAGCACTGCTAAAAGTGAACATAAGATTGCTAACCTATTTCAGGGAGATGTAAATGTTACTGAGATATTATAGGTGGAGCTCTAAAAATGCTAATTAAAATGGTTATTGTCTCTTAAAAGTACTTCAGTACTATTACATTTCTTTTCACGCAGAGGGCCAAACTTTGCACCAAGTAGCAGAAATATTTCACGATAGCCTGGCTGCTTCCTGTCTTCATCGCACATCAGCTCTGTCTCTGGTAGCTTTTTCAACACAAGCAAATTACTTGTATTGTTAGGAAGAGAAAGGAGCAGATGATGAGTTTATGGTACGTGAACTGAGTGTGCATTAACATTTGGAGCACTGCTACAGGGACACATTGAACAACTCATACAGTCATCAGAGAGCAGAACAGGATCCTGTGGAAGAAACTGGCTCATTTGACTAGAGCATGTGATTTTATCATCATTTCTTATCATTGCCAGAGCCATATAGGCAGTTCAGCTACATAGAAGAGCTGAAGAAAAAATGTAAAAACAACAGCAATTCTGTTTCTTTTCCAGACCCCGTAGGGGAAAATGCAGAAGAGATGTCCCTTAAAGATATTTGACCAAAAAGCATTTTATTTTAATTTGGAGTCCGAAGAGAAACCACAGAGCAGCTAATGGATGAAAAACTCACAGAAATAGATATCTTTGGCTAGAACATGAACTGGCCTGGCTAATGTTAAAACTTTTAACTACCTATATGGCTCTGGCAACACTAAGCAATGATTATAAAATCACACACTCTAACCGATGAGCCAGTTTCTTCCACAGATTCCTCTCCTGCCTCTCAGGATTGATTACTGTCTGATTTGTCCAGTGTTGTTGGAGGTATTTTGCTTTCTCCTGACACATCAAGCCTTCACCTAAACCAAATTTCAAGGTCTGTGATCCAGAGTTTTAGGAAAATGTGAGTCATGATCACATAGACTATAGGAGCTTCCAGAAGGACTGTTTATTCACACTATGTTCGAATGAAACTTGTGCTGATGTCACCTGTCTAAGAAGTATTCATCCTCATATGTTTCCACAGAGGTTATAGATAACATTGCCAGCTCTCCCACACTTTCCAGCACAATTTTTGATCACATTTCTTTTGGGACTTTTTGGGACCCAAATTTTCTATGAATAAACAGTCTATCTAAAAGTATTCTGTGTGTCATTCAGCTTGATAAGAGCATAAGAAAACTGGACCTGCTGGACCAAGCCTCCAGCTTAAGTGCTTATAGGACAGGCAGCAGGACATATTTACTGTCACCACTGAAAACCATTGCCTTTCAGATTATATGAATGCACTGAATATGGTTTGGTCTGTGCTGGCTGTTTCAGACATGCCAGCTCCCACTTAACACTGCCTCAAGTGAGTGGTGAACATGTATATATGAATTCACCTTCTGTCAGGGGCAATAAGAATAGGAAGCATTATGCTGGTGGGTTTCTAGGCCTGGATTTAACTAACTCAGTGCACTAGCAGAAGGTAGTACAAGCGCTCCTGCTAGTACATGTCTTCCCCCCTTTCCTTCCCCTGCACTCCCTGCTCCTCTCCCAGATCTGAATCCCTTTGGACTCGTGTGTGGGTAAACAACAAAAATAAATGGCAGGGTGCTTGGATTCAAAATGCAGGGCTTGCACAAAGAGAGCCTGAGTAGCAGAGTTTTAAACTCACAAAAGTTGAGCAGCAGTATAGCATGAGGAATATAGGTTGTTAAACCATTTTTATCTCATTCAGCTGCACACAGCAGCTGACCTCATTCTACCTCTCTTGCCATGAGCAGGCCACACACTGTTAAGTAAGTTTAAAATGCTTTACTTACAGTTTCAAGGTCTCAGACATACATTGTTCCATGCAGCAGCAAGGATAATACAGGCAAAATAGTACTGGGTAGAAAATACAGCAAAGTAGCTTCAAGCATGGGGGTAGAAAGGCATCACTTCCTCTCTGGAGGAGAGTGGGCATGACCTAACTGAGCCTATCTAGCAACACAGCTCTGTGGTCCTTAAGCCCTTCATGCACCAGCTAACAGTCATGCATAGTTATGTTTGACTGCAGTCTCTCAAAAGGACAGTGTGCAGGGTGAGGAAAGGGGGAATCGTTCCATCTGGCAAGCTGAAATGTTTGCACTGATAGAATGATCAGAAGAGCACAATGTTGAATTCCTCCCTTCAACTTTTATTCCCATGCTTTCTCCTGATGAAAGTCACAAATACACACATCAATGTTACTATTTGGGGAGTGGGGAGAGATGTATTGGTGACAACAGCAGTACCACACAAATCATAGCTTGGGGAAGGATTTTTGTCCAGAACATGATCCCAAACTTGATTCTCCCTTGTATGGCTTCTATTCATCACCATAATCCATGACCAAATACGAGGTTAGAATCATAGAATCATAGAGTTGGAAGAGACCACAAGGGCCATCGAGTCCAACCCCCTGCCAAGCAGGAAACACCACCAGAGCACTCCTGATATATGGTTGTCAAGCCTCTGCTTAAAGACCTCCAAAGAAGGAGACTCCACCACACTCCTTGGCAGCAAATTCCACTGTCGAACAGCTCTTACTGTCAGGAAGTTCTTCCTAATGTTTAGGTGGAATCTTCTTTCTTGTAGTTTGGATCCATTGCTCCGTGTCCGCTTCTCTGGAGCAGCAGAAAACAACCTTTCTCCCTCCTCTATGTGACATCCTTTTATATATTTGAACATGGCTATCATATCACCCCTTAACCTCCTCTTCTCCAGGCTAATCAGCCACAAAGAAACACACACACAAGCAAACCCTTTTTAAGGGTTTTAAGGGTTATGTTAACATAACATGTCCCTTGACTGGAAACTCCTGGCTCTCTGTTTCATGGTTGAGTGGCAGTACATCACTGGCCCATGTGGGATCCAGAGTTTACCATAGGTTGGAGCCTGAGAAGAAGCCATGTGGAAGGTGCTTCCCACACCACTGCCCGTCATGCATGTATCAGCCCCAGCATGCCGCCAAACAGGAAAGAGAGATAGCGAGATTGTGCTGGGCATTTCAGTGTTTTTTTGGAACAAGATAAGAGACTTTTCAGAGCCAAGCCCTGCTTGCTATTTCAGCTAACCATAATTGAGGGCAAGTCTGCCAGAGATACCAAAAGAAAAAAAAAGGGGGGGGTGGAGGTGGGGAAGAGACCCTTTTTAGTTCAAAGTTCTGAATCCCGTTTCAAGTGTTATCATTGAGTCATGTTCACACAGTTCCTGTAAGCCACCATCAAGCTTTCTTGGTGGGAGATGACAGAAAGATAGCCCTTTGTACTTTCCCTTTGAATAGCCTACTGATCTCTTTGTCAGTGGCTTGATTTTAGTGCTACAATGACCTCATATTTCTCATACTTTGAACTCTTGTTTTAAAGCTTAGCAATGCAAGTATGGTCATAGATCTCATGAGCATAGGGTGGAGTGTTTTATTGCTAATTGTTTGGATCTTGGCTTTTTTCACTTATATTGCTTTAAGGAAAGAAGGGGTCTGCCTGAAGCAATGTTGAATACAGGCAACACCACTGCCATTTACGCACATGCAATATGTGCGCAACTGGGCTTACGTGCATCACACTGAACCCAGAACTGAATTTAAAAATGGCCCTAAAAGAGCGCAAAAAGGTCAGAAAAGGCACAAAAACAGTGCCTAGCAATCCCATGAGCCTTTGCAATTGCAATCCCAAGAGCCCTTGTACTGACCATTGCTGTGGTGAGTTGGAGTTTATGGAAGGTGGTTGGGGGAACGTGACTGTGGTGGAGTTTGGCAGAGTGCCTCACTCTACTTAATAATAGGGCCAGCCCTGTGTCAGGGAATGTTATTTCCAACTGTCTTCAGTTTGGTGGAGTCTGAGGGCTTATCCACACTTCCTCTTGTCTGGTTGCTTTCCCCTGGGGAAAACAGCTCTTTAGCGCTCAATTGAAGCAAACAGCAATTTGGGTTGTCTGCGGATTGCCATTTGTTCCAATTTATCACTAAAGAGCAGGTTTTCCCTGAGAAAGGAGAGGGCAAGAGGGAAACTGCTCTGACTCATTCTTTCTAAGCATGGAACAAGTGGAAGTGTGGATGAACCTTCAGACAAATATGGCTTCATTTGTTATCTTTCAGAAATAGGATTTTTGAAAAGAAACAAGTTCTTATGTATATCTTCTCTATCCCTTTCTCTCCCCCCCCTGTCCCGTTGTCAAGAAGAAAACATGCTTCAAAGAATAATCCAGCACCGTATTTTGTGCTTAAATGAGAAAATAACCCTGCAATCCTAAACACACTTACTACGAAGTAAGTTGCATGGAACACAGGGCTTACTTCTGAGGAAACCTGCATAGGATTGCACTGTACAATCTTAACTTTTTGCAAAGCAGCTATTAAGAGGAAGCAAAGTTTTCACTTTTTCTGGGCAAGTACGTTCTGCCAGATGTGTTGACAGTTTCTATTTACTGAAAAGATTAATTAATGTACTGGGAAGCAGGGTGGAAAAGAAAACTAGTAAAACATACTGGAGATGGGAAGAGTCAGGGGAAAGAATTGTATAAAGAAAAACTCCTTAGAAATCCACCCAGATTTCAATCATAACTACCCAAACCACAGGGCAGAATCAGACCTGGCAACCCAGTTCTGACTTGTGCTCCACATGTGGGTAGTAACCACAAGGACAGCCTCTTCAAAAGGACATGGCAGCTTCAGGGATGCATGTCGTTATCTGAAGCATGCCTCAATGTACAGATTGCCATTTAGTTTTATTTTTGCAAAGGTCTTGCACATGGCAGGCTTTCTACCTGCTGCTGAGCACTTCTGGTTCAGAAGATTCACATGCCCAGCAGGACTGGGACATGCAGAATACAGGAGTGGTGGCAGCAGGTGTGACCCCAGCCTCCCCTGCCGCTTGTCCATGCATTCATCAGCTTTTCAAAATGAGCAACACTGTCCTTTCTTCATGCAGCCTGCAATGGCTAACCAAAAGAAGCACCAGTTTACACTGATCCTGTGTAAAAGAATTGCATACTGAAATTTTACTTCCAAATGCCCCTTAGTATTAGAGGCATGACTAACCTCCTCAACCCTTTCAGGAAATACGGCTAATTTTGTTATGAGCATGTTAAGATTTGCAATTTGAATTTGGCTGATCTCCTCGGGACTTAGCAAACAGAGAAAATCTCACGAGGGCCGGATCTCTGGACTCTCTGCAGCTCACAGCCAGCCAGATGTGTGCTGCAGAGTCAGCTCTAAGGGCTTATGCCGGGGGCCAGCAAACCTTTTCAGCAGGGGGCCAGTCCACTGTCCCTCAGACCCTGTGGGGGGCCGGACTGTATTTTTTTGGGGGGGGGGGAATGAATGAATTCCTATGCCCCACAAATAACCCAGAGATGCATTTTAAATAAAAGGACACATTCTACTCATGTAAAAACACACTGATTCTTGGACCATCCGTGGGCCAGATTGAGAAGGCGATTGGGCCAGATCTGGCCCCCAGGCCTTAGTTTGCCTACCCATGGCTTATGCACTTAACTGCTGGTCTCATTGTGCACTGATATTGCTATCAGTGACTGGGACGCTTCAGCCTGATCTGTTTGCAGGGAGATTAGATGATGTTGGCTACTTAATGAGCATTCATTCCTATTTGTTTACAGGGAGGTTAGACGATGTTGCATCAGAGCGAGTGTTATTCTACGCTTTCCAGTGCATTTTCCAGTCACTTTCCTAATGGCAAAAAGTCCTATTGTTTAGGGTAGCAGATTTATTGCACAAGACCTCCCTATCAAACAACTTGACTTTGCTGGTGCATAGTAGAATCCCACTCGAAAACAGCAACAGTTTGGAAGTCTCCTCAGATAGAAATGGGTGTCTTGTATATGGTTGCAGGGAGGGAAGCAGCTCTGTGAAATACCTAAGTAAGGGAACATGCACAGAGTGATGAGGGTTTTTGGAGTTTTTTTTTTAAAGTGTGATTGCCAATGAAGAAAGAAGAAAGTTTCTTTTGCTTAAAGAATCTCTAAGGATTGCAGAAGCAAAGGGACTGCTTTTGAGTGCTTAAAAAAAACACAATAGGGGATGAGTGTTGCTCTCCTGTAACACACACAGAAGTTCTTGTCCTATTATTTTAAGCAGGGAACATGAGCAAGCTTTCCCCTCTATTCTGCTTGCAGCTACTTCCCAACATTTTCTGGATCTTTTGAAATTATAGCTGCGGATCTTTCATAACTGTGTGCTCCCCATCTCTGGCACTTGACCACACGTCACCCCTCTTTTTAAACGCTGAACATGGCGAACATGAGCACAGCTGTATCCCACCATAAGGCTACTCACCTCCTTCTAATATGCAGATATGAGATTTTGAGCTACTAGCACTGGATTTGGTCTAGCAAGAAGAGAGCGGCGAAAGAGAAATCTGGTTTGTTAAATCATCTGTAAAGGTCCTAGGTCATTTGGCTGCTGTTTTCTTTGAGAGCACATATTGTCAAGATGTTTGTTTACCATTGCCAGATGTTCCCCAATTTTTTTAAAGAAAACATCTGTATTGAGATTTTTTTTCCCCCATGTTCACTGAACAATGTTACTGTTTTTGCATTCCAAGAATATCCCCACCCTATCTTCTGCAGACCCCTTCTCTTCCAGCGGCTTGGCCTGTGCCAGAACTTTCTCCCTATAAAGACAGTCCTATTCCCAGGGGAAACTGGGGCAAAGATCTTCAACAGATCAGACGCTCATCAAATTGCCATTCTTGTGGCTCTTTGGGGGAAGGTATGATAGTCAATTTCCCCAAGCACAGGGGTTTCCAAAACAGGTGGTTTACAAGTTAAAATTACCAGAAAGTAATTGTTGGGGAAAGGTGCCCTGGTAGGCTGTAGGTCTTCTCCCTTGGAAGTTTTCATGAAAAGGCTGGAAAGATGTCATTTCTGAAAGCTGGAGGAATAGAGGGTCTTCTCTCCTTAAGTCAGAATTCCAGACTGGGTGATTACCTTTCATCTTTCTACATTCCTGCCAGTCTCTCAGTTTCATGTGCTTATTTTTTGGCACATGAATTTGGAATCCCAAGAGAACCCCTTAAAAATTGTGCGGTACAACAATGCTCAGATGAACAGCAGCTATTTGGATGGGTGCATGTGGGATTTCCTTAGGATTATGCTGATCTGGAGATAAATAAAGAAATGCTCAGTGATTTAGGGGAGTCAGCAGATATTCAGAAGATGAGGGTGGGGAGAGATGCCACCATTTTTCAACTACCTCTCCCTAGTAAGTAGCTGGGACTCTGACACATCAGTGCAATGGATATGTTAGCCACAGTCTGACACAAAGTTAAACGTGGTGAAGCTCACTGAAACTAATAAGATTAAGCACTCTAGCTTGCGGTCCTAGCTTGTATATTTTGACACTGAGCTGGTGACACTTACATTGGAAATGTGGTGCCAATTTCATCTCTCCTGGCATTCTCAACATTATGTGGTCATTTTTGTTGATGTCACTTTTTCCGTGATTGTGGAAGTTGAATGTTTGCAGCAGAGGGCAGAGTAGAGTCCCCAAATCTTCTCCAACCAGAAATCTCTTGCCTTGCTTTCTTTGCACTACAGTGGAAATAAAAATGGAAACCCAGTTCAATTTTAGACTGCTGGTGGCAATGAGGACCATCATGGCGTCAGTCTCCAGTCAATTTATCTCTCTGTGGGCCTTATCTTCTGCCCACCACAGCTCTATGAGCTTCTCTCTCCCCCATCTGCCTACGCTATGCTTTTTGCCATTTTCCAGGCCCCAGCCAAAGACCCTTATCTGGTTATGAATGTTCCTGATACTGCTCCCAAATATAGGATGCTGTTTCGACCATTTGAACAAAACAGCCATATTTTTATGAACTCTTGTTTGGTTTTTAAAGGGATGAAACCCACTTTATGTGCCATAGCAGCTTCATTCAGCACTGATCCGTGAAGCTGAAGAAGTATTAGTGGGATCTTTGGGAATAAAGACAGCAAGTAATCTGTCTATTAAGGGGGTTTAGATTTAGAATCTCTTAGTATTACAGGCTGGAGCAAGACGCCACTCTTGGATTTTTCATTCTGTATCCTTTCCATTTCTGTCTAGTGTTACTCCAGAATAAGCAGCATGTTTGTTGGTCTGCAGATAACGTGAGCAGAAGCTTTAGCAGCTTTACTTTTATGCTGAAAGATGTTTCTGTATTAAAATCCCATTTTGCTCGTGGTTGGCTGTGACGGTTAGAACTCTGCAAAGCACCATGCCTGCATTAGGGATCCCATTTCAGTTTCTTGGTGTCTCGTTTTTCCAATCTTAAATTTAGTTTTCCACATTTCCACAACAATTTGTGATTTGTTTATTTTTAATGCCTCATGAAAATACATCAGCAAATTCCTCCTAATATGCACATGTTTGTATGCAATTTCTCCTAATAGACCCATTTTCACAAAGCATTTTTTCTGAATGCAATGCATTTTTAATACATGCATTTTCATTGATATATTACTGCAGTATATGCAGTTTTGTATGCATTCATTGGCTGGAGAATTTCATTGCAAAATCTGGAAAACTGCAAATTTTGAAGGCTAGCTTTGTGTTGTTTTGGAAAGTAAAAATTAGCCAGGTTCATTTTTAAATACAAACTGATTCAGATTCCCCACACCCAAACTGTAATAATGGAGCAGAGAGATTTTTCATTTGATAGACTGTCAAAGGTGAATCCTATCTTTGAAAGGCTTTCTAATCCAAATCTGGTTTCAAGATAAAGAACCATAAATAGCCTGAGCCTGTTCTAAAATCCAAGGCATTGGTCTGATCTTAGAGTAGTACTCTTCAATGAATATATATATATATATATATATATATATATATATATATATTAATGGGTTTAGGGGTTGCTCGTGCGTAAGTTGCCGCCACTCCTGGCTAGGTTACCTGGTTAACCCTTTCTGACTGAACAGCCTCCAGCATCGTGACTGTCTCAGTCGCTGGCAGAATCCGTCAGTGGGCGTTTCTTAAACTTCTTCCAGCACAAAAGTTCCTTGATGCCAAGTCTCCTCCTACTCTCCCTGCGTGGAAGTCTTCTGCGCAGGGAGGGTGTGGGCAGTGGAGTACCCGTACTCTCTCCGCTGGTCGCCGGCGAGGAGTCTTGGAGCCTCCTCTCCGATTCCCCCATCTGCCCCCCTTCTCTACCGGTGTTACGCTGATTTCCTTCCCCAGCAGACGGGCTCCCTCTCTCCCTACTGGGACCCTCTCCACCATCCCTTTGGAGCCTTCCCTCCGCTTCCAGCTCCGATGGCAGTTCCCTGACATATATATATAGTGCTTTTTTTTCAGGCATGACCTGGAAGTTGGTAGAGTCAGCAGAAGGTTCCCCAATACTGTTTCTGCCCAGAATATATGGCTGCAGTGACACTTTCAAATCATCTTCCAGATTAGTGTTTTAAGGACGTGATTTTGAATATTTAATCACCATCATCTCATAGTACACAGAGGACATGAACGAACATGTTTGGTAGGGTTGCCATAGCTGGAATACTGCAGTTGGCAGCAGTGTCTGGGTAGAAATTTGTGAAATGTCCGGGGGAAACCGAACGTATGGCAGCCCATGTTGGCAGTGCTGCTTTGGCCAATTTTCCATAAAAATAACTCAAAAACAGCATTTTTTTTGCGATTCCTCATAGACAGAAAAGAGACAGTGCTAGGCAAATCAAACATTTCACGAGACATTCACTTTTGTGGTGGGGAGTCATTTTATTGACTCCGGCTTTCAGAAACCCCCACCAATTACCTGCGGTGGAACCTGGACGACTTAATAGCAGACCAGCTCTACATCCCTTTTACAAGCCGTAAACACCACGGACTTAAAATGTGAGGGAGAAGCTCAGAGCAACACACCCAAAGGGCAACTAGAGTTAGGCAGGGCTGGAAAGAACCAGGCTGCTGCCAAAGAAATATACTTCATATGCCCAGAAGGCTTGTTTGTGGTAAGGGAGAGCTGAGTTCGCATTAAAAGGAAAATGCTGGATTAACATAGGGAAGTGGTTTTGTACATGGCTCAGTTCGTGAGTTTGCATGCACTTTTTAAAAAAGAGGCATAAATGATATTTAAAAGAAAACATGAATCCCAGCACTGTTGAAGAAGAAGAAGAAGAAGAAGAAGAAGAAGAAGAAGAAGACGACGACCTTTATTGTCAATGTACAACCTGTGTACAATGAAAATGACCAAAATTAATATTGTAAGTCCTATAGAAATTACAACAGGTTGGGGACAGATACAAGAGTATATGTGAGATAGGGAGATTGTAAAGAGGTATTGACTAACAGGTACTTTTGTAATGTATATAGAGCTAGTGCTATGTAGTCACTCAGTGTGTAAGCTGGAGAGTCCCTGGTTTGAATTTCACTTCAGCCACAAACCTAATAGATGGTCTTAGGCAAACAACTATTACCTCAGTCCCCACCCATCCAATCTGCACTATGAGGTTAGTAATAGCGAGACCTAGCCACACTTATCTATGCACTGGCCATGTCTACACTTTGCTGTAATGTGCTCTACGTGGGGCTCTTTTGAAAGACACCTCAGGAACTTCAGCTGGTTTAAACTCCGACCACCAGGGTGACCACATAACACCTTCATTATACCAGTTGCACTGTTTACTTACACATTTCTGAGCAAAATTTAAAGTGCTAGTTTCAGCCTTCCACCTAATCTTAAACCTTTAACCTAAAGGGCTTGGGCCCAAGTATTTTTGCACCCATATCAACCTGCCCGCACATAAGATCTTTAATGGAGACTATGCTCATTTTGCCTGTAGGCTAGTGAACTTGGTAGGCACATAGAAGAAGACCTTTTTAGTGGTGGCATCATGACTCTGGAATTTGTTGTCTGTCAACCTCAAGAAGATCATCACACTCCAGTCCTTTGGAAAGGCTTTGAAGACTTGTTTCAGGCAAATTATGTATTGTGTGTGTGTGTACTGCACTATGAAATGGATGAATTGGGAAACTAAGTTTTATATTCTACGCTGGAAGGTTGTTCTACGCTGGAAGGTTGTTATTATAACTGGCTTTTAGTTCTGGAGTGGCACTGTGGGGGACGTGGGTGGCGCTGTGGGTTATACCACAGAGCCTAGGACTTGCTGATCAGAAGGTGGCCGGTTCGAATCCCCATGATGGGGTGAGCTCCCGTTGCTCGGTCCCTGCTCCTGCCAGCCTAGCAGCTCGAAAGCAAGTCAAAATGCAAGTAGATAAATAAGTACCGCTCCGGTGGGAAGGTAAACAGCATTTCTGTGCGCTGCTCTGGTTTGCCAGAAGCAGCTTAGTCATGCTGGCCACATGACCTGGAAGCTATATGCCGGCTTCCTCGGCCAGTAAAGCGAGATGAGCGCCGCAACCCCAGAGTCGGCCACGACTGGACCTAATGGTCAGGGGTCCCTTTACCTTTACCTAATTGTAGAAATGACTTTGAATTTATATTTTGCATCGCTGATGTTTTCTGGAAACGCAGTACTCAAAAATTTTGCCTAGGAATATTTTAATTAACCAAATAAGGGACACTGCATTTTAAGCAATAGCCACACCTTTGCTACTCACGCTCCTTTAACGCATGAGCAACACATGTCGGGTGCCTTCACATCTGAAGTTTAAATTTCCAAGCTTCTCTCACGCTATTTATATTAACCATGTGGCAGAGAACACAGAGGAGATGTATTTGCAATGCAGAAGGGGCATTATATTTGCATTATTGAACTGATTGAAGCAAGAGCCGCTCTTAAGCTTCACACGTGAAAACACTCTTTCTGAGCTCCTACTTCTCCAAATCTGGCAGGGCATCAAGTCAGATTTAGTTAGCACTGGAAACCAAGCGGCTTTCAAACACAAAGATCAAAGTGACAATGCATACTGTTTCAAGATATGGCATGTCTAGTTCTTTTCTTATGAACAGATAGAGATGATTTAAAGGCACTTATTTAAAGGTAGTGCCCCGCGTGCTCACTTAATGTAAGACAATTTGGAACAGACTTAGTCTGGATGAGGAAGCTTACTGAAATGTAACAGCATTGGGAAGAACTGTGAGCAGACAAAATGGAAACAATGGAATTTAGGGCTAGAAAGCTTTCATCCTAAGGATTAAGCAAGATGTGATATATTCCATGCCATTAACAATTGTGTGAATATTAAAAAATAAATAAATAGCAGGAGGGCTCCAGCTCACTGCAGATCTGGGTAAGACTCATGAGGGTGGGAAACTGAATTTAATCTTTTGCTTCTGCCATGGTCCCAATCTAGACTGACACAACACACATTTTACCTGTTTGCTAAACCATTCCATACAATTGCTAGCTGCATGAATTAGGTCATGTCCAGTCTGGCCTTTAATCAACTGCATTACTCTGTGAAAAAAGGAAAGTTATTATGCAGTTATTTAGTTAGAGGCTGTTAAAAAATATTGTGGTACCTCGGGTTACATACGCTTCAGGTTACAGACTCCGCTAACCCAGAAATAGTACCTCGGGTTAAGAACTTTGCTTCAGGATGAAAACAGTTTCAGTGCAGTGCAGCAGCAGTGGGAGGCCCCATTAGCTAAAGTGGTGCTTCAGGTTAAGAACAGTTTCAGGTTAAGAACGGACCTCCAGAACAAATTAAGTACTTAACCCGAGGTACCACTGTACTTCAAAGGTGCATCAGTAAGGATGGATGGATCACTCTCTTGCCAGACCACATCAGTTTCAAATGTGCTCAGTCATAAATCTATTCTTTCCTATTTCTGAATCAGTCTGATTTTTAAAAAAAAAATTTTTTTTAAAAACTCCAGGAAGTTTTATATATTTTTCAAAAATTGCAATTTTTGTATATATTTTACCCTAGAACAGAGAATCATAGAATTGGGAAATTTGGGAGGGAACCTGAGTGTCGTCTAGTCCATCCCTCTACAATGCAGGAATCCTGCACATAGCCATCCCCAGTAGGCTCAAACCACCAACCTTCTGGTTAACAGCCACACACACTGACCCATTGCACCACAGGTCTGGGGGATGAAAATTGTTTATATGCATTTTATCCAGAAATATGCATTTCTGTATGTACAATATTTTAATCTAAATGTGCATTTGTTAGTGTCTTTTGGTATCTTTGTGAGCCAAGAGCTGAATTTTAAAGTTCAGAGAAATATAAAAAGTGAATACTGAGCTCTAACCCACATGGTAGGACACCAGTTTCCTTTAAAAAGTGGAACAAATTGAATCCTTGTATCAATGTGCTTTTTTCTTCTTCTTCTTGCCTGAGGCTACAACTCTAAACAAATCCACAAGGGATTAAGTACTGCTACACTCAGACATACTTTTGAATAAACATACATTGGATTATTCTGCATAGCGCAGTGCAACGTATATGGCATACTGTCAGTTATTTTGTTATATCATCAAACTCCCAGGCAAAGCCCACAAAATTCAGTAAGAATATTATATTAGAATGAAGACAGATTTCCTCATGAGAATGAATGGAAAGTGACACCCACTGTGTTCACTGTCTGGTTAGTGTGTTCAGTTTATTTCCACAGCTTGAAATCTTTCCTCTTGGCTAAAGCTGGAGACCATGTAAGAAGTTTATCACCAGCCATAACTACAGAAAAAGTGCTGGAATTAAAATTTGAGGGAAAAGAGAGAAAGTTACGCACAGGGTGACAAGCTGAAACCCAGCTTAGCGCACTGAACACTGTTATAGAATTGCATACCGGTGACTGGGGGGGAAACAAAAATCAACAACAACTTACAAGCTTTGTGGGAGGAGAGGTAAAGAATCTCTGAAACACTTCTATGTCATATGATGAGACTTTATATCTTATGTCTCAGTTACTAATAGTCAAGGTTCCTTCCCTGCACCTAAGAAATAAATTTGAATTTCACGTTTAAATATGATTACAAAAAGGTTATATAAGATTAATACTTATCCATTTTATGTATTGTATCGCTTTTGTAGCTTCCTGCTTGTCAGATTGATGCTGGTTGATCTATGTATTTACCTGAAAAAGAAACAGAAAGAAATGTTATTGTGAAGAGAGAGAGAGAGAGAGTATGGACCACTGTTATAGAAATAGGACTTGGATCTAGAATGAGTTCAGATATTTTTTATTGAATATTTCCAATATTTGTTGAATATTTGTTGAATATTTCCAACAAGACATTCCAGTAAGATTACAGTTTCCAAAAAGACATTTCAATACTTAATTCAGAGCTTTCCAAACTGTGTGTCGCGACACGTTAGTGTGCTGATTGCAGTGTGTAGGTGTGTTGCACGAACACTCCCCACGCTCCTCCTGGGGCTGGAAAGGGGTAAGTTTAATCTCTGGTTTGCTAGTAAAACTAACTGACTGTGACGTATGTCTAAAAAGTGTGTCACCAACATGAAAAGTTTGGAAAGCTCTGACTTAATGAATGGGATGATATTGTGGTGGGATCATAGAATTGTAGAGTTGGAAAGGACCCTGAGGATCATCTCGTCCAACTCCCTGCAATGCAGGAATATGCACTGTCCCATGTAGGACTTGAACCTGCAACCTTGGCATTATCAGCACCGCGCTCTAGCCAACTGAGTAATCCTGGTACTAAGCTTTTGTTCTTGATCTTGCCTCCTCCCTCTCCTTAGTGCTACATCAATAATGTCTTTAGTCCTTACATAGGTCCTTACATAGGTATGTACAAGTCCTTACATAGTCCTTACAAGTCCTTACAAGTCCTTACATAGGTATGTACACATCATGACTTCAGCCCTGTATACCTGAAGGAGCGCCTCCACCCTCATCGTTCAGCCCGGACACTGAGGTCCAGCTCCAAGGGCCTTCTGGCAGTTCCCTCACTGCGAGAAGTGAAGCCACAGGGAACAAGGAAGAGGGCCATCTCGGTAGTGGCGCCCGCCCTGTGGAATGCCCTCCCATCAGATGTCAAGGAGATGAGTAATTATATATCTTTTAGGAGACATCTGAAGGCAGCCCTGTATAAGGAAGCTATATCCATCTGACTGGCTGGGGCAAGCAGTCAGATGGGTGGGGTACAATTATTATTATTATTATTATTATTATTATTATTATTATTATTATCTTAAAACTCAGTTGGGTCATTCTTTTTCTCAATTTGGACCAAAATTTGTTTGGGGGGGAAACACATCAAAACACAGTTTTTCATTGGAAACGACGGAGTAGATATGAACTGTGGCTAACATCATGTACACACCGCTTCCCATGCAGGAAGCGTGTGGAGAGCCATTTGCTCAGCAAGCACTGGAAAGGGTAGAAAGAACATATTTGCTGCCAGCACCCCTCCCTTGCCATTTAGCCTTCTGGCCGTGTGCATGGTGGCCACAAAGTCAACACGCAAGTGACATGACCAGCAGGCATGTGCCCACAACCCCATGGCATGCTCACTGAAAGCATGAGGGGGCTCACTGGAACATCACAGCAATGCCAGAGATCACTGACACTCCTAAGTGGCTGTGAGGGTGTATGAGAGTACTCTGTGGACTGAAAGTATGGCATAAATTAGGGGTAGGGAACCTGTGACCCTCCTGAGGTTGGGGGACTGCCGGCTGCGATGGCTGGTGCCCATTAGGAATGGTTCTACGAGTGCAACACTGAGACTAAGCTGACAGCCAGTGCCACTTCCTGTACCTTCCTTGGAGGTTTTTAAGCAGAGGTTGGATGGTCTTGGATGCTTTAGCTGAGATTCCTGCATTGCAGGGGGCTGGACTAGATGACCCTTGCAGTTCATTCAAACTCTACTGTTCTATGATTGTGTAAGTCAATACGCAAGTGACAGGACCAGCATGTGTAAGTAAGAAGGTAGGCAGGTGGGAGCTGACTGAGGTTGGTGGGCGTTCACCCTCATGGTCCAGTCTCCCCTGACTACAGTTCCCATCTTCCCCTGACCGCTGGCCATGCTGGCTGGGGGTGATGGAAGCTAGAGGACAGGACAGGCACCTCCAGGGTAAAGGAATATGAAAACAGCTTTTGTCTTGCATATCCTCTGGAAAGTTTGAGAAGAGAGAGAAAGGGAATACCCTTCAGACTGGAGAATGAGTCAAGCATTTCACTGCTCCAGGCAAGTCATTCAGAGATGCTTAGGAGAAAGTGACAAGGATATTTCAAAATACCTTCCATTGTTTCATGATGCCATTAAGTGGCAGCCTGAGACTAAACAATGTGGGAAAGAGGTTTAACCTTCATTGTCAAATAAACAAAGAGATTTATCCTTCAGTGGATGTTTCCATGTCCTCATTGGCCAGTGAATCGCTCTCTTTTTTTGAACAGAGGGGCTGATGTGAGGCAAAAAAAAGCTACTGGACAAATGGATGTAGACAAAGAAAATGAAAAAGAATGCTCTGAAGGGCTTCTCCCAATCTTTTCTTTCTTTCTTTTTTTTAATTGACTCTGACCGTTCCACAACACAAAGCATCTGTTTCTAGCTATATATCTACTTGTGGAAAATGTTCTGAAAACTGCTAACTCCACCCCCCACCCCCCGCTCCAATGTACAAGTGTTGATCACAAGGCACTGCGGCAGGGCAGTTGCTTTTATCTGTATTCATTGGCACTTGATTTAAAAGCAGAGGCCAGGCACAGGTTCAGGCTGTATTTTATTTCAAATTTATGGTTACAGCAACGTGGTTTATACAGCAGAAGAGCTGACCCCACTTGGTCTGTTGGACAGGGACACTTCGCCTTCCTCTATATTCTCAGCTTATTTCCTTTCCTGAATTCCCTTGCTGGATGTAGGGCTTTTGTTCCTCAGGGGCAGGTGGTGCCACCTGTGGCCAGACCCACGGAGTCTGGTTCTACGGCCCCTTTCTCCCCTCAGTATGCACCTCCTCACTGCAGACTTTTCTCTGGCTACACAACACCACAGGAGTAACCAATGTAATGCTACCCAGATGTTGTTGAACTGCAGTTCCCATCAGCCTCAGCCAGTGTTGTTCTGCTGGCAGGGGCTGATGGGAGTTGCAGTGTAGGTGAAAGCAAATTTATTTGTTGATTGGTTGGTTTATCGCATTTCTAGCCCACTTTGTTCTCTAAGGAGCTTGAGCATACATGGTTTCCCACCTGCTCCTCATTTAATCTCCACAACAACCCTGGGAGAACAGGGTTCAAATCCCCACTCGGACATGAAACTCACCTTGAGCCAGTCAGCACCTCACAGGCTCCTTCCACCCTGGCTTCTTCTCAGTGTTTAGGGTTTAGTACCCTAATTAAACAGGCGGATATGTAGCATATTTCCATGTGTGGCTTGTGGTCAGAGCAGTGGGAGATTCTCTCTCAACACATAGTACTAGCTGTACCTTTCTTGGCAGGATATATAGCTTGTTGTTAGGCTTGTGGTTGGGCTGAAGTGAGAGAGGGGGCAAAGGGAACAAGCAGAACAAAGGGAAATGTCAGAGAAGATGGGTGTGAGTTCAACTGAAAAGGCACTCTGCACATGGCCACATGTTTAATTAGGATACTAAACCCTAAACACTGTGGAAGCCCCCTGAATCAGTTCAGGGCCCAGATTCAGGTTGGATCAGTTCTTCTTCAAATCCTTGGTTCAGGTCCCAAATAGATATGTATATTTACCTCCATGGTGCTAACAGGGTGAGGGGAAGCTGAGAGATAGTGGTTTGCTAAAGCTACCTTAATTTCTGCAGAGGCAAAATTTGAACCAGGGGCTTACACCTTGCCCTACCCTAGATCTTGACAAAGTAAGGGCTCTATTGTACCACAAATTCTGACTGTAAAAGACTTGAGCTTTTCTTTAATGCCTTAGGGATTTTTTTTTCATAAAGCATAAACAAAACTTGCAAAGCACATGGATATGCACCTAGACCAGCAGTGACAAAATGTGTTTTCAGTTGTTTCCATCGGTCCGTCTTGTTTTCCATGATTACAATTCAGCCTCTCACACAATTCAAGGGCTGCATTGTTTTTTGTTTGACCTCGCATGACAGTTTTTAAAAACATACATAAACACACATATGAGAAAGTCTTTTGGCCACGAGGCTCCCATTCTCTGCGTTTAAATCAAAATCGTATGGAAAGCATATTTATTACAGAGAACTAGAACCTCTCAAGGAAAAAGAAATACTTATAGCAGATGTTTCCCCTTAAAAGAGAATGGATTAGAAAAGCCAGGAAGAGCTCATCTTGGCCCACATTAATTTCCAAATGGAGGACAATCCCTGTAGTGTTCACTGCATGAATCTAGATGTCCTCCCCATGCTTTGTACCACACCTTCTATAGTTTTTCTTTTAAAAAGTTTGCTAATGTTCCTAGCCCTCTTGACACGTTAAAGGGTAAGCTTAAATACTTACTCATTAAAGGAGAGGTTAAAGGTCTTTAGAGATAATTTTCAAAAGCAAAATTATGCCAAGTCACAGTGTTAGAATCAAAAGAGGTAGCTGCTAAGAAATTAACGTGGACTAAGATGCACAGAATTTAGCCACTATGCCAAACAGATAGAATAGCAGAATTCTGTGGTGACTGAGTGAACAGGATTAACTGTAATTCTTTCTAATACTGAACTCAAGTTGTGAGTTTAGAAGCTAAACACGGTCACCCGCAAACTGGAGTGAGGCATCTGTATGTTTACAGAAGAAGAAAAATCTAAAGAGGCAAAAAACAGGCCAAGGAGAACTTAAGAAGAGCCTGCCAATGGTCTATCTAGCCCAGCATCCTGATCTCACAGTGGCCAACCAGATGCCTGTGGGAAGGTGGCAAGCAGCACCTGAGTTCAACAGTTCTCCCCAGCGAGTGGTATTCAGATGCACAGTGCCTCTGGCAGTGGAGGTAGGACATAGTCATCATGGTCAGCAGTTATCAATAACTCCTCCATGATTTTTTGTCTAATCCTCTTTGAAAGCCATCCAAGCTAGTGGCCATCCTTACATCTTGTGGGAGCTAATTCTATCGTTTAACTTTGTGCTACGTGAAGAAGCACTTCGTTTTGTCTGTCCCAAATCTTCCAACATTCAGCATCATTGGGTGTCTCAAAGTTCCAGTATTATGAGAGAGGGGAAATTATTCCTATCCACTTTCTGCACACCATCTTATTCTCCTCTGTCAGGTCCCCACTTACTTATTCCTTCTCTCTGCTTCCTGTTCCTTAACCTGTTGCTGATTCATAATTCTTATTCCTTGACGACTCAGCTTAGTCAAGGCTCTTGGATGCGGTACTCTGTCAAAAGTTCTGCATCCGCAAGGCTTGATCTTCGATATAACTTTATTCTTAATAATGTTTTCCATCAGTTTTTCCAGATGTTAAGCTAAGTGGCCTATGATTCTCCAAATACCCTCTGGATCCCATTTTTGAAATGGTTATTATTGGCCACTTCCCAGCCGTTGGGTAGGTACACTGATCTTATGGTCAAGTTACATACTTTTATTAGAAGATAAGCAATTGCATATACAGTGGTACCTCTAGTTATGAACTTAATAGTTATGAACTTAATTTGTTCCGGAGGTCTGTTCTTAACCTGAAACTGTCCTTAACTAGAGGTGTGCTTTCGCTAATGGGGCCTCTTGCTGCCGCTGCGCCACCAGCACACGATTTCCATTCTCATCCTGGGGCAAAGTTCTCAGCGAGGTAACTCTTCCAGGCTAGCGGAGTTTGTAACCTGAAGTGTTTGTAACCTGAGGCGTTTGTAACTCGAGGAACCACTGTATATGTTATTTAAAAATGCTCAGGTGGATGGCCACCCAGACCCAGTCAATAAGGCCCAGAACTTCATTTATTCTCACCACTATTTGCCTCACTTCCTCAGACTGCCTTCTCAAGAAAAGCAGGTTCAGGCACAGGGGTCGCGCCTACATCTTTCAAAGTGAAGCCGGATGCACTTGTCTTGAAAGGTACCAAGCTAGAGAAGGGCATCCTAGAATGTTCCTAAAGGCATCAGCGGTTCAAAATTGAGACATAACCATTTATATGCTGCTTCGTTTTTTATAAGGCTAGCTTCTCTGGGTTTAACAGGCAAAGAATAATTTGCAGTTATTCCATTGCCTACTTTGTCAAGGATGTGATCAGTTGCCTGGTCCAAAATGACACATTTTCGCCAACTCCAGGAATTATAACAGGCTTGAGCGTTTATAGGTAGACTGCAGCTAGAAGCAGTGTGTGTGTATGTGTGTTGAATGTATTTGGCATTGCTTGCTGTCTTTCCAGTCTGCCACGCTAGTAAGAGCTCCACTCCAAGTTGGCTCGTGGAGGTTGCTAGAAAGTTGGAGTATTTTCAGACTGTTACTATGCCTTTACCTTACAAAGACAAAATAAGCCACTGGTCGGGACAAGAGGCAGGGACAGGGGGATAGCCCTGTGTAGTAAACACATGTTTTTTCCCCTCTAGAGACCCCATGTTTTTTTTGAAAAGTGCCCACTTCCATAAATTCCCTAAAAAGTTGCCCAGTCAACCAAATCTAGGCCAGAACTAATTTGCAGAAACTTCCATATATATCCCTAAATCCCTCAGATTTGCACTGGAACTCCAAAACAGTAACATATGCTTTGGTCTTGAATAAATATTTCAAATACACCATGATATTGTTGTTGGAAAGCCACCTCAATCTATAAATGGAGGGCCCTCTTTAGAGATGTGGCACTCACAACAGTGTCCCACTGGGGGCAGGCAGAAGTTTGAAATATTTACAAGACATATATAGGGGGGAATGCACATTTTGTATCAAATACTGCTTAGCAGGCCCTTATTTACATTATTTCTCTTCTAAAAATAATAACAATAAACTGTTGGTCCATCCTAGAAGACTTCTGTGTTCAGTGTCACCTTTCCTTAATTTGTCTTACCTTAATGGCTTTAATAGATTTATAACCTAAACCTGATCACCACTGCATTTCATCCTTTTACGTTTGTGTCCCTGTATGTGTTTTTATCCCAGAGAAAGAAGAAATGAAGTTAGTTTGACATGAGTTGCTTTGTGGATTACACAAATTGCCTGGGGTCGTTGCCATTCCTGGAAGTGAGATTATCTCTGGTTTCTCACAATGTCATCTCTCCAAACATACTGCATGAGATAAAACTGAACACAGCCAGGGATTTTATTTAATTTTTTTTTTAAAAAAACCTTCCATTTGCAGACCAAAATTTAGCAGCTCCGTTCAACTAATCCTCATAAAAGCTTAGGAGAACGTAGGAAAAAAGAAAACCCTTTAAACTCTGATAGTCCAAAAAAGAATAATAATAATAATTTTTTATTTATACCCCGCCCTCCCCAGCCAAGGCCGGGCTCAGAGCGGCTTACAAGCAATAATAAAAACAAGTTGAATGATTACAACTTAAAAACAAAATTAAAATACAACATTAAAATATTAAAATGTAGCCTCAACGCAGGAGGAGAAGGAAAGGAAAAAAGAAAGAGGGAGGGAATCAAATTGGCTCCAAGCCAAAGGCCAGGCGGAACAACTCTGTCTTACAGGCCCTGCGGAAAGAAATCAGATCCTGCAGGGCCCTGGTCTCATGAGACAGAGCGTTCCACCAGGCCGGAGCCAGAGTTGAAAAGGCCCTGGCTCTGCTTGAAGCCAATCTAACTTCCTTAGGGCCCAGGACCACTAGGGTGTTGCTATTTATGGACCTTGAGGCTCTCCGTGGGGCATACCGGGAGGGGCGGTCTCGTAGGTACGAGGGTCCTAGCCCGTGAAGGGCTAGGAAGGAATAACTTTGCCTCATCTGGTCCACTGGCACCAACTCCAGAGGGCCCTGGGGGGTCCAGGCACCCACAAAAAAATTGCTGTGGGTGCTCAGTACCCACTCTGCGGGGCCTTGGGCATGACTTCCGGGTCCCATCTGAGGCCTTGGAAACCCTTGGAAGTGGTGTCCTAGGCCTCACAGAGCCTCCAATGCCACTTCTGGTTCCTTCCAGAGGCCGTGATGTCATGACATTAGGGCTGCTGGGCACCCATGATGTGGGGTCCAAGTAGTCTCCCCTGATGGTAAGAGGTACAACTGCTCTTAAGCATTGCATCCTGTTTTCACAGTGGCCAGCCCAAATCTTTGGTTGGGAAGCCTGAAAGTAGGACATAACAAGTTGGTGTGGGCAACTCCTCCTCTTCCTTGAGTTTGGAACAGGAAATAAGGGTGAATTTTGAGCAGGCCTCCTAGACAGGCTAAAGAGGTCCAGTTGCTTGAAAATGGGCAACATGACAGCTCCAGGTGAAGAGTGCAGCACTCATTAAAGTTATTTTGCCAGATGTAAAGCTGGATTGAGCAGAGCAGATGTGTTTTGTTTTCCAAGAAATGAAGGGTTTCTCCTTCCAAGATACACACTCCATTCTGTCCTGTATAACACAAGCCTTTCTACCCTGTATGCATCTACAAACATAACCTCTTGCTATGTAAGGCAGCTGAAGAGGATGCAATTAAATCCTCAGTGAGTTTAGAGGCAGATGGACACTTGTACCTTGCTGCGGCTTCATTGCACTTTTGTTGAAGTTAAACCATAACCATAACCCGAAGCAACCCCATTCCTATTTCATTCATTAATTAAGGATGTAAGCCATTCTCAGCAAGAAAGACAGATTGTAGCCTCATTTCATTGGTCCTCCCCGCACCCCCAGTTCCCAGTCGTCAATTAGTCATTTAAAAATCTGTATTTATGCATTCTCTTGATAGCCTGGATACAGTGGTACCTCGCAAGACGAATGCCTCGCAAGACAAAAAACTCGCTAGATGAAAGGGTTTTTTGTTTTTTGAGCTGCTTTGCAAGACGATTTTCCCTATGGGCTTGCTTCGCAAGACGGAAACGTCTTGCAAGTTTGTTTCCTTTTCTTAACACCGTTAATACAGTTGCGACTTGACTTCGAGGAGCAACTCATAGAACGCGGTGTGGTAGCCTTTTTTGAGGTTTTTAAAGACTTTGGTGATTTTTGAAGCTTTTCCAAAACTTTCCCGACACCGTGCTTCGCAAGACGAAAAAAATCGCAAGACGACAAAACTCGCGGAATGAATTAATTTTGTCTTGCGAGGCACCACTGTATTTAAAAAAAATCAAAGGAATAAAATCTATTAGTGAATCATAGAATAGTTGGAAGGGACCATGTGGGGCTTGAACTCAAGACCTTGAGATTGAGAGTTGCATGCTCTGCCAACTGAGCTATGGTTTTTATTATGTTTCCACACACACACACACACACACACACACACAATAATTCTCACCAGAAATGTTTTGAGATGTTCTCCCCCATTGCCGTTGTGATTACAGGATGCTGGACTAGATGGACCTTTGGCCTGATCCAGTGGGGCTCTTACTAGGTTCTTACATTTTATCGTTTCACCGGTCCTGCCCTTTGCAGCCTCTTCTTTGCTGCTTTTGTCTGTGTGTCCCCATATGTTTAAGCAGAGGCCAAATGTATATTTCAATAGTCAAATGTTTTTGCACTAAGCCCCACCAATCCTACCATGTCGTGCTTCTTTCTTTCACTACTTTTAATATTTAATATTTAAGCACAGGCCGTAGCTCAGTGGTAGAGCACATAAAGATACAGGAAGACTCCTGGTTCAGCTCCCTGGTATCTCTGGTTAAAATGATTTGGTAGCAGGTATGAAAGGTCTCTGCCACAGACGCAAGTGCCACTGTCATTCAGAGAAATAGACAATGCTGGGCTCGGCAAATAGTCTAGCCTGCTAAAATACAGCTATCTTTGTGCCCATTTTTTTTTATCTGATAGCTGCTTGTGCAGATGTGCACAATATCTGTTTTCTTTGGGTTTTGCATGTGCCTGTCCATTTTTCAAACGCTTTAACCCAGAGATGCTTTTGCAGTTCCTTGTTTCTCCTTTTTTGTTCAGATTTTGCGTAACTTTGCAAATTTGGCAGGGTATAGAAGCAACGCATGACAGTGTGGGCATTTAGCATCGATTAAAATAAACAAGTAAGACAGAAGCACCAGTTGGAAGAAGTTAGTATATATTCTGAACCCAAGTACATGTTCAAAAATATTTGGATCCATTTACATGTTCATTACAAAACAACATGTGGACCATATAGCTCTATCACAATTGTGTATGAAGGGAATGGTGCGCTTTCTGATGCACACAGAAAACTAGCAGATCAGGGAAAAGGCAACACTAGAGCCCTTATGTCTAACATGATAATTTGTGCTGGATGTTTTGCTTTTATTCTTATAGTATTTTAAAGGTCGTGCATACTGTTCTCACAAGGTGGAATGCACTCCAATTTTGATTAATTTTAAAAGTGACAATGACCACTGTGGTATAGAAGTTTCCCTTAAAAAAGGTGTCTTGATTGTTTTCCTTGTTTAGTCATTAGAGCATGAGACTCTTAATCTCAGGGTTGTGGGCTTGAGCTCCATGTTGGACAAAAGATTCCTGCATGGAAGAGGATTTGGACTAGATGACCGTTGTGGTCCTTTCCAACTCTACAGTTCTATGATTCTATATGCACAATCTGATAAATTCCTTCCAGCTTCCAACATCACACTTTGCCTGGACTTTTTGGATACAAAATATATGCTCTGCTACTGAGCTATAGCCCCTTCCCAATACTCACTGCACCATTATAAAGTGTGTTTTTTTTATCTTCTATCCATTTCCCCTATCTATCCATCACAGATTGTAAAAGCATTTGGAGAAAGTCTACCATGATGTCCTTTACAGCATTCCACAAAGTGTGAGCATGAAGCAAAATGGTCTTATTTATTCAGTGAGTTACGTGGGCTTCACAGTGCAGCAAAATTCCTAATAATTTGAACTGCACTAGAAGATGAAGTGGATAACGATCTCCCTCTACTGGCAAGAGTCCATGCATTTGGTCATGTCATCTGTGCACACAAATTTTGCTAGGCACATTATTTCCTGAGGCAAAGCAGTTTTCAAATCAGTATCTGTGACTGCCAAGATAATAAAAAACACATTGTCTCAAATGTTAAGTTGTTAAGCACAAGTGTGGGGTGGAGAGGAGATTAAAAAAGAAAAACTTGATTCAAAGATTATGTATTTGTCGGCTTCCTTTTACAAACTGGAGTCCCTCAAAATGATTTGTTTACAATCTGGACAAATCTGAAGTATCTTTCACTGTTTCACTGAATAAAACCTTATTGGTAAAAGGGGTGGCCATAATAAACCCCTATTTCAAACAATAATTTTATTCGGAGAAAAGAAGCAATTAAATTGGTTGCAAGAGGGAAGGAAATGGGATTCTGTTGTTATACTTCAGAATATTCAGAAAGATGCAAGTTTCCACTGTTCCTTCTTATATTGTCAAATTCCTTTATTCCGTGCATTTATTCCACACCTTTCTTCCGTCGTGGAACTCAAGGCATGGGCTTCACAAGACAGTCTCCCATCCAGTGTCCAGACCCAGACTTCCTTGGCATCAGCTGCATCATGTGCCCTCATGCATACAGCAAACAGCTTGCAGAACCTATTTACTAAACTTCCCCTAATAAAGCGGGTGATGGTGTGTCAAACGGTCCAAAAAGAAAGCTAAAAGAAAACAGTGTTGGGCTACAATCTTATTAAAGAGATTCTGTAAGCCAAACCCATTTTCTAAGTATGGTACTGCAGCAGCACCTGCTGGTAAAGTTAGAGAGTTACAGTTTGACATTTAATAATAGAAAGCTATGTTCTGGAGGTGGGGACTCTCTTCCAGGGAATATTCAGCATAGGTTGGGATGTTCCATTTGCCACCTCTGCCTCCTAGCAGATGGTGGCAGCAGAGACATCACCTTGCCAACAAAGGTCTGTATAGTTAAAGCTATGGTTTTCGCAGTAGTGATGTATGGAAGTGAGAGCCGGACCATAAAGAAGGCTGATCGCTGAAGAATTGATGCTTTTGAATTATGGTGCTGGAGGAGACTCTTGAGAGTCCCATGGACTGCAAGAAGATCAAACCTATCCATTCTTAAGGAAATTGGCCCTGAGTGCTCACTGGAAGGACAGATCCTGAAGCTGAGGCTCCAATACTTTGGCCACCTCTTGAGAAGAGAAGACTCCCTGGAAAAGACCCTGATGCTGGGAAAGATGGAGGGCACAAGAAGAAGGGGACAGAGGACAAGATGGTTGGACAGTGTTCTCGAAGCTCCGAACATGAGTTTGACCAAACTGCGAGAGACCGTGGAAGACAGGAGTGCCTGGCGTGCTCTGGTCCATGGGGTCACGAAGAGTCGGACACGACTAAACGACTAAACAACAAGAAGACAACCAGATTGCCACTCAGTTACAGGAACACCCTGATTAACTACTTGGGTAAAGGGCTATTTTTCTGTATTCACCCAGAATTGCAGCTTTATAGGCATAACTGCACAACATGTAAACCTCACATTTGATCTCCAGTCAACAGAACCCCCTTCCCTATTAAAGCCATACTTCTCTTGGAATCGCATGCAATGACATAAAATGAGGCCTGAATTTATATGCCGGGTATAATCATAGCACCTGTCAACTCCCTCCACTGCAAAGCCCTCGTAAAGCTGCAATCCCATTAAGTTACCTGTGAGTAAATATGCATAGGACCAGACTGCACAATAACATTAGAAATAAGGTGATTTTCTTTTCACACTCAAGCTTTTGCAAGTGAAATGGTTTTATGGAGAATCCATTGGGATTCAAAAATTCAGTCAATCCGAGTTAGATGTTGCAAATGGAGTTCTTCCAGTTATATCACATTTATTATGGGGAAAGAAAAGTCAGAGACTAGTATGAAGATGCACGCAGAGGGGAACCAGTGGCTGTGGCTTTCAGGGATGATTGCAGGACCAGCATAGGCTGCAGGTATACTGAAGAATTGGCTTCCTTGCTACAGTTGGGGAGGTAAGGAAAGGTCTGAGTCCACAGAAATGGGAATTGTTAGTGTTCTTGTGGCCCAATATGACTTTGTAGGTGCTGCTTCCAAAGCATATCACAGCTAGACTGTCTTTAGTTGCAATAAGATGCAAGAGGCACAAGGGTCTCACATGTTTTCACTTGGAGATTTGTCCATCTGTATCACTTCCATTGTAAGATGAAGATTTAGCCATTGGCTCGAATTCTGTTTGACAGCTCATATATGCACTTGCCATAATTTGCTTAAATTAAACTCTAGTGTTTTCTTTATGTGAGGGTAGAATAATGCAGCTTCTAGGTAACCCATTCATAGAGCTCAATGTGTGTAGAAGACTATAAGCATGCATAAAGGCCCATGCAGCAGTCTCCTTTACAGGAATGAGTGAGGAAAAAATTGAGGATGTAGAAGCTTAGATTAATAGGTGTGCTATTTTACAAGATCAACACTGAAGAGTAGAACTGGTGAAAACAAAGAAATCGGGTAAAGTTTTAACACTACTAATTCCATTAAATTATAAACATTTAGCTTCTGATATATCTTCAACCACCTAATTCTTCCTTCTCTAACCCCACATATTATCAGGGGCATAAAGCAGGGGTGTAGCATGGGGGTGCTGCTGGGAAGGAATAAAGATGTTTCTGTGGATATTGTGGTATAATGAACACCTCAGACACATATTTAAGGCCCTTGTGGGGCCTTTAAACGTATTAAATCATGTAGCAGAGTAACTTCATAGATTTTATTTCGAGAGCAAAGTTCAGATTTCCAATCAAATACTGCAGTACAAAAAAGGAAAGCCAGTTACAGCAATATTAGAAAACAATTTCATTACCCGTTATTAATACATCCTACAGAAGTAGCAAACAATTGGATACTTCCCATTTGAAGACAAATACACATATATTAAACACACTTAACCACAAACCTGATATCCTATACATTTGGTGCAATGCATCTTTCCAGGGTATTTTGTTTTCCCTTTTTCCACTTTCAGCAGGACAAAAACCATGAAAGTTAACCCACTGTTCTTAGCAGCTGACATGCATTAGGAATCCTCACGTTGTAATGAACAAACATTTGCAAAATCGGCTGTTAGGAAGACTAAAACGAATTGCCTTTTACTCAAGGTTTTGGTAGGCTACAATATACGCAACAGCATTTAATTCAAACACAGGGCAATATTCAATGGTGCCCATCCTCAAGACAAACAGATTTGCACTCCACAACAGGACTCCCCCTTTTGCACACCAACCTGATATTCTGTAGAGTGGCAACACCCCAGGTGAGATTTGCAAGGGCTGCAAGTGGAAGAAGAGGAAGAGGAATTCTGCTCATAGTCTATAAAATGCTCAGAGAATGCTGTTATTTTGGACTTTCCCTCTGAATTACGTGCACCTTGAAACTCACTCGAAAGAGTAAGCAGCAAATCACATGTTATCAAAAGGAACCGGTTGTAATCCCATACTGATGTTTTGTAAGGGATTGTATTCTTTCAGAACACTGGGTAAAGGATTCGTTTTTGAAGAACAAGTGAGCATTTCACCAAATTAAGCAAACATTGAGCTAAGAACTTTCTTTTGATGAGCTTGAATATTTTAAGTGGTGGAGCAATTAGCAAACAAACTGCTAGAAGTTACTACAAAAATGATCAAGGAATAACAGTGTTCTTTCTTTAATGATCTTGTGCAAGATTTTGCTCTACTTTTTGCAAGCTGCATATCTCGAAGATACGTTTTCCCAGTTTATCACGTTCCAAATAGCTTTGAGATAGTCGGGTCTAACATTTTTATACTGGAGATAATATGCATGCTCCCATACATCAATTCCTAGAAGGGGAACAAGACCTAGAAAAGAAGAGAAATATTTATTTTTATTTCCTGCACACAAGTAGGTTTTGATAAGAGGAAACAAGTAGATTTCTTATCCAATCAGCTATGCAAGGGAAAGCAGGGAGTCCTTCTTCCTTTGCTCTGGTGAGCAGAACTGCTGGTGTCTGCTTTCATCTACCACATAGCAAAAATTGTACTTTCAATTGTAGACAAGCTCCAGCTAGAGAAACTCACCTGTAGTCCCTTGAAGAGGATCCTGATTGGAACAGGCAGTCACCTGCAGTCGACCCTGTTCTTTATTAAAACCGAGCCATCCCCATCCTGAGCCTTGGACTCCAACTGAAAGAGTTGTCAACTTCTCCTTGAAGTTCGCAAAGGAGCCAAAATCACGCTTAATAGCTTCCATTAGCTCCCCTTAATAAATAGAAATAATAATAACAATTCACACACAGAGCACACTTCATTAGCTTTCCATTTGACGTTCCAAAAAATCATTCATATTAATTCAGAAGTAAGGATAGGTACAGATGTAAATCTTACAATCATCAATAGAATGGAAGTCGGTTGCAGGATCACCAGTCCTTCATTTGCCAGTCTCAACCATAGGTAAGCGGTACCTCAGCACCAACATTAACAGTTAACCCTAACATGCTTCTCTCTTAACCAGTCTCTGATAAACAGTCTGAAGCTGTTTAACAGGGAACTCCAATTAATGATAACCAGTTAACACGGATGATGTTAGAATACTTCCTGTGGCTACAGGAAGGGTGGGAGAAAAGCAAGAGCTGACTGGTGGGAGTGTGTGATCCTACAGCTTGCTGATAAGTGTGTAACTGTGGTTAAGAAATCACCAGCACCAGACCTGGATGTAGATCTTTGCCTCGTCTCCGAATTCTACAGCATTTGGTACATTTCAGTTTGTACACTGACTGCTGCAATGACTAATCAGCTGTGTCCCATAATGTATTCTGATTTTCCCTTTGAAAAGTATCTTATCATCTATAATGATCACAACCACTACCTAACACCACAACGCAGTATTACATCTAGACAGCTGTCCAGAGAACTAAGGGAACAGCAGATAACAGTGTGAAGCTCATGTGGGCAACAGCCTGTCCACAAGCTAAAGTGCAAACACCCTTGCCATTTGGAAGAGGCTTAAGAGAGGACACGCCTACCATTACACTTTTCGAAGTGTTCTGCTTCCAAATGTCACATTTACTGCCATAAGTAACACACAGCCATTCATGCATTACATTCATCGTTTTACAGGTTGTGGTTCATCTGGAGGAGACAAACTGCAAGCCTAGTTTGGATGACACACTAAAACAAACCATAATGTAGGTCACAGGAGCAGCCACAAACTGTTCTCTGGGAAGCTGCATGTTCTCACTAAGCCATGGTTTGCCTTAACATTACATGCAAACTGAGCACTGTGTGCTTCAAACTTTTAAAAAAGCTTTTGATAAAGTGCCTCATTGGCATTATATGCTGCTTGGAGGCTTCCCATAGTTATTAGGCTAGCCACTGCTAGGACAGAATGCTGGACAATAAAAAAAAATTGTGAGGCAGCAGCGTGGGAGAAGGCCTTTTCTGTGGTGACTCCCAATTTCTGAAATACCTTTTCATCTGAGGTGTGTCTGACCCCATCTCTGTATCCTTTTCAAAGGAGGGAGGGTTATCAAGATGCAAGCTTTCTGCCCAGGTCTTTAGTGGAAGAGAAGGCAATCTGATGTTCCCTACTGTTGTTGACCTTGAATGCTATTTAAGATGTTTTCATTATTGGCTTCATGATAAGCATTACACACTTTATTTGCTGTCTTATGCTGTCTATCATCTACACTAGAACACAGACTAAAGATGCTATAATAAATGATACATTAGCATTTGGTCTGATTGAGTGGGGCTTTTCAAATGTCCTGTGTAACATTAAAATGCTTTGATTACAAACCTTTTGGTTCTCCTCCACCATTAGGAGAAAGGTTTGTCCAGAAGATAGTGTGATTAATGTGACCTCCACCATTGAACTTCAGAGCCGGCTGAAGAGACACCTGAGCAGTCACATCACCTGCAAAGAACAGAGAATTAAGTGCAACATCTACAGTAAGCCTTAGCAGAGAACAAATTATTCCTTACCCCAGGAGGAGTCCACTTAGTTAAGAGTGTTAATTTGAATCAATGAATTGCAGCTTAGAAAAGAAAGTAAAAATACAAATAATGGATTAGGATCAAGACTGGCTGTTCCAGCAAAAGCTCCCAGATGGAGGAAAAAAGTGTATGAAGGAAATTTTCACTGATTCTTCTACTGTCTCCCCCCCCTCCCAATTATCTTTCATGCTGTTCCTGAAAATTTCCACTTCTCCTGAGTAGTTGTTCAGGGGGTCACAGGGAGAAAGAGGAATTGACCAAACTTCCTCCTCTACTTCCTCTGACATGAACTGAATTCTGCCTACCATAACTCTGGATATTTTAAGAGTCGTGCCTTAACATATACACTAGTCTATATAAATCCACAACCTTTATACATATTTTGTGAGTGTGAATGTGTGTACACACATACACACACCTTAAGCAAGGATCCCAAAATTTTGGCTTGGCTGCATAGTCTGCCACTATTCAGTTGCCACCAACCATTCCTCAAAGTCTCTTGGAACACAAAGACCACGGGTAGGCAAACTAAGGCCCGGGGCCCGGATCCGACCCAATCACCTTCTAAATCCGGCCTGCAGATGGTCTGGGAATCAGCGTGTTTTTACATGAGTAGAATGTGTCCTTTTATTTAAAATGCATCTCTGGGTTATTTGTGGGGCATAGGAATTCATTCATTCCCCCCCCCCAAAAAAAATATAGTCCGGCCCCCCACAAGGTCTGAGGGACAGTGGACCGGCCCCCTGCTGAAAAAGTTTGCTGACCCCTGACAGACAAATCAAGAGAGCAGGTCCATCTCCATTCATTTGCCTGGGGACTCTCAGGCAAGAAACTACCAGTTTCTCCCTTTTTAAAGGAGGATATGGCAATACTAAAAATGCTTCTTCCTCCAGCCCAATTTATTTCCTTCTTTAGCATGCCCCCTTAAATGAGTTCATATTACAATGAAGATGTGAGGAATGGCAGCACTGACCCTTGAATTCCTTACATAAAACTGCTGAGCCCAAATTTCTACGCCTACTCCCATAGGCTGGGGAACAACACTTCAGAAATACTCCTTAATTCAGGCAAACTGTGACATGTGCTTCCCAACAGAATAAATATGCTGTAGGTGATCCTCAAGTCTGACTATGCTGCATCATTATGCTCCCTTCCAAACGAGTTGAGAAATTTGTACTTTCTGTGCTCTGGAGCTTCTGCAAAAGCTACAACTCCTGTTCCCAAGTCTTGCTTGGATTCCTCCAGTGCTGCTGAGCCCGGGACATCAAACTAGCTCCAAGGGGCTACAGCTACCACTTCCCTGTCCCAGATGCGAGAAAGGGGCAGAAGAGTTTAAAATGAGAATGAGAGTACTTCTAGGCAGTATGAAAGCAGACGCAAGGGACGCCCTCTTTCATCTGCCTACCCCTCAAGCACAGTCCTAACAAAGAACTCTACAATTCCATAATTCCTGAGAACTGCTGCTGGTAGAGTCCCTTCTGTGCCATGCAGCCAGGATAGAGGAGAAGTCAGCAGCAGCATGCAGGAGTGTTGAACAAGGGGGGGAAAATAAACCTCAGAAATTTCCCATGCCAGGGAAACAAGCAAGGATGCAGCTAAACTAGTGCTTGACATTCCCATTCTTTTTCTTGAATGTTAGATTATGTAAAGTGTGCATGCAGAGAATAGTGACGGAGGGCAAAAAGCTCACTGAAGACGACTGGATCTTCAGGGGCCGAAGTTGTGTTGGCTTTACTGCACTGAGAAACATAGATAAAAAGCCTACAGACAGGCTCACTACAATTAGCCAGGCCACAATTAGGCTCACTAGAACTAGGACAGCTAACATATAGGCATGTGTCTGATTAATATGTAATCCATAACACAAGTAAATCTGAACTGCTAAAGTTACAAATACTTGTTTAAAATACTTATACTCCATCCTAGCAGCTAATTTAAAATCTAAAGTAATAAACTTTAAAACAATTTAAAATTAGCAAGAAAGCCCAACCAAATCATGTTAACAAGCAGCCAGAAAAAAGAAAGTTTTCAGCTTCTTTAAAAAATACACACCCCAAAGGCAAGGCACCCTGAGTAAGGTCCTATTCCTTGTTGTCACCTGTCTTATATTGGAAGATGGGGGCACTTCAGAGATGGTTTTAATATTGCTTTTTGCACTGAAGTATATTGGACATATTTTTGAACTAATATTTACACAACAAAAATGTGTATGTACTTTATCAAGTTTAGGTTTCCTCTTTTTTAAAATTCAGAGTTTAAGATTCTGGAAACTGTCAACTGTTTCATTTGATTTTTCAAAAGAGCCTTCCTGCATTACATTGCAACAGAATGCTCCTCTGATGGGAGAGCTGTTGTGCAACTCAACACAAACTGAGATTCAGTGTCACTTTAAACAACAAATCTGCTTTGCACCCACTGAGTGCAGATTTTCTGCTTCATGTAGTTTGAGTAGAATACTCTTGTACATTGGACTAGGTATCTATTGACAGCACTCAGAAAGTGCTCTTGGATACAGCCTAAAAAGAAAGGGAGTAAACGGCCAATTTGCTTATCTTGAAGCCACCAGCCAAAAGGCATTCCTGTCTCTGCACAATCATTAACTCTCATAGCAACAGTTATTTTCCTCCTTTCTTTCTCCATAAAGCTTGCGAGGAAAATTACAGAGAAAAACTGTGTAGAGCCCTGAAGTTGTATACATACACTGTAGAAAAAATAAAAACTTGAATTGCCTTTTTGAATACTTGACAATGTTGTTTTGAAAATGCATTGAACAGTGCAATCCTATATATAATTCCACAGAAGTAAATCCCAGTGATTTCAACCAGCTTTACTCCCAAGTAAATAGGTACAGGATTGCAACCAATGTAACTTGACATCCAACAGTTTACAGCTCTATTGAAACAACATGGGCATTGCAGAGGGACAATAAGATACAGTGGTAACTCTGGATAGGTACACCTCTGGTTGCATATCCTTCGGGTTACGCATGCAGCAAACCCGGAAGTATTTTTCCGGGTTTCGTAACGTGCGCATGCGCAGAAGCACTCTACCGCGCCATGCGCAAAACAGGCACCCCCAATTGCGAATTCCTCGGGACTTCCGGGGAGGTGCCTCCGGTAATGGCGGAATTCCTCTGACCGGGAGGAATCTGCTCCGTGGGAATCTGGGTCTGGCCGCCACGGCGAAGGCGGAGACCCGTTAAAATCACAGGCGGGAGAAGCCTGTGAGCGTGGGATTCGGCGGGCACCTTTTGCGCCTCCCCCACTCGTGGGGAACCCCGGTTTTTGGGGCTCCGGAGCGACGTGGGGTGAGCGGCGCGGTGCATCAAATCGTCTGCTTCTTCCATGGAGCGAAGCCGCATAGCTGTTGCCGGAGAGCGCTGACCTTTTCCTGTGGACAATTTGACTTTAAAGTAATTACCCGTGAGTAGAGCGGAAGTGGAAGAATTGGATTTCTAAATGTTTAATTTGGTACCGTAACGGGGAGGTTCAAAACAGGAAGTCCGCCTTCCCCTTTTGTAAATAGACTGAGGCAATGAAGTTGCAAGCTGGAGTCCTGGAAAGCCTTTTGTAAAAGATTAAATTTCCATCGATAAAGAACATTAAACCCCCTCTTGGAGGCAGGAGAAGAGGGGGGAAGTTGCGGATTGAGTATGCCTGTGGGAGAGAGCGAAGAGATTTAAAACACCGCCGCTCTGACCCTGGAAACGGGCTGCTAGTAGGACTGACGTCTTTTGGAATGTTCATTGACAGCACTTAGAACGTTCATTGACAGCTAGTTAAACAAGAGAAATACATTGTTTCTACTGTCTCGGGCTGCTTTAAAAAGGAGTAAAAGTAACTGAAAATTGAAACTAATTTGAAACTAATTTTGGATTGTTTAAAAGAGGATACTATTGACTATTACAAATAGAAACTGTTTCCCTAGTGGAAGCCTTTGAAACCGGTTGCTTTACAAGAGCTGGGCTAGGGGAATTTCCAGCAGCAAGTTAAAAACCGTGAGACTCTGGGACTGACCTTGAATCTTTTAAGTGTTATGGTAAATGGAAGAGGAAAAACAGACCAGTCAACTGCTGACAAAACATTAAGGGCTGGGAGGACTTGGCAACAATTCAGGAGAGGTCCACCATCAGGCCCCCCTGCTCCTTCTGTTGCTGCCTTTGTACCAGTATATTTAAAACCAAGAGGAATGTCGACAGAAGAGGCTTTAGTGGCTGCATTATATAAGATAAATGACTCACTGGATCAGCTTAACAGGAAAATGGACACGATAAATGCGAAAGTGGATGTTTCAATTACTAAAATTAACTTAAATACAGAAAGTATAAATAATACCAATACAGAAACCACCCAGAAATTGATACAGGAACCTACTTTGATACGGCAAACTGCAGAGGAAGCCAGGGAAAAAGCTGTTGTTACTGAATGTAAAGTAACACAACTGGAGAGAAAGAGAAAGAGAGCCCCAGCCCTACAGAGGCAATTTGATGAACATAAGTTGACGCTTGTTATGACTGAACTTAAAGAAAAACAGATGAATTTGAGGATTAGAGTTCACCTTTGGTGGACATGCCCAAGGATTAAGACACTTTGGGAGATGATTCATAACGAAATGAGAAAGGTATTTAAATATACCCTTTTGAAGAAACCAGAGGCCTTTCTCCTGGGCATGGTCGGCCAATTGGTGTTAAAGAAGGATAGAACTTTTTTCACGTATGCAACAATAGCAGCAAGAATACTCATTGTGAAGTACTGGAAGACACAAGATTTATCTATTCGGGAAGAATGGCAGATGAAGTTGATGGACTATATGGAATTGGCAGAAACGACTGGCAGAAATCCGAGACCAGGGAGAAGAGTCGGTGGAAGAAGACTGGAAAAAGTTTAAGACTATTTATAGAAATACTGTAAAAATAATGAATGTTAGAAAAATGTTGGAATGAAGTTATATGGCTTTAGTAGAAATGCTATAAGGAATCAAGTTTAAATAGATTAATGGAGTATTAAAGGGAAAAATAAGGTTAGAATATGTTAAGATAATTATAGGATAGAAAACAGAGGAAGATGGAAAGGAATTGCTGAAACAATTAACAGAAGTGGAATACAAAAAGGGAGGTGTGAGGAGGTCGTGGAAATAAGGGAATGAAAGATAAGATAGTGAAATTGTTTTGGGTTTTAAACAGTTTGTGTCTTGTTTTGTTAGTCTTATGTGTGTTTTTTCTGTTTTGTTGTGTTTAAACGGTTGGAAAATTAATAAATATTATTTTTTAAAAATAAATAAATTGCGAATTCCTCGGAATCCAACCGGAGCTCCGGAACGGATCCCGTGAGCAATCGGATGTACCACTGTACTCAAATCTGAACACAACAAATAATCTCAAATGTCCAGCCCAAGATGGGCAATCCTACAGCTCCATTCTACTGCCTTTCAAAGCAACCTATTACATTGCTGAACTCATTCAGACAGCCACATATACAGCAAGTCAACATGTGTTGCAATTCTTCAGTTGTTTGCCTCTCAGCAGCTTCCCCTTGTATCATAGGTGTTTTAGTGTGAGAATGTGACACTACAGCAGTTTGGAAGAAAAACCATTATTTCTAACCTTATATATTTCTTTATCATTTCTCAGCCTTATGCCTCCTTATAAGGCTCTGAAATACTAACTCGACTCAGCAGAAATGCACCACATTTTAAAACAGCCTATAGCTCTTGAGTTTAAAATTAGTATCACAAAGTTCCATGGACTTCCCATTTAATCACATTAGTATTAATGCAAAACTCTGGAGATTTCATTAAAATCTCAACGTTTGATAAGAAATTACATTTTAAATGTAACTACAAGGTATAAGCGTTGCTTTAGATACAGCATAGTTTCAGCCACAAAGAACAATGCAATTCAGCCTTAACTCTAAAATTCAACAGAAAATAGTTGGGAGGTACAAATTCTGATCCTCATCTGCCTCTCTTGTGCAACTACTAGTTGGACAAGGTGACAGCTGTAATATAATGGTACTCCTAATATACCAATAAAGATGACTACAGTAATAAGTTTTAGTACAGACATATTTCTAGTTACAAGGCTTCAAATCTCATAACTATTCATTCTGAGATCCTATGCCAGGCGTCTGAAATGCTTTCTGGAGCTTAAGGTGTAAACTATAGCCCCCCTGCACTGCAGCTGGCCACTTTAGGAAAACATGGCCTCTGTCTCAAATAAGTACTGTACTAACTTTAGCCCAGGAGACAACATGTGAGCACACACTGACAGACATGTAACACAGATATACAGTTACCCATACCTTTTGCCAAGGCCTCTTTGTATTTTTCTTCAGCAACATTCAGATTATTTACATACGCAGCATGATGTTTACTGTGGTGAAGTTGCATAATTTCTGCACTTATGTGAGGTTGCAGGGCCCCATAATCATAAGGCAGGTCAGGAAGAGTATGCTTTTGTCTAGATGCCAGACACCCAAGAGGTGCAATCAGTTTACTGCTATTTCTGGAAGAGAAGAAAACAAAATAAAAAATGTAGGATTCTTATCTTGCTATATTATGTGACCAGCCAAATTCTTTATAATTTCTTCTTTTAGAATGTTAACTTATCCTCACAGCTATCTACATCACCACTAGCCCCACTTAACTGAACCGAGGCTGAAAGGGCCTTGAACTTAAGTATCCCACAAGCAAACATCTCAATCACAATATCCTTGAACGCGCTGGCTCTCAGTTACAACTGCTGTTATCCTAACATAGAGGAAAACAAACAGAAGCACCAATGGCAAATTGTTGAAATACATTTGGTGGGGTGGAGACTGAAACAGAGAGAAAAGGAGCAAGCAATGGTGTAATGGATTGCCAAACCCTCCCCACCCCCCTTTTATTTTTACTGTTTTTGCCAAGTGCATAAAGGCTGAATGTGCACAAGTTAAATGCATGTAAATTCACACTTACTGTACATGCCTGAACTGAAATATTTAATAATAATAATAAATTTTATTTATATCCTGCCCTCCCCAGCCGAAGCCGGGCTCAGGGCGGCTAACAACAATCAAATAATCAAACAATCAAATAATCCAACATTCTAAAAACATTTCACTATAAAAATTAATTAAAATCAAATTAATGGCAACCGTTAAGCAAATTCTGTGCAGGTTGCCAGAGGAGGGAGTCAGGCTGTGTCCTGACCAAAGGCCTGGTGGAACAACTCTGTCTTGCAGGCCCTGCGGAAAGATGTCAGGTCCCGCAGGGCCCTAGTCTCTTGTGACAGAGCGTTCCACCAGATTGGAGCCGCAGCCGAGAAAGCCCTGGCTCTAGTTGAGGCCAGCCTAACCTCTCTGAGGCCTGGGACCTTCAGGATGTTTTTATTTGCAGACCGTAGGTTCCTCTGTGGGGCATACCAGGAGAGGCGGTCCCATAGGTACGAGGGTCCTAGGCCGTATAGGGCTTTAAAGGTTAAAACCAGCACCTTAAACCTGATCCTGTACTCCACCGGGAGCCAGTGCAGCTGGTATAGTACCGGATGAATGTGATCTCGCAGCAAAGACCCCATAAGGAGTCTCGCCGCGGCATTCTGCACCCACTGGAGTTTCTGGGTCAGTCTCAAGGGCAGCCCCACGTAGAGCGAGTTACAATAATCCAGTCTGGAGGTGACTGTCGCGTGGATCACAGTGGCTAGGTCAGGGCGAGAGAGATAAGGGGCCAACTGCTTAGCTTGGCGGAGATGAAAAAATGCCGCCTTTGTTATAGCTGTAATCTGCGCCTCCATAGAGAGGGAGGTATCGAAGATTACACCCAAACTCTTAACGGACGGTGCTGGCACTAATTGCACCCCCCGCAAGAGATGGGAGTTGCCCCCCTCAATCCCATATCATCCCGTCCCAGCCAGAGGACCTCTGTCTTCGAAGGATTTAACTTCAACCGGCTCCCACGTAACCATCCAGCCACAGCTTCCAAACATCTGGTCAGTGTGTCTGGGGCCGAGTCAGGATGGCCATCCATCAACAGATAGTTGGGTGTCATCGGCATACTGATGGCAACCCAGCCCAAAACTATGGACAAGCTGGGCGAGGGGGCACATAAAGATGTTAAAAAGCATCGGGGAGAGTATCGCACCCTGAGGCACTTCACACACCAAGGAGTGGCGCGATGACAATTTCCCCCAAGCGCCACCCTCTGTCCCCGACCAGAGAGAAGCGAGCGCAGCCATTGAAGGACTGTGCCCCGAATCCCCACGTCGGCAAGGCGGTGGTCCAGGAGTTCGTGATCGACCATGTCGAAGGCTGATGACAGGTCTAGAAGAATCAGCAGCCCCGACCGGCCTCGATCCAGCTGCCTGCGGAGATCATCTGTTAGGGCGACCAGAGCCGTCTTGGTCCCATGACCAGCGCGGAAGCCAGACTGGAATGGATCCAGAGCCAATGTTTCATCCAGAAACCTACCAAGCTGTTCCGCAACCACTCTCTCAATCACCTTACCCAGGAATGGAAGATTTGAAATTGGACGGTAATTGGATAGATCTAAGGGATCTAATGATGTTTTCTTTAAGAGCGGGCGCACCACTGCCTCCTTCAGTTCCCCTGGGAATATCCCGGTGAAAAGGGACAAATTGATGATATCCCCCGGGGGGGCCGCACCTCGTCTGGACACGCTCTAATCAGCCAAGACGGGCACGGGTCAAGAGGACAGGTGGTGGGCTTTCCAGCTCGGAGGAGTCTGTCCACATCGGCTGGGGATATCCGGTCAAAGTGGTCCAATACTGGACCCGAGGACAGTCGAGGGGCCTCCAGTTCCTTTATTGTATCCAAATTGGCAGGGAGGTCATGGCGGAGCAACATGACCTTCTCCGCAAAAAAGCTCGCAAATGCCTCACAGCCGTGTGTCAGATTGTTATTTAAATTTGGCTGTCCTTCAAGGGACGTTAAAGACCTAATTATACTAAATAATTGCGCCGGGCGAGAGCTAGCGGATGCAATGGAGGCCAAGAAGTAAGACTTCTTAGCAGCCTTCACTGCCACCTCATAGGTTTTCATAAAAACCCTATAAGATGTTCTTGAGGCTCCGTCACGGGCACCCCGCCATACTCACTCTAGCCGTCTGAGGTCCCGCTTCATTTTCCGAAGCTCCTCGGTAAACCAGGGAGCCCGGTTTCTGCGGGGGCACAGAGGCCGCTTAGGTGCGATCTCATCGATGGCTGCCAGGAGCTGGATATTCCAGCCCTCAACAAGCTCAGTCAATGAGTCGCCAGGGGGAGCAAGGTCTCGCAAGGCTTGACGGAATCTATCAGGGTCCATCAGCCTCTGCGGGCGAGCCCAAATCGGCTCGCCACCTAAGCAGGGTGGGGGTGGAAAGTCAATCCTGGCTTTCAGAGTGTAGTGATCAGACCATGGCACCTTCATTGAAGGAGACATGATCACATCTATACCGGCGCCAAAGATGTGGCCTGCTTGATGTGTGGGTGCCAAAACAAACTGGGAGAGCCCTAGTGTCGCCATGGAAAACACCAGGTCCAGAGCCTGTGAGGAGGGAGTGGCATCAGCATGGATGTTGAAGTCCCCCAATACCAATAGGTTAGGGAACTCCAAGGCCCAGCCGGCCACCGCCTCCAGCAGGCCTGACAGGGTGGCTGCTGGTGCGCTAGGTGGCCGGTACACCAGACAGACAGCCAAGCTCACCTCAGAGCCCCACACATTCAATGCCAGGGATCGGTGGCGATGGTAGAGCCCTGAAAGAACAATCTTCCCAGATTAATAATGCCACCCCTCCCTCCCGGCCCACAGTCCGTGACTGGTGGAGGAGGGGGGGTGACACACACACACACACACACACACCCCAGGTGGGCAGTGGATAGCCAAGTAGGAGCAACACTTGCAGAAACATTTCATCAGTAACACCGCTGTGTTGACAAGAGAATCTGGCTAACTAGGTCACATAGTTCTTCTAGAGAGAACACAAGAATTTCTACTTAACAGCTTACCCCTTCAACATAAAGCATCACTGGGATCATATTTAAAACTCACTTCACTTGTTTGTCTTGTGGAGCAACTCTTTTTAACCTCTTCAGTACAGTATCTCAAACTGGAGATAACTGCATTGCCCTTTCACCAGATAAGGCTGCGTTTATACATAAATTAGTTACAGAAGAACAAGAGTATGTAAACTTCCCACAAAAAAATTGGCAAATTAAGTTAATGCAATATGCAGAGATTGCCAAATTAACAGGCAGACTCAGAAATCAGGCAGTAACAAATTTTAAAATGAATGGGAAATTTTTATTGCATATATGTCAAAGCATATGTTGATACATCAGCAGGATTCAAAAAAAACATTGCAATATTATAATAACAGATAAAAACAGATATGAACGGAGGGAAATATGACTAGGACATGCATGAATTAACAATAAAATAATGGAACCATGGAGAGGGAAGTCAAGGGATTGTAGAAATCCTACATTTCACTATTGTATTGATTCTATAAACAGTATGTAAAATGATACAGTTGATTTTAATTATTATTTTTTCTTAATGATTGCTGTTTTAAGATGTTTGTTATAATAAAAACTAATAAAACATATATATTTTTGAGAGTATGTAAACTCACCCTGCAAGTTATACAAAACCCTAAATAACAGGGCATCAGCTTCTTGGTCACACAGTCACTCCTAGAGCAGCTACGGGCTCTCATTTCACATCCCCAAGAGATGGGGGAAACGTTTTAATATTCTTTAACAAATCTAAATTACAAGCTGCCGCTGACAAACAGAACGGGCTTAAACGACGAGCCCTTAATGCGAAAGGTGTAAGAGTTCAAACTTACCGGGAAACTCTTTTTCCTAAACCCAGCTATAAATGACTTCACTTCCCCAAGAAGTTTATGATCCTTCTACAGTTCCCCACTCAATGTTAGCTTCACAACAACCCCGTGAGGTAGGCCGAGAGTGTGCAACTTGCCCAAAGCAAGCGGCCCCGTGAGCTCCACGGCTGGAAAGGAAGCTTTGCCCGAGTCCTCGTGCAATAATAGGCCACCCAAGCACCACGTTCAGCGCATATTATGGGGCTGCCACTTTTATCCATTTAGCGGGTGAACTCCTGCATGAGCCGCAGATTCCTGGCTCGAAATGGGGTCCGCTTCCCCCTCGTTCCCATGACTCCACGGCGCCAAGTCTCGCCCTTCCCTTGTTCACCTCCCTCGTCTGTCCCGCCCGCCCGCTGCTCCGCCTCTCCTTTGCCCCGAGAGGGCCCATCACGCCGTGCCCTTGGCCAGAGGCAGCTCAAGGGCTTCCGAGAGGCCCCTCCGCCGGACTCTCACCTGCAGCCGCCCGGGGAAACCAGCCGGCAGAGCAGCATCATGGAGACGCCGCTTGGAGCAGGAGCAGGAGCAGGAGCAGCAGGAAAAGCGCCAAAGGACACGGCCGCGCACTGCGCCCCAGTAGCCCCGCTCGCCTCGCCGTCTGGCGGCCTCGTTCCGCGAAACGCCTGCGCGGCCCCTCCTCTCCCGGCTGCCGCTGCCTGGGGCGGGGAGACGCCTCTCCGCCCGCCAATAATGAAGCAGCGGCGGGCCGAGGCGTTGACGCGGGCGAGGCAAGGGCAACTTGGCCTCGGCGTGCTATGAAATGAAGCGGCCTTAGCGACAACGCTGCGTCTGCGGCACAGCTCTGGCCTTGGCTCCTAAGGGGGCCGCCGGGACAGCCTGCCTTCTTCGGACAGGCTTGCGAGCGGCGGCGCTGCGGCGGGCCTCTTCCATTAGGAGCAGCGCGGGAATTTCCATAAAAGCGCCTTTGGATGTTGCGAAACCAAAGCAGCATGCGTATCCATGCAAAATTTGAATTCTCTTACTGCACATTTAAAACCAGTACTTGGGCCGCTGAGAGGTGGTCTGCTCACGATTGACATATCTCCACAGTCTCTTGTCAAATAGCTGATACCCCCCCCCCTTTTTAGGGGCTCCTACTCCATGCGCAGCACCCAGCGGCTAATAATACCGCTTAGAAGAATACAAACTACATAAGTACACTCCATGAAAAACACCTCTAACACTTGTTGCAGTCAATTCTTCATCGCTGGCTGACAGAAAGTGCAATTGTTTACCTTTTTAACTTATTAATGGCTGGTTTTTTAAATCCAGAATTTGAACTAAATGTACTAATGCAGAATGACAAACAGGATTACTGATCTATTTTAAATAGTAGGCAGGTGTCCCAACTACAAGATATAGACTGAGAGAGGGTCCCTTATCCTCCAGAAAAAGGACTGGTGGGAACATCCATACATGGACCTAGCCAAGGGCAGCAGGGAGGGGCAGCTGCCTCATCAATAAAAATCAATAAAATATATAGCTGAGGCTCTGCCCCCCCTAACAAAAATCCTGGCTACACCCATGCATCCAAATAGAACTTACCACCTCAAGATTTTAGGGGGGGGAAATCCTAGTGAGTCACTCTAGAGTTCTTTGGGAAATACTATCCAAGGAAAAGAGAATAACTTCCAGAAAAATAATTTGGAGGAACCCAATTTATTTCACCCTGATACTGTAGAGCTTTTACACTGACCTCTGGGGAGAAAGATAGCAAGAGACCACACACTTTGGAATTAATGAGTGTTAAAATCTACTTGATAGCCCATGCACTGACAGGGCAAAACAAGGCAGATTGTAGAACATAATAGCTGAAGAGCCACAGGGGAAAATGCATGTGCCAGACAGATGCCTTCTACAGGTATGCCAATATGAGAAGCCAAGATGGTGGAGTTGAGAGTATAGAATGGTAAATTAGAACACAGTGCATAACAGAAACAGGAAGGATAGGAGACGAACCAGTGGGATACGGTTATCTGAATACAAATTTAGCAAAGAAGAGCATACTGAATGGTGTCACTGTATGTCAAGGTGACCATAGGGTCACAACAAATTATAAATCTCAGACAAGGCAGACTCCCCTCACAAAATCACTTTAGGTGAGAATATCAAGTATTATTGCCATCCTGACCAAATTGTCTTGGGTGATTATGGTGGAGTGTAAAATCAAGCAGGCACCCAACGTTGGCAGTGTGCTAATGGGCAACAACTCTCACATAAATCTAGTATGTTGTTCTGGTCACAACAACGAGGTAGATTCTAGATACCCTAAGGACTGTGACCTAGAACAGTTGGTCATGGAACCAAACAGGGGAAGTGACTCTGGACTTAAAAGTGTCACGCAAGACCTGGTGCAAGGTATGTTCTTAAATCATTTGGAAACTGACTAGTGCTCTCAATTTCTATGTATGAAAATGGACAACTGCCAAGAAAGTCCAATGCAATCCCATTTGATTTCAAGAGGAAACTTTCCACAAAGATTGGTAAAAAGGAAGCTGAAAGTCACAAGAAGGTCAAATCTCTCCAGGCAGCTTGGGAGCTGTTCAAAAGCACACTAAGCCTAGCTGGTATAGCACAGATCAGAAAGGCACCACCAAGGCCAAGAGGATGTCAGCATGGTTAACCAAGTCAAGAAGCTTTTAGAAGGCGGCTTCCTTCAGAAAATAAGTGTTGCCCAACTGAGAACACAGAACTTTGATAAAGAAATGGAAGCAGACAATGGGGGATGCAGAAGAGAGATATGAGCGGCACCTCCCTTTAAAGACTTAAGTCCAACAATAAGCATTTTTTAAAATATACCAGAAGCTAGGCAGGCAATGGGACTGTGACTTATCAGGACGGGGGTGGGGGAGGCGGGCGACGGTTTCCCTACTGGCAGACCCCCTTTAATAGTTTCTCAGAAAAGAATCTGCATAGGCCGACAGCCCAATCCTACCTTGGGGGGGATGGGGAGAAACTAGGCTGTCTAGATACCTTTTTATACTAATGAAGTTGTCAATGTATTTAGAACGGGGTGGGGTAAGTAAAAGATTGGTCAACAAATCACACTTTCAAACGGTCAAAACTACATTAGCTAGTTAGGTTGTACTTGCTTGAGGAGGCTTTGATTTCAAGAGCACGTGCAGAGTGCCTTGCAGGGAAGAGACTTTGAGAAAGGGCAAAGCTTTACATTGTATCTGGTTGGATGGCTCCACGGAGACAAATGAACTGAGGGGATGCTTCACATATTTATAGCCAGGAAAAGCCAACCCCCTTCCTTAGAATATATGGTGAGCAACTGGAGAAAGAATATCCATTTCTGATCACACAAGTGATCCTAAGTAGTCAGTCAGATTCATACTGAAGAGGCTGGTTCCACCTTAATGATTCTGGACTCCTATTACAAAAGAACTAGCTAGTTTAGAGGAAATATATATTTAAAAAGTCCAGTAGCACCTTAAGACCAACTACCATATTTTTCACTCTATAAGACGCACCAGACCACAAGACGCACCTAGCTTTTGGAGGAGGAAAACAAGAAAAAAAAATATTCTGAATCTCAGAAGCCAGAACAGCAAGAGGGATTGCTACGCAGTGAAAGCAGCAATCCTTCTTGCTGTTCTGGCTCCTGGGATAGCTGCTCAGCCTGCATTCGCTCCATAAGACGAACACACATTTCCCCTTACTTTTTAGGAGGGTAAAAGTGAGTCTTATAGAGCAAAAAATACAGTAAGTTTGTTCTTGGTATAAGCTTTCGTCTGCATGCAGACGAAAGAAGTGTGCAGATCTGAAGAAGTGTGCATGCAGACAAAAGCTTATACAGTGGTACCTCTGGATACGAACGGGATCCGTTCCGGAGCCAAACGCAACCTGCGTCTGCGCGTGTTGCGATTTGCCGGTTCTGTGCATGATGTCATTTTGACCGTCTGCGCATGCACGAGCGGCAAAACCCAGAAGTAATGCGTTCCTTTACTTCCAGGTCGCCTCGAGCGCAACCCGAAAACGCTCAACCTGAAGCAACTTCAACCCAAGATATGACTGTACCAAGAACAAACTTAGTTGGTCTCTAAGGTGCTACTGGACAATTTTTTTAGTTTAGAGGAGTTAGCCTACTACTAAAATAATACAAAAGATTTAAACTTGAGATGAAATTCAAGATACTGCTTCCTCAAAGGTTCTGAATGCCAGGCACTCTAGGGGTTACTGTTGGTAGTTACCAAATTGACTGAAATAACCATTGCCAAGTATCACTGACTGTATACAAACCTATTGTGCAACCACACTTTGAATACTGTGTACTTTTCATCACTCCATTTCAAACAGCTTACTGTAGGGTTGTAAAATATGCATTAATTGGCAAATGAAATAAGAGGATTGAAGCAACATAGGAAGGAAAGTTTCATTTGGAGCTTTTTAGCTTAGCAAAAAGGCCATGGGGTGGGTGGAATTAACATGTATAGAGATAATAAATGGTGTGCACTAAGTGGATAGGGTGTTTTCTTTTTCATAACCCAGTGTCATCCCTGAAGGTGGATTTTGGAAGGGTTTAAGTTAAATGCTTCTGCAACACACAAATCATGAATGAGGTCTGGAAAAGCCATATGCAATTGCATGCCAATGTATGGAAGACTGCACTAGGGTTTCAGAGTTTTTGCTTTGGTACTGTGTCACACAGAACCATAAAGGAGTTTGACATGTAGATGTGAGGCACCTTGGAAACAAAATCCTACCTCTCCCAATCATTTTCACAAAGCATAGCAAAAATTGTACTATGACAGTGTTTGACATATCCATTCTAGTTAAATGCACTTAAAGAGAATGGTTGATGTTTAAACCAGCAATTCAGAATTCCAATTCTCCCACAGAAAATGTGTGCTTAGATGTCCTCCGTATCCCATGATAAGCACACCTATGGATTTCCACTATGGAAAATTTTCAGTCATTTCATTTAAGCACATTCCTGAGGAAACTATGTTTTTTGTCAATACTTCATGACCACAGCAAAATGTACCACTTGCATTTTTTAAAAAAAGTTTCAGTGGCAAGAGCTGTACATTCACTATGAGAAAGGGGCCACATAGTGTATACTGATAAGAGCACCATAAAGCTTAAATGACTTTCAAGTACATGCTTTTACCTATTACAATGAAGACTGCATATTATAATGAAGGGTTCTATATAAACTGAAGTAAAGAAAAGCCCAACAAGTCTGCACAAGACAAACACAGAAGGACTAAATAAATTACATTATTAAAAATCTTTATTTAGGTTTGGTCAGTACAGTTAAGATAATATTGGAGTCACAGAGCAATATGCATTAACAGGATACAACAGTTCTTAAACCGAGTAACTATGCACACAAAATTCTTAAACATTCGGTCACCTAAAGAGAACGCACAGATGCATGGTGGCAAAACTGGAACACAGACTACTACAGGACTCCTTCACCAAGTTCATTTTAGTTATAAAACTACTGTACTGGGCAAACTTGGCAGTCATTACCTCACAACTATTATGACAATTTGAGTGTTATAACAGTATGAGTAAAGAATGCCCTTACGCAGCACAAGTTCTAGATATACACAGATTTGTACAGACATCATTGTGTTATACCTGGAAATAAAATTCGTTTCAACTTCACATTAACTCAAAAGTATCTTGAGCCTACACAAACATCCTTTTAGCAACATTCAATGTAATTGTTAAAATTTCAGAAGTGGCAGAGGTATCGAAGCAAAAAACCCACAAAGGCAGAATTGTGACATATATGCACTAATCTGAACAGTTCTGGACAGTTTCTTCTCCCAATTTAAACGACACTATATAAAAATGTTGCAGAAAAAAGGTTACAAAACTGAACCCTGTACATTGACATTTGAGTCCAAACCATTCTGAACATGACGAGACCCCGCAGTTCTGTTACCTTTCACACTGACTGTTTTCTCCTCTTGAGAATCGTGATTGGAGTCTGTGTCATTTGAATGGTGAGTTAGAGAATTCTCACTACCAGTGGGAGAGTCTACACTTTCGTACCCAGTACTGAGTTGATTTATATAGCTACCAGATCCTCTGCCAGTTCTATCTTCAGAGTGGTTGGAAAGCTTATTACCATTGCTTGGTGAGGGTGGAAAGTCATCCTCTGTTCCACTGCCCTCTCTATAAAAACCAGGCCCAGCTGTCCTCTGATGAGACGAGCTGCCATTGCTTGGTCCATTTGCCATACGACTGCAGTCTTTGCTCATGGCTTCTCCCTGGTCTGCAGTTTCTGAAGTTGGAGTCCGGCTGCTACCTGGGGCTGAGGTTTGTGACTGCTGCTGCTGCTGCTGATACTGAACCAACTGCTGGCGAGTCTCCTTCAATTGTTGCTGTAGGACTAGAATGGTACTCTGCATACCTTCTACTTCCTCATCAAGTTGGATGATGAAATCATTCAGTTCTACATGAAGAAAAACACATTTGGAGCATACACTTAAAATAGCTCATTTATGTATCCTAAAACTGTCTCAAGCCACCTCAACTTAGTTAATAACATATTCATATGTTGACGGCTTTGTGTACATATTTTTCCTAATCTACATAGCCAATACAGAGCTCCAAAAAAATAACTTCCACATCCCATGCTAGGACAGCATAACCCAATGGGTAGCACACACTCATGGGCATATACAAAGAAAAAGAACTAGAGAAAAATACAGAGCAGAAGACATTTCATAGAATGTTTGTTTTAATCTCAAAATGCCTACCAAAATGATTATAAATGAAGCAGCAAGTTCCTGCAAATCCAAATGCAAAGAATTTTGCACCAGGGCCCAAATGCATTATCAGGCAAAGATTCTTCAAGGGGGGAAAACTGTTACAGCTATCGATTTGTTAAGATATCTGCAAATGCTCCAAGGTTAAGGGATGGCAGTCCCAACCTGCATGGTTACATGCGTCTTCCTTATAACTTCTGGGCATTTTGCCTTAAAACATTTACTCTTAGCATACATCACCACATTTATATATATTAATTTGCATGATCTTCTATGCTATCTTTGGAAGTGGGGAAAACTGGGGTTCCATGGCAAATAATGTTCTGTTTTTGCACCAGTAATGTTTCTGTACCATGATCCCTCATATAAAAACCTATGTAGTATATAATCACTAACTGTACATTTAAAAAACTTCACTCACAGTGTTCATACCATAGCTGTCAACTTTTCCCGTTTTTAAAAGGCAATTCCCTTATTCCGAATAGGATTCCTCGCAAGAAAAGGGAAAAGTTGACAGCTATGGTTCATACATATTTGGCAATATGAATAAATGTAATATCAACATTCTCTTTGGAAGTTTGCTGTTCATCACCAGCCTGATAGAATGATACTAACAAGTATGCCAACACAGGCAAACATTAACAATAACAACTTCATTCGGCAAACATAATCGTGATTTTTTCGGTATTTTCTACTATTAGAAAATTTCAATACCCAGTCAAGTACAATTTAATTTCTCTAGTGCCTACAATCCTACTTGCCCCCAAAACTATTTCCAATGAAGGGTTAAATCCGTGTAATCCCTACAGCAAAAGTTTCCGCTAGTTGTGATACAAAGTGCTAGCATTATACCAAAGCACGCCCATGTCTCTAACTCAATACATCTATCTACAACTGAAGGTAAAATTCATAACAATAAATGAGATACAAATTTTAACTTTGTACGAACTTCTTCTGGAAATGTGCTGGTCAGAACTGGGCCAAAGCAAAATTTACAAAGCAAGCTCTGTGATCCTGATAACTACTTTAGGTACCCATGTGCCTGTCTGCCACCCAAAGGGGCTTGGGTTGCTTTACTATGAAAAGCAGACCACCATGTTTTATCACATAATGCTGTTGTACTTTCCTCAATTTCAAATTAGTCTTCTGCTGTGTAGCAAAGAAGGCTTCTGTTTTAGAATAAAGTCCACAGCACCCTTGGAGGGCAAAGTATCAAACACACACATATGCAAGTAGTCACACATGACTATTTCCTAGTGGAATTCCTTCATATTCTAGTCAATCTGTTATTTTACATGTCACACTACATTTACCTTCATGAAAAACTAGATTTATGTTTAATTTTTTGTGCTTCCATGGAATCTGATTAAATGAGCTTGAAATTATCCCTTTATTCATAATGTTTAAACATACTCCACAGTGGAAACATAATACCCACATCACAACATTAACTGGTGAAGCCTACAGATAAAAGGCATTTTTTCTATTTTCTTTATAAAAAAACCCTTACCATCCTGACTGCTTTTAAGCTCCTCACTATATTTCTTCTGTAAAGCCAACTCTGCCTCAAGTTGTGCAATACGTCCTTGGGACAGCTGCCTTCCAAGCTCTTGATTCTCCTGGATAAGCATTCGACACTTCGCCATTAACTTTTTGCCTGTTTGGCTGTAAAGGAAAGAGCCATCTATCACAAAATGAAGACAATATTCTCTCATCTCCCTTTTTAAAAGTAGTTACTGAAGTGGTATTCCTGTATGTGTCACGCTACAGTATCTTACTGCCAGTTGTCATTGTACAAAGTCTCCCTATAGATACCAGAGGCTGATCCATCATCGTCTGCTGATCTTCTGGCCCTGTTCCGAGAAACTGAAAGGCAAGTTCTACAGTTGAACATTTTAAATGATCAAATGACTTTTGTTGTTCTTATACTCCAACTACAGCATGAAGCAATTTTCAAAAGAAAATGAACTTAGTTGTGCCTCTAAGGAAGGGAAGGTGGGAGAAGTAAAGCAGTGTTGGACATAATGGGTTGCATCCAACTAAGTCCTAATCAGAGTAGACCCACTGAAATTAAAGGGTTTAAGTTAATCATGGCCATTAATTTCAATGGATCTACTTTGAGCAGGACTAGCACTGGCTAGAACCCAGTATAGTCAATGATCTGGCTTGCAAGCAATGAACAATCTCATTTTACCAATATACTGGAGGCTCTAGTCATGGCTATATGCAAAATTGAATGACTAACATTATGTTGCATAATAATGCTTTACAAAAGGCAAACTTGCCATACCAAGAATGCAAATGAGCAGAAAAGAATCCAAAACCTTAGGGAAAAATGACACAACCGCAGAGTACCAATAAAGGGGGGGGGGGAGGTTTTAGTCATGCTTAGAGATCGAGTAAAATCAATGGGACTTAATAATACCCAACCTGTCCCGTTTAAATGGGCTTGGATCCAATCCAAAGGACTGAGATATGATTCAGAAGGGGCTCATGAAGAAATTTATTTTAATCGCCTTTCAGTGTTGTGCTACGTATGCTGCTCCTGTGATGAGCAATGCAACACATTGCAATGCAGTCCTACCATTTCTGGTAAGTCATCGTAGTGTGTAGGCTACTCTGCCAGAGCAGCACCATAGCCACGAGTCCACAGAACTGTGGCCACTATGTGTAAGTGATCTGCAGGAGTTAAGCAGCACACTGCAGGGTGTTTAGCAAAATAAGTTACAATATACTTTCCACAAACAGAAGCAGCTAGATCATGCCACTGTCTTACATATTTTAGCATATAACTGATTAATGCGCATGATCTAATTTATAGAACTGTGACAGCTAGTTGCTTTCTTTCTGTGTGACTTCACACAAAAATGCACAAATAATATGCTATATATACACTTTTGTTTACATGTCCAGGATTTATGCAATCTTGTTTCAGTTCAGGAAAACCACTCAACATATACTAAAAGGCATTTCCATGTTTTGTCTAACTAAAACATGCAGCTCTATTTTACATGAAACACTGCAGTTTCAGACATTATGTGATAGCATATAGCAAAAGGATATACTGCTCAGTGATATGAAGATGCTTTGCATGCAGAAGAGCCCATTCTGATAGAAGGGCTGGGGGAAAACTTCTACCTAAGATATTATAGACCTTAGTAATGCAAGGAAGATTCCAAAACTAAAGGAAACAAATACAGCTTCAAAATTTGTATGAAATAAAATCATGGGGGCTTAAAAACTGCAGTTAATAGTTTCATGAGCAAGGTAAGCTATGAAAATGTGACATATGATGCAAAAACAGTATTAGAGCAAAATTTAGAACCTGTGTCTGCACAATTTATTATCCTTTTAAAATATGTTGTTCTCTAGAAAGGTTCCTGTCACTTACATTACCTATTTTTCCCCACTGGGACACACATTCTTGAAGCTTACCTATATATGGATCTACTATAATCCCAGCAAGTTAACGTTAGCATTTCATTTTCCTTAATATGTATTCCTTGCAAATCCTGTGTGCACCTAGCCAAAAACTGTAAGCAGATATGTAACTGTTTCACCAACCAATTCTCAGCTTTTTTGCCTGTTCATACTGCAATTGTGGCTAAATAAAAGTTCAACGTTTGCAAGTGTTCTCTGCTATAATTCAAGACATAGAAGGGTACTTCACACAAGGCATTTTCCTACATAAACCTGTTCCACATAGGAAAACTAACCTTACACCATAATGTGACATGTGCATGTGTTCTGAATACATGGAACCCACTGCTAATCACGCACACTAAGTGTGCATGTGCTGAAGTACATATCAGTATGCATCACATGTTATGGCATATACCTATTTTTTCTACATGGAAACAATGATCAATACAGAAAACAATTTGCATGAAGTGACCCTTGGTTATCACACAAAGATGATGGCCAGGATCCAAAGAGCTGCTTTAAGTATACAAGAGGGGATTGAACAGGTCCTGATTTTTTAAAATTTTCTTTAATAACAGCCCTCATTAATTTCTGAAACTCTTCTCGGTTTCAAAATCATCCCTTGCATTATATGAGGCTTTGGTTCAAGAAAAAAAAGTCAAAACCCTCAAACTCTTTGAAGGATGGTTCTTTGGATCTTGGCCTGTGCCTTCAAGAATTTCAGCCATTTCAGAATATCCATGATGCATTCTTCATGTCCACCTCCAGCACAACATAATCTCTTTAAGAACCTACATAGGAATTTAAGTTGTTGCTTATGTTTTCATGTTCACCAAACTACTGTCTCATATAAAAAATCAAGAAACTATTTTTGTCAAGAAAGAGATTATAAATGGGTGAGAATGGCAACAACAGTAACAAGCTAACAGAATTGCAGGATGCTGCTGCAGTGAAAACTACCACCTATTTAACAAATCAAATATTCTGGTAAAGTTATAATTTTTAAGCATTTTCCTGTTAACTAGGAAGCCTCAATGATGCCACCCCCATAATTAGCATCACTATTGGATACTATGTGTGGTATCAGTGATAGTTAAAATATAGCATTCAGTGATTTCCCCTACTGTATCTGGAATCCTATGAACAAGGACAATGCAATACAATACTTAAAACACTGTTGAAACAATCAGCTCTTGAGCACAGACAATGATCCACAAAAAGTGATGTGCAAATACAAGAACTGTTCCTTTGACCCTTCAGAACCACATTAATCTGTAGAAGAGTGAACTAGTACTTTCAAGTATCAAGTCAAAAAGAAATTTTGGCAAAACACATGGAAGACAAATGATGAAAATATTTCTTGAAAGGGATAAATTAAGATCCCACCCCTTAGACCTTTAAAATGTGTAGCAAAGTCAATTGTAAGGCATATCAAATAAAACTTAAATGTTTAAAGGGATGTGATTTCACAGTAAGTGGAAATATGTATATATCAAAGACCTGTTTTTTCTAAAAATCAAGCAAAAATTAGTTTTTCCAGATGTCTATTTGAAGTGAAAACGAAGTAAGTTCATACTTAGGTTCATGTCACCTTGAGAACCCAAAAACATTTGAAGTCACCATCCTCTAACCACACATGAATTGATTAAGCTGAAGTTCACAAATAATCTGTATGACATCCCACAATTAAAACATACCTATGAGAAATGATTTTTGATTATACATTTAACAAGTTTTACAAAGTCAGTTGCAACATATTAAGACAGTTTTTGCTGTTTTCTCTGTTGGTCTTACCTCTGTTTTGATGCTAGACCTTTAAAAGATTTTCCATAGCATCACCCCAAGATGTTTGAAAGATGCAATTTGTTTTTGCTTCAAGGTTTTCTTTCGATGTAGACTCAATAATGGACAAAGGTTCATATACTACCACATTTCATATGCTGCAATAATTATCTAAAGCAGAGCTAAAAAGTACTTCATAGAAGTATCTTTTATTTAACTCAACCAATACTGTATTGGGAATGCTGGAAGTGGAACATTAAAATATTTGTTCTTATATTTTACCTACTATGAAACAGTCCTTAATTTTCTTTCTGTTATTATATATTGACTATTATGGTTCAATTATATTCGGCAGTCTTTCCACTGTGACCTCAAGAATGCACACTAAACTGTCCCAGACTACCATTCCTGGAAATCACTTGGGACATGACGAGGCATCAAAAAGTATCAACTCTTCTGAACTGATGCCAACCAGTGGGATGCATGCAATTTGCTTCAACATCATCTCTCTTCCAGAGAACAGGACAAAATCAAGTAGCAGCCTGTTCTACATATTTATATTCATACTACATGAAAGCTTCCCATACAGTAGTACGAACAGCAGTGTCCCCTGAACTATGCAGTACAACTATTTCAAGGCACATTTTATAGAAGGCTGCAGTACAAAAACTAGGTATACAGTGGAATGCAAAATGCCCCAAACAAACTCTGAAAGTAACTACTACTGCAGCACCTTGTATAGCCTGCACATAGTGTCTCAGGATAAAAATAATGAATGGCACTTCTGCATGGATAAGGGCAGTAAAAGAATCACAACTAGTTTGGGGTTAGATATACTAGTTGAGATTCAGGACGTACACAACTGCTTCAACAAGGTTAGGAAGATGTAATTAAATTGCAACTATACGTACAGTACTAGATTTAGGAGTTCACATATTGCCAGCCATCCACAGAACAATTTGTTATTCAAAGCCATGAAAAGGTTCACTGAAGTCCTATGGAACCCAAATGCTAGGAAAAATCAACACTGACTGTGTGCGTGTTCTCACAGCTATTCAAAGCCGATTACCAAATGTGATTTAAACAAAATCCACCTCATTGAGTTTTGACCCAGCAGTTCAGTGAACAAGGAGGAAGTCCACAGTCTTATTGGCAAAACTGACTTAATCAGTCTCTAAGTCACTAGGTTTAGGGTTAAGAGCGAAGCATATTCCATTTTAATGTTTTACTCGAATTTGACATGATCAATTCATGATTTAAAATCTCTAGGTTCTCCTCCAAACTGTCTGTAGACATAGTGTGCCACAGACTTTAGACTTCTGCTTCTCCCTCTATTTTCTTCAAACAGAACCACTTCGCAAATGTCTACATGTTCTAGAAAGGGCACTTTTTCTGAGGTGGCCACTTCTTCAGAATAGTCCGACGCTGTCAGGCCTCTGAAGCAAAGGGGGGGAAAAGCTGAAACACAAGGTTCATCTGATAAGTTTTACATTAAGCATTACAAGCTGGACAGTATAAGAATGTGGCTTTTGGCTCAAAACGTCTGAGTCTTGGTGTGGAAACGAGTACGTGGTTGTCCCACCAAAGCATTCTCTGTCAGGGAAGTCTTGACTGGGGAGTATGTTTTGTTTACCTATCAGGTGTAAATTTCCAGGCACTCAGTTCATTTTGGGCTTGTTCCAGTTTGTCTTTAGTCTGTTCCAGTTCAGCTTTCATTTTTAGGAAAAACAAGTTGATGGCTGGGTCCACCATTGTTGATCTCAGTTGAGCAACACTTGGCTGCTGGACTTGCTTGAGGTACTGGATCTGATTCTGCATAAAAGGGGGTGAAATGATTACATTGGCATTTATAAGCTTTCATGAGCCAACTTAGCCCATTTCAGTCTGATACCCCCATACAATAAGGATCTCATAATTTAACATTTTCTTGAATACAACTGAACACTGAAACTGACAGGAATGCACGGAATTTGGATGCTTAGAATGGATCCAAAGAACAGGGCAATTTTGTGTTTGTTCCACCAGCATACTAGGTACCTAGGATTTTTTTTTTAATCATCACTGTATCAACCTCCAGGAACTACTCCCAAAATTTAACCCATAGCACCTTCAGATCACCCACCACAATCAAGCGGTATACAAATTTTATAAAATAAATGAATCAACATATGCCTTTTATTTGTAATTTTACACTTTAAGCTCCTCAAAAGACAGAGCTATAAGTTGTTCTCAACTCAATTTTAAGTTGTACTAGTAGTAACTAGTAGGCTTACATCAAGTTCTCTCTTTAACGTTGGCAGTAGTTTTCATCTTTGCATGCACTTCTGTAAAAAGGCAGGTAACATCAAAGAGACATTTGACTGGCCAATAAATATGTGGCTTTAATCCTTTTTTTGGGGGTAGAACTTTTAAAACCATTTTTTTTTACCTATCTTAGAGGAAATATGAACTTGCAGGACAGATCTCTTCAAAATTCATTGTTATTTGAATGAATACTACATTAGAGAAAATTCTACTTAACACATTTTCTTCTGCCAATATTTATTACTCAATGAACACTGGTACTGTGATATCAGTTGGGAAGTTCTAAATCAGAGTAACTTTTGTCTTCTTCTAGAATCCCCATCTCAAAGTGCTTTAAAGGAGCTACAGTATGAAATACAGCTTGCAGAAAAGGTGGCCAAAGCAACTGCTAGCCAATCTCTGATCTGAAAATATTTATGCAGTAAACTGCACAAAAAGTAATGAACATAAATGTATCAACTCCCAAGCTATGGACTGATAAGTTTGAGATTCTGCAGCATAAATAGGCATATAGCTAGAAATACCTCCCTAACCACAGTGATATTTCCCTAAGCCAACCAATATCCTAGTCTTGTCTGCTAGAACTATTCACAAACTGGGAAGCCAAGCTCTGCTTCTACATTTATACAGGTACACCTAAATTAAGTGAATTAAGTAAAACGACAAATGACTTGAAGGAAGTCATTCACAAGGAAAAGTGCTGTTCCTCTTACTGTAGGTACAGAAGACAATAGTGAATACTGGGCCTGCTTCCTGAAATACCTTTGGGACTCCATTAACTCATTTTGGAAGTAGAGAGGACATATACAGATCAGAACAGCTGGGTCATCTTCGCCATACACCACCACAATTTGGCTACACAGAAGTTGTTTCAGCTACCTATGCATCACAGCAGAATTAAATGTGCACAGCATTTTATTGTTGTTATTTTAAAAGTAGCTATGTTTTGCTTAGGTCTGCTACTAATCTAGGGTAGTTCTCAGTCACTTAAAAAGATGAAGGCATCATGATTCATTAAAGTTTTCATTCTGCCAGGAATGTGGCCTTTTGACCAAAAGGACTCTGAAAAAAACACTCATGCAACAGGATAGTTGAAGCAAACACCACAGGATGTTAATAGTATTCCACATACAGGATGTTAAGCTAAAAATAAATATATCAACACAGACACCTTCATCTGCAACAAGTTGAAAAGCTTCACTTACAGTACACTCTTGCATCTCTTGTTCCTTAGTTGCCAGCCGCATCACTAGGATATTTTCTCTTCGAGCAGATTCTTGCTGTTGCTGCTTCAGCTTTTCTTCTGACTCTCTCAATCCAGTTACATCATTAGCTATTGTTGAATGGCAAAGCAAACAGTAAAGTTTTAGTGGGAGCCTATAAAGACCTTAAACCAAATTTTTGTCTAAGCAAAACAACTTGACCATCAAATTTGTTTGCTTCTGCTCCCCTACTGAATCAACTAAACCCACATACAAGAATTTAACGGGGAAAGGAATAGCTCCTCTACAGCAAGCAAAGCTGCACAAACACAGCAAAGATCAATTAGGAGATTCCTACCCTTTTTCTACCTTCCTTTTTCCTGTCAGCTGTCAGCAACGGGTAGGACCAGTAGTCTATAATAAGGGAACTCCCCCTCCCTCTCCTCTTCCCCTGCTTCATCCTCAAATTTGCTTCAGAGGGTTGCTGGAACCCCCTTAACAGATTTTGTGAGTGTATGAGGAGAGAAAAGGGAGGGTAAGTTCCAAAGCAAAGACAGAAGTCCTTTCACTACTTCACGGAATGCCACCCTTCATTTCTATTTCAAAGGACTACTTGTGAGAAGCAATGATTTATTTTTTTAGGTGCCCAAGTTAGCCTACTCCTGCAACAAAATATTGTACCATCTTAAAAAATAACTCTCTCTCTATATATATAGGCAAAAGATTTTGTAGTTAAATTCATGAGACACCAACATAGCATGTTTTAACTATTAACCAAGGATATTAAGTTCATAGAAGATTACATAACCTCCATAACAACTAGAAAGCTGAAAAGCAGTTGCCATGTTTAAAGGACTTAGAGGCACTTAAAGGGGATTAGACCATTACTGTGATTGCAGTGTCCCACAAACAAAATTCATGCTGTGGATCTATTAACATCTACAGATGACAGAGACAGCACATTGAGGGTAACAGAACTATAGTCTGGTATTTAGCTTTGTCCTAAAACTGGTAAAAACTTTCTGCTGTCAGTAGAAACACACCAATAATAACGGCTTGCAGTTTCCCAAGACCCCAACTGGAAGAAAAGAACTGAACTTTTCTACAAACTGCATTTTGTTTGAGATCAGTCAACAGGTTCATGTTAATTAAACTCATACTTGAGATAGCACTCTCTTGGGTGTGTTTAGAAAAAAGCTTGCTTGTCACTCTAGAGGTATCGCATGGTAACCTGTACAACTATCCTTTTGTGCCTAATTGTTGTTCCCAGTATTAATCCCAAGGTGGACATGTAAAGGAAAGCTTCTCTTTCCAGAGGGACAATTTTGAGATTCAAATAGCTTAAAATAACCTGAACTCAAATCCCAAGGATGCAGAGGAGTTCAACAACACTTACTTTAATACCACTTTACACTGATTTTTTCTGACTGAATGGGTTTATGTTAACAAATCAAACAAATCTGATTGCAAAGTAAAGATTAAAAAAACCCTCTTAAGTAATTTTATCTGTATCTGTATAATGGGCTTAAGCAGGTACTGACAGAGAAACTGTGGCTTGCCAAGATTTTGTTGGACCCCAGTTCTCCTCATACGACCATATCTGGAGTGCCACAGGTTTCCCATACCTGACTTTACAGCAAGAACCCATTGTATTGGCTTTAAGAATTCCACAAATGATCAGAAGGTGCATATACACAAAATATGATACACTTTATCATTCATTCTATATTAATGTTTTTCAAGAACAGCATACCCCAACCTGGTGCCCTCCATATATTTTAAACTACTCCACCGCAACCAGCAGTCAATAACCAGGAATGATATGATTGGAAGCCAAAATTTTTGGACAGCACCAGCTGGGGAAGGCTGGTCTAAAACCATAGTTCTCAAACAGGTCTTTAGCTGTGACTGCAGAGACCACAAAACATACATGATGGCTACAGGCAAGGTCACAGCACTGTGATTTTATGATAGCATTTCAGAAATCCTGCTTAAGCCTCCTGAAACAAAAATAAGTACAGTGGTGTCTCGCAAGACGAAATTAATTCGTTCCGCGAGTTTTGTCGTCTTGCGATTTTTTTCGTCTTGCGAAGCACGGTGTCGGGAAAGTTTTGGAAAAGCTTCAAAACTCACCAAAGTCTTTAAAAACCTCAAAAAAGGCTACCACACCGCGTTCTATGAGTTGCTCCTCAAAGTCAAGTCGCAACTGTATTAACGGCGTTAAGAAAAAGGAAACAAACTTGCAAGACGTTTCCGTCTTGCAAAGCAAGCCCATAGGGAAAATCGTCTTGCGAAGCAGCTCAAAAAACAAAAACTCCTTTCGTCTTGCGAGGTACCACTGTATTTAATTATTAGATGCACCCACAGCACTTACAACAGTATCAGTTTGAGCAAGGGTTTCCATTTACTGCAGTTAACCAAACTACTGCAGACAGTAAGTGCCGGCTTAACGAAGATACCCAATGGGAAACCGAACACCGGTCCCACTCATAGATCTGCTGAATTCATTTAACTTTAGTAGAGGCACTTCTAACACACCAAAAACTTCTGAAAAGACCACCAAAAACCTTTAACATTAATTTGAGCCAGCCACTTTCTCACCTCCTCCTATGGGTTACCTGGAATACCTTTGTACAAAAGAGATGGCAGGATAGGAGGATAGATTAGGAAGCTTACAGCAGCTGCTGCTAGTTATGTGTATATTTTATTTACGTCTGGGTTTTGTTTCTTTGTTGGGTTTTTTTAAAAACATAAACCACATTTAAGCTTAGTAAACACTGTATACCAATGACTTAAAATGTGGCCTGTGACACACCAATTTGAACAATGTACATCAGAGATAGGTTACTTAAGCCTGAGTGACTGAACTGGTAATGCCATTAATATGTCTGAACTCTAAGTAGATAGATAAAAGTGAACCTTTGAAGGGAACTACAGTTCTAAATGGTTTGTGAATCAGCCTGGCCAAGCTTACTTAAAGGGCTGTTCAGATACTTTTTCTGAGCTGTACAGAAAACCCAACTGCTGCCCCTTAAAACAACTCTTTTCTTTATTATCACTTCTATTTTGCAATTGAGTTTCCACTTACAGTTAAGGTCTGTATATTTGCCCTCCAGAGCTTGCACATATGCTTCATATTGCTTCCACCTAATGAGGAAGGAAAATTGTTTTTGAATCTTAAATTATTAAATTATGGCATGCTTGGTGCAAAGTGGGAGTACAGACAAGATCACACTTAAACGCACAATAGGGTATTCATTAAATATCTTAAGCTCTTTCCAACCAAAAACAATGAGACAGACAATCTCACATCTAGCACCACCCTAAGCACCTTTCCATCCTTCATTTCTGCAGTTTTAAAACAAGTTTCTAGCCTCATATATGAAAGACATGGAGAGTTTATTTCTGTTACAAACCCAAGAACGCCAAGGTGCAGACTCTTGGTCATACTCTTACATTCTTTCCTCTGGAATTCTCTATACAGTCTGAAAGTATATCAAATGACTTTTTTCCTTTCTGCATTCTAAGTGCAGAATTTCCAGCTACTTGCCTTTGGATAAACAATGTACTTTTTCTCCACAGCCAGTAGGAAAAGGTTTAGTGTTAATCTTTCTACCTCATTAAACTTAAAATTGCTTTTTAGTTCCCTGTTACCATGAAAATGGAAGTTATACAAAATGAAACAGTTAAGAGATGCATGGTTTTTAAGTAGAAGGTAGCCTATCACTTTACCTTAAGATCAACTCCTCTCTAGGTAGAACCTTGAAATCTGTATCACTGAGGCGAACCTGCAGAACAAAAATAATCAAGTTCAACTATTTCCTCATGCAATATTGAAAAACAAATACAAATGCTACAGCTTTCAAGCTTACCTTCTTCGGAAGTGGTTCTTCATTAGTCATTGTGAATTCTGCATAAAAGAAACAAACACTATCATTATTTGGTCCTCTTACTACCATAGCCAGCATTTTTATGCCACCTGAAAATAATGATGCAACTGAAGTGAGTCCACTGAACACAGCATTATGTACTTTCAATAATTATGACGAATTGGGCTCTAAGTATTAGATCCAGACTACCCCTGGGCAGACCACCACCCAAGAGATTCTCCCATTGGAGGAGGTGGGGAGCCAACTTCTCCAATTCCTCCTGAGAAACTGGGTCAGAGGGTCCTTGGGAGATGGTGATGGCAGCTACAGGAATTCCTCTGCTGAAACTGTCTCTTGCTTTTTCCAGCAAGAGCCTCTGCTGGATCTTGGGTTCTTTCTGTCCATGAAAGCAAAAATATGGATCCAACCTCCTGTGTTGAGTGTAACTAACTACAGCTAACAGAAAGCTCATTTCACAGCACAGAAAGGGTTTACATGTAAGTTACTGGTTTAAACATTTTTACAGCAGTACTAGGTATCTGCTTATACATATCTGCTGCAAAGTCTGAGAAAATGATCTGAATTAAATCCTACTGAAATCCATGACTTTTTAATTTTTTAAAACGTGTACTCTACCTTATGACCCTGCTGGGTTTCTGAGTTTTGTCCAATGAACACAACTATTATTTTGTATTCAAATACTTTTTCTGACATTTATAAGCTTTCCATATCTAATGCATGTTGTTATGTCTCTATTGCCAAAAATCTTTGTAAATAATATTGATACCAATTATCTAGTCATTAGTTATTGTCTCATATCTTCACTGACACTCTGTTTCCAGCTATACCTTGTCCTTGTTCCAAAGTTTTTCTGGCAAGAACTTTCCAGGAAAAGGCATGCAAAGGTATGGGAATTCAGATATATGTAGGTACAAAAGCTTTAGCTAAATAGTGGTTCATCACTTTTGAATGTATTCCTGCAATTAACTGGCACTATGCCTACCTCAGAGACAGTCAGGGAACCACTATGTTGTGCTGAATTTAAAATCTGAACTTATCTTACTTGATGCTTAGCTTATTTTTTTAGTTGTTTTGTTAATAGTGTTTCATAGATGGTAATTGTTTTACTGATGATTTGTAACTGTTTCATTGATTTGTTAAGTATTCTAGAAGATTTATTCTGTATTTGTAATGTTCTATGATGTTATTTTTATGTATTGTTTGTATGCTACTGGGATTCATTTGAATGAAAAGCAGCATAGAAATATAATCAATCAATCAATCAATCTTTTGCAACTTTATTTGGGAATTATTCAATCATGAATGAGTCTTGCAACACCCAGATTAAAATGTTGATAAATCCATATAGGATAAAATATTTTCCTTAAATTATTAGCAAAGAGCAGGTACTTCTAAAAGCAATCAATATGTTTTTAAATCCCCAAGTCTCCCTCAGCTAGACTCATCTCAGTATTTATTTTAAAGTCTTAAGGGGCCATATCTCTGAGCAACCTTCTGAGGGCTACATGCCAGTGGTGGTCAGGGCCTGAAGCAAAAGTGAGAGAAGGAATAAATGTACATTTTACCTTTGTACAGTGGGCTAGCATCTGCACACACTCACATACCTCCTGTTCTTTATTCAGGTAAGCAACAGGCATTATCAGACTTCAAGAATACATTCATGACAGGCAAAAACACTTGAGGAGAGTGCAAAGCAGGATGTGGCCTAGGGAGAGCTCTGATGGCCAAATAGAGGCCTAGAGAGCCACTTTCATCTCCACACACACACAAGGGTCTCTATCCCTTCTATAAAGGTAAATCACAAAACCAGTCTTTATTCATGGCTTCATATTATTGTGTAAAGCTGATCAATTTAAGAACAAATTGTTCTTTCAGGATTTGTGAACTCAGATTTTGTATTATCACATCTGTGTTCAAGATGGCTATAGAAAGAACTCATACCTATAACTCATATTAGCCAATGGCTTTAGTGAAGTTGCACACCACCCTGTGATCCTCGATAAGTTCCAATTGTTCTATTGCAAGTAAGCATCAATCCCTCTTAAGTCATTTTAGCTGCAGTGTTCAGTGCACATACTCCACCTTCAGAACGTGATCAGATCCATACTAGATACCATTCCAAAAGTAACAAACCCCATATTCATACCCAAACAACCTCATGAATGCAAGGACATGTAAGTATTATTGTTTCCGCTGTTTTGCATACATTTTATTAACTATATTTGGTTAAATAACCAAATTAAACTGTTTCAACATCAAAATGTAAGTTAAATATAAAGGTATTTAATTGAAACACTCAAGTATGTCATCTTAACTTTTATGATTCTGTCAAGTCACACATGTAAAATCTTTTGTCAGTTTTCATAGTATTTAAGAAAATAAACAACTGTGCTGTCATGTAACTAGATTTTATTTTCAGTGTATTATGAAGAAATTCTCTCATCCCTGACCCACTTCTGATCTAAGCTAAGCATCCATCTCCAAGCAACAGAGCAATCCAGGCTGAAACAAACATGGTGGCAGTTATGAGGAAAGTGCTTGTCTGTGTAAGTGCTCCATGCACATCCTATTATGTATAAATGAATGCATTTACTTCTAGAGTCAACTCATTCACGTTTTAACTTAGTATACCAGTGAACTGTAGCCTGAGCAACTATAGCCTGTCATTAGTATGGTGCCTCTAAATGTGAATAGATCACTTTGCATGGTGGTTTTTACATGAGTGAACATCAAAGAACAGTTGCATAAGGAAACACTTTACCTATGGGCAACACATATTTATTGGCCCTCAGATGAAAACCTCACTCTTGGTGAGTTATGACAGATATCAAATTTTTGGTTATGACAATCAATCCAGACATTGTAAGCTGCACCTGAAAATCACCTTGGGAAGGGGGCACCCAGTACTCCTTAGAATCTGACACATTGTGTAAAAGTTTCTTGTTCTCAAAGGATATAAACTGGCTTGAACAGAAATATTTCCAGTAGTCAGTCTACAAATTCTACGTTGGAAATGCATCTGTAACATTTGAGATGTTACAGCATATACTGTACTTGTTTTGTTCCCCAAAGAGCAACCGAACTCTCAATAAATTGATACCACTGAGCAAGTTTGCACCTTAGCCTTACAATTTGGCAAAGTATACTGCCAAACCCATATTTTCAAACAGACTTTTGATTAGAAAGCAAGTGTAACCTACATTTGCTTGGAAAAGTTAACAAACAGGGTTTTGTTTTGTTTTTAAAAAATCTAATTATTGACTTTAAATTATTTATAAAATCGCTGTTTTAAGCAGTGGCAATTCAAACCTGCTTTCTCTCTTGCACCAAGTAGTGATGCCTGCAATCTGAGGAACCCATTACTTTCTAGCGAGCCAAATCGAGCCTAAATAACCCATCCATGTGACTTGCAGTCCAATCCCATCCTTATTTACTTCGAAGCCCCATTTATTACAGTGGCGCGGTCTCCAATGCAGAGGAGGAGTGCAGTCTAAAGCTTTATAACCTTTCATATTCTGCGTGGGGAATGTCTCTCTGTGTGCATCTATCTGCATCTACGGCTGGCTTCCGATTTCCCCTCTATCCAAATGGCGTAGAAGTAAAAACGTGTCGCCAAGTCCTTTCAGGTCTTACGGATAAAAGGCCTCCTCGTAATTAAGAAATAATCTAAGAAGTCTTTTCGAATCCCAGGGTATCCACGCTCCTGTCTACGAAGGACGGTGCCTTTAGGAAGGCCGGTCCATAGTAAACAAGACAGGCGAGCGGAGGATGCCCGTCCCCAAACAAGCTATCTGAAAAACGCTGAGGGGGGGGGAGTGTGTGGAGGGTTTTTTTTTGAGGGGGGTGACGACAACCATGAAGAAATGCCCGTAACGGGTGCCCGTAACGCAGGAAAAGGCGCCGAGTTTAAACCCCCCCCCCCCGCTTCGAGTTACGTTAGTCCGGGAAGGCGCTCCCCGCCCCGCCCGTGAGGTGGATGCCCCTTCCCGCTCAGGGCTGGCGAGCCTCGGGTCTCTCCGGGAGCCGTAGTAGCGGGGACTGCGGCGGGCGGATGCAGCCCTCGCGCGACGAAGCGGAGAGAGGCCGCCACTCACCTCCCGCCCGTGGCGGCCCCGAGGCGTCGTCGTCGTCGTCGTCTCCCGGTTGCAGCGGGTGCCTCCACGCCGGGGCTCGTGTCGCATCAATCAAGCGGGCCCAGCAGCACCTCTGCTTGGGGAAGGCCGCCGCCAACACCGCCGCCGCCGCCGCGCCAGCACCACCACGCTCGCTTCCCGCCCCGCTCTTTATTTGCTGCTTCGCTGCGCTACAAAATGGCGCCGGACAGGGAAATGAGAGGAGCCGCCGCCTCGCCCCTTCCTTGCCTCCCGCCTCGTCCTAGCGAGAAGGCAGAGCCGCCCGCAGCGCCGAGCCAACCGCTGCCACTCACCCACGGCTCCTCCCCCTCCCTCGGCCGCGCGCTCCCTTATTCACACTTACCGGCCCAGCGAGAGAGCGAGAGCGAGCGAGCAACTGCCCCTGCAGCAGTGCTTTGCCTGGCGCCGGGACTACTTCCCTCGCACGGCGCTACTGCCTCCCCCCCCCCGCCTCCTTCCTTGGTTCGGTCTGCTTTTCTGTTCTCTCTGCGGAAAGAAGCCGCTGTTTGCGCGGAGAAGGGGGGTGGGGTGAGACGTAAGTATTCGGCCAAAGTTAGCGGGGGACGACGACTGAATGCCCCGCTCCAGTCCCGCGTCTCTACGCAGTTGCAAAGCATGATGGGAGGAAGCAGGGTGGTAGTAGCGTCGGCGGAAGGATTCGGAATCGTACAGTTTAACCACCTGCAGGAGTGAGGCCGAGCGAGGCGGAAGGAGACTTGATGTTGCTGGAGAAAGATAGTTGCGGCGGAGGCGGTGAAATTCCTACGCAGGGATTTCTTTTGAGTCCACCGACTTATTTTTCGAAGGAGTGAAAATGGAGCAGTCGAGTCCGTTCCTATGCAGAGTTTGGAAATCGGTGGCATTGAAGGGTCGCCTAACCGTGCACGCGATCGGGCTGTAGTATTGGGTTAGAGTTACGAAGTGCGCGTAACTCCCAATGAAATCAGTGGAATTGCAGAATTATGTTTGCATCCAGGATCTTGACAAGTTGTATCTTTTTAGCTGTACCCATGAGGTTAACTGGAAGGGAACCAGTAAAGTTGATTGGCATTAACTTTAGGACTGACAAATTTATTCAGAGGATTTGCGATTTAATTTATGGAATTCACGGGCACAGGATATAGAATATCTTTTAAAGGGGTTCTTCTTAAGTTAGCCACCATAGCTAAACAGTCCATAGCTGTCAACTTTCAGATTTGAAAATAATTGATCAGCAGCCTCGAAAATATGGGACCAGCAGCCTCACCTGTCCCAGGGACAGTCTACGGGATATCGAACAATCCGGGATAGCAGTGGGAAACGGCGCTGGAATAAAGGAATTTCTCGCAAAAAAAGGGAAGGTTGACAGCTATGAAACAGTCTTTGTGGTCAGAGGCAAAACTTGAGTGTTGGAACAAAAACAACAGGTGAAAGTTGTCACTTTTTCTTTAAAAAACTTAAAAAAACATTTTAAACAAAGATAAACCAACTACATACAGAGAATCATCTATGAATACCCTACAGCACTTTGTCAAAGGGTATAACAAACACAAATTAATACATATTAGCCACCATCACTTGAATGCTTGTCCACAACTTAAAAGTTATTGTATCAGCATCAGTGGTCTGCAGGGTTTATACAAAAGCAGGAGGGGAGGAGAAAAAATAATAATTAAAGTACCGGTATGTGCTTCATGCAAGTCAAACTGTGCTGTAGGCCATAGGCACTGTTCTGCTATATTCCTCATTCATTGTATAATCTGTAAAGTCACCCCAGACTGCATAAAAATTACTGTATTTCCCCTGGCCTCTTGCTATCTTCCTTTTTTCGTGTCAATTTTCCCAATAATGCTACCTGCCAGATCACCCTATACCACCAGTCCTGGCAGTGGTCGTCCTTAACAAATTGGTTCTAAGTTCTTTGTTTCTAATTCGTGTTATGTCCTGTACAGGTTAAGCAGAGCCAGTCCTGTGGTCATGGGTATTGTCTGCCTTGTGATCAAAGATATCTCTGTAAAAACATTTGGTGGGAATCAAATTGGGATTTAGAATTGAAGAAGAGGCATAATGCCAAGATTGCGGGTTTGATTCCCATAACAGACAGCTGCACATTCTTATATTGCAGGGGGTTAGACTAGATAATCCTCAGGGTCCCTTATAAATCTATGATTATCGCAGCTGCTGTAAGGGATGTCATTGTGTACTTTTGTTTCAGGTGGCAAAATGTCTTGGTCTAGCCCTGAGTTAGGGTTGGAAGGAAAAGTAAGTATTGCATATACGTAATTCAGTTCCCTCCCAACCTTTCAGTTCTCTCTTATCTATCTCTTTTTTTAAGAACCTTAGCCTCAAAATTTTGAGAAATACATTGTATTATTCTGGTGACATTTAAAGTGGGTGGGGCAAATGTAACTTGTGAACAATGGCAATGGGCATTATGCAAAGAAATGTGAGAAGGAATTTATTAAAGTGTTTTATTGTAGTTTCAACCTTTGTAAAACAACAACAACCCGTTCTGTGTTTTCTTAGCAGTGTTGCCTCCAGCATGTTGGCAGGAGTAAAATAAATAAATAAATAAAGTACACTCATCACTAGAGGGCAGATCTGCTATATCATGAACAGAAAAAGAACTCTGGAATTAACTAACTCCACAAACACATTTTTTTAAGGGGAAAAGTGTGCCTGTTCCCTATAGGGCTGGTAGAATTACCAGAGTTTACTTAACAGTAGCAATCCATGTTGTAATTCTGTGGAAATGTCTTGTTTTCCATGTGTAAATATTAGTACGTTGACATGGAAGCCCCCATCTAACACTAATAGTATTTCAAAGTATCTTGAATACACCTATGCATCATTCCTACAGTTTTTTAAAATTCATCATGGGGTTTCCGTACTTGTATCTGCTAAGGATGGTGATGCAATAGGAAGAGCATCTTCACATGTGTCTGTGGTGCTATTATTTAGTTAAACGACAAAGTGTAAACATATCATCCTTATTTACTCAGAAGTGACCCTAAATCAATACGTTCAATGAGATTTACTCCCAGGTAAGGTACCCAGCATTGCCACCTTAAACTGTTATGGATGATGCTAAGGTCCTCTGGAGATTCTAGCTCTACAGAAATATGAGGAAATTGTGTCTCAGAGGTCCTGGCACTACTCTGGCATTACAACTCCCAGGTTTTATTACAGGGATGAAGGAGGAGAGAATAGTTAAATTTACACTTTAAGCTGTAGACGTACTCACAGAAACTATTACTTCGCTATTCTCTTTTTTTAAAAAATTCAAAAGGAAGGCTATATGTGGCAGTTGAAGAAAAGTGAAGACTGAAAACAGTCTCAAGGTGGGTCATGGTATGAACAACCTTTAACAGAACCAGGGCCAATAAGATGAGCTTGTTCAGAATTTTACTGACAAGAAGGGAGTTGCCTAAAGAGGTCAAAAGTGGTCAACAATTGCAAAGGGAAAGACTCATAGGAGGTTGAGGGACCAGGCAGTGGGCAGCTGTTCATGAAGGCAGCCTCAAAACAAGGAATATTAATCCTGGAGGATATATATCAAATGATATTAGATAATATGTGGTCATAACTCATAAGATCAGGACACAAGAAAGGTGAAGCAGATGCCACAGCTGGAATTCATAGCTCTTAAAGCATTGGAGACTGGAGTAGTCTTGACATAGTGGCTGGGAACTCACAAGAAACAATACCCCAGTGTAAATACATAGTTACAGGATTAACTGCTGTGAAGGCGATTATAAGTCAATCCAATCATCTTGGATAATGTTTGTGTCAGAGGTTCTCAGATGGTGTTCTGTGAGCCACTGTAGTCTATGAGCTCCATTCAGGTGGTCTGTGAAATTCAGCTTTATCATTGGTGGTGGGACCACAACTACTACACTAGAAAGCTGCAGTAGTAGTAGTCCCACCAAATATAGTAAATACACACTGTTTAATAGTGAAATCAAATGGGGAAATACCCCAATCTAGAACCATATTTTATTCACTAATTGTTTTAAGTTGGTGCAGAATTTGTAGTCAGAACTGTTCTAATAAGTTGATGTATTTCAGTTTTCTAAACTGTTGCATAATTATTTGTGATACATAAGAACCATTAACACTTCTGACTTCTCAATAAATCTTCAAGTTCTTAAAAAGGCATGTGATGTGGAAAATGCGGCCACACATTATGTAACTATATTGTTTGTTTGTTCTGCATTTGGAAACCTCGTAAGATATCGTAACCAAATTTTGCATGACGGTTCCTGAGATCAATAAGCAGGTTTGTGTCTATGTATGCATGCCATTTTGAATCAATATGATGGACTGAACCTTCCAAAACTGCACTGATTTTTAGTGCATTAGTATTCCCAAGCAACACTGGGTTCAAGGTGCTAGTAATGTATATATTGGTGGTAGTGGGGTGTTTTTAAAAAGTTGGAGGAGCAAAATAAAAACTCATCATGGCTACTATCCTGAATACCCTTTGAGTATTCCCTCAGACGTCAGCAGTTTTTACTGAAATAACACAGGATCATTTTGACAAAAAGGCATTACGAAATGAACTACTGATATCCACACATACACCCCTGCAACTATTTGTTAATGTTTATTTAGTGCGCCAAGAGTGGTAGATTATTGGCTTCAAATTTTTGCTGGCATTCACCTTCAGAAGGACCTATTGACTTTCATAGTTGCTGATTTACCAACTTTTCTAAACTATTATTTGATTACACTAGCAGTTCACCTTAATGTGACATTTGACCATCATTTGCAGTGATGACATAGGATGGTATCCAGCAAACCTGTTCCATTTCTGTAAGGACTTCCACTTGTGCCCTTGTACCTCCCTCTCCTCCTACCATCCAGCCCCCAATCTGTTTTAGGGGTTTCCCTAACCCTGCAGAGCAGATTTGAGGGAGTGCACAAGGAGGTGAGAGGGAGGGGAAGAGAACAACTTCATTGCAAACAACCCATATTATATCTTTTTGTTGTATACAGTACTTTAGAATATTCAGAGTACTTCACATTGAATATCATTAATTTTACACTATCGCTGTAGGATCAATTATTATTATTCCCATATTGCACATAGGGGACTCAGGTGGAGAAAACAGAAGTTTGCCTTTCACCTACTTACTCAACAAACTGAATTTCACAAAGGAAAGGGAAGGTGTTATGGCTACTATAAGCCTGCACTGCTTTACTGCTGTTTATCAGCATCAGTAACGTGAATACTCAAGAATAAGAAGTCTCCTTTGAAAAACAGAAGAGAAAGTGACAGAGCACCATTTGTCACCTACATCTGCTAGCTGAAACATATCATCAATGAACTATAGCCCATTTGGGACAAGGATGCTCTCCTGTCAGAGGCCTTGGGTAGCAGGCCTTTCCTTGGTTATAGATCCCCCCCCCATCTACTTACAGCAACAGGCCAAATGGTAGTACCACCAGATCTGCTAGTGCATTAGCACACACATTTACACAAACATCTCTTGCACACATGTTCACTGAAGGGCTAATTTAGCAGAATAAAAAAGTAGTATTCGTGGATTCTTTACTGGAGATGATTATGTCCACATATGCACTTGTATTGGCTTTGATAACCTTATGTCATTTGGGAAATTAACACAGGCCAATATTAGTATGCTTGCTGCTTCTTGTTATAATTGTAATATTTATTTTAAAATGACTAAAAGTTTAGAGCTGGCTTCATGCCAATATAAAATGATTTGCAAGTAATAATACAGTTTTGAAGCTTGAAACACCACTATAGAATAATGCTGTACACAAGCAAGGCCTGGACAATATACAGTGCCTGGACAATATACTTAATTACCACTGCAGAGATTGGGGTGAATAAGCGGAGAGTTATCAAATAGGAATTATGAGGCAGAGTCTTAATGGCCCAGCTTTGCAGAAATGGAAAAACCAGAAAATGTTCCATGTCATGAAATAGAAAATTCTGGGAGATAAAAGGAAAGTTGGGATGCAGTATTTACCCATCTGCTAACAGAAGAGAAAAAGAGAAAGCAGAGTTCTTCACTGTAGCTTAGAGGTTTACTACCGCAAATGGGCTAGCAGTTCACAATGGAGCTCAACACGATTTATCGTGGATGTGATTGATCAGATCTTTTATAAGACAGAATTTAATATAGTTTTATTACATACTATGTAGTAATTCATGATATTTATCTGGTAGGATACTCTTTAGTATTGCATCATATGTTCCAGGGTTGAATCCTGGCACTGAAAACAGGTTCCAGAGCCAAACTCTGTTTATGTGCTGAGTTTAAGGCACACTAGTTTGCATGCTCTTATGGGAACTTCTATTGGCAAATCAGATCAACAAGGAAGAAATTAATGGGGAGATCATTATCTTGCACAATGACTTTCAGCAAAGCGGAAAAACAAATCTTCAGTGTCCAATGTTTTTGGTGAATCCTGAAGATGCAGGTCTTTAGGACCCATGAAATATATATTTTCAGGACCAACACTATTTTTTTGCTATTTTTTTTTTAAGTGTAAACTCTTTAAGTGTTGTAAACTGTATTTTTAATTGTTGTAACCTGTCATAGGACCTTAGGGTAAAGGCTGGGTAATAAATTTAATAATAAGGTTAAGAATGAGTCTGCATTTTAAAGCAGATTGACTGATGATTTAGGTATTAACAAGCTATATGAAAGGAAAGGTTAAGAGTGGGCATCGCTCTTCCAGGCCTTGGTTGTGACTTTACTTTCTAGAGTTCATGTCTGATTTAATGTTAAAGTGTCTAGAGCTTAAGGATGCTCCCTGGTAAAAGAAGCAGCTGGCTGTTTGACTTGTGCTGATAACATTGTTATAGTTGTTATGTTGTAAACAAGTAACAATAAAGAATTACAACAAATATTCTCCAGATTAACAGCACGCAGAAGCTGGGGGCCCTATTGTGAGGACAAAATGTTGTTCGTCTAATCTCTGATCTCCTTAAAGGGGGGAGGCAGGGAATAGAAACGATGATAAATCGATCATTTCGAATCGCTTCAGCGGGGAAACCCCGTGTTAACCTCCCCTGGGCTCCTCGGAGGAAGGCTGAGGGAGTGACAACTGCAAGTCCTTAGATTCAGGTAGGTAGCCGTGTTGGTCTGACGCAGTCGAAATATATATAAAAAATTTAAAAATGTCCAGTAGCACCTTAGAGACCAACTAAGTTTGTTCTGGGTGTAAGCTTTCGTGTGCAGGCACACTTCTTCAGATGCACACGAAAGCTTATACCCAGAACAAACTTAGTTGGTCTCTTAGGTGCTACTGGACAATTTTGCAAGTCCTCAGTGAAGTTTCCCAAACACTTGCATCCTCCATCTTTTTGGCACGGAGACGGCGTCACCTTCAAAGCCTCTCTGGAAGCGAAAACGCAACCTCCCTCCTCCCGCCTGTCACGTGACGGCACGCTCAGCCGAGCCCTCCGCGACGGAGGCGCTTGAGGGGGTGGGAGTAGTCCCGCGCAGCCAATGAGAACGCGCGTGGGATTTTCGGGCGGCGCGAGGTGGCTTAAAGGCCAGGCGTAAGGTGCTGCAGGACCAGCGGCCGAAGCGGGACCTGGAGGAAGCATGGATGCAAGCGGGGAAGGTGTTGTGCTCGTGGCTGCTGTCAGGACCCCGGTCGGTGAGTGGGAGGGCGCGCAAGGCCGGCTGCGGCGGCTTGGGGGGGGGGGATATTTCACCCATTGGAGACGCTGCGCTTCCTTTCTGATCTTGATCATTGATGGAAACCTCCAAAATGTATTTTGCCTAGTTAGGTTTTTACCTCTATCTTCAGCCCATTTTATTTTATTCTATTGCTTATGGCTAGTGGCTGATGCAAATAAGGATTCTTCTGACCTGAACTTTCTGATCGCGGCTGGAAAGCGAAGCAATCGCTATTGCAGTGCCTCTCCAGTATCATTTTAGCGCCCCTCCAGTTGAGCTGTAGCCCATTTCTCGTGGAAGGGGAACTGCAGACTCGAAGGGTGGGAGCAGTTTAGATTGGCCAGCGCTTCGTGGTTTTAAGAGAGGACGAAGAGCGCGAGAATCCGAAGATGAGCTGTCGTTTTGATCCATTAGACGTCATCCCAAATCAACGTCCTTGTTGGCCCTAATCCAAAGTTAAATAACATTTTTTGCGATTGCAACTACATGAAAGGTGGGCGTCTTGTAAATTTTGACTAAACTCTTCTCTGTTTTCATGAGGACTGCAAGCTTTTCGAGCCATTTTCCCCAGATCGCCCAAACCTAACCGTGCAAACATGTCAACTCGGAAGCCAGCCGGCCGCGTTGAGTTCAATAGAACAGGCAACCTAATCTTCATTTCGGAGTTTCTAATTTTCGTGGAGTACTTGTGGCGTAGAGCCGGTGGTAAATATTAACGTGGCCACTTCAGGCTCTGCCTCTCTCAAGTGATTGGGTAGGAACTGTAGAGCCACCGGGTGCAGCAGCCCTGTGATTGCTTCGTGAGAGGCGCTGACGAATCGCGCTCTTCCTCCGATTGGCCTGCGCCGGGTAGAACCATGAAAGCTCGGCCCGCTTCTGTTCTCTCATTAGATTAACAGAACCTAATGCTGCTCTTTAGCCAGTCCTCTGCAAAGAGATAGCTGCAAGGTAGAAGCAGTGCCGGATTTACGGATAAACTAATCAAGCTATAACTTAGAGCCCCACTCTCTTGGGGGCCCCTAAAAAATTTAAAGGAAAAAAACCAACCTGAATGTACATTTCCAAAATATAGGATAAAAAACAAATGAAATAAAACCTACATACAGCAACAGTGTTTTGTGTTGTGTAGGCTCCTATAATGTAAGTAATGGGCCCTGCCTGCTAGCCTGCTCCCTAAAATATCACTGGTTTGCTCATTTATATACATAGGATTCCTATGATGTAAGTTATTTTGATAAAATACATATTTTGTTATGTGCAAATGGCTTTATATACCTATTAGATCCATAAATTACTATATAGCATATATTCAACACAAAAAAACCAGGACAATTTGTTGTTGACAAAGGACAGCTGGACATCTAAAGGGCCCCATTACCTTCAGTAGCTTAGGGCTTCATCAAACCTAAATCCAGACCTGGGTAAAAGAATGTGGCTCTTGGGTCATGTGACAATGTCCTTGGAGAGGGGGATCCAGGGTCGGCAAAGCTGGAATGCCAACTCCTGATCTCAAAAATGCAGCTCGACTACCTCTGAACATGTGCAGAGTTGTTTTCAACATTGATTACATGTGGCATGAGGGGCATGTTTCCTCTGTGTGTAACTGCAGGACAAAATAGATTATTGCCTCTACTTTAATGCAGCCTCTTATCTGCTTCGAAAAGTTTACTCTTTTGTCTTCTATTTAAAAATCATCTTTCCCCACTCTTGATAGTTTATTTTTTTATTCTCCATACTAACTTAATATTCACACTGGTTATTGCACAACTTAGCTTTAATACATCTGCCTCTCTTTTTTTTATTTGGCTTCACGCCAGAGTTTCCAGTTTGACAATGAATACCTTTTTTTAACCCATTTTGCACAAAGCAAGAGTGAAGAGCGGCACAGGCAGTGTGTGTGTTGTGGGGTATGTTGCATTGAGGAGAGAGTGCTTTCCCACCCCCAATTTAGATGATTTTGAGCATGAATGACTGAAATTGAAAGACAGCAAAATAGAAACCAAACCAAAGGGAGCCTTTATTTGCATAATACTCAATCATGGGCGTAACCAGGGGGGATTGGGAGGCCAGCTGCTCCCCCCCCCCCATGATCAATTAAAACAATAAAAATACTTAATTAACTGAAGTTCTGCCCCACCACCACCACATGAAGCCTGCCCCCCAACAATAAGTCTGCTCCCACCAACATAAATCCTTACTTATTGGGAGTTAGTCTCATTTAAATTAATGGACAAGATTGTTTCACTTATGCACAAAGATTTACTAGGAAACATAATTTGAGTCATATGTACAATTCCAGTTATGCAACACCGCACCCCATATTACTTCATTTACATATGCCTTACTGGACCTGGATTCACAAACCTTTTCCTAAAGTACTTATTTTGTGGTTGAAAAAGGCCTGTCTGTAGTATAACAACTTAACTTGCATTTTATCTAGGATCCTTCAATGGTGCCTTGTCTACTTTGCACGCCCATGAGCTGGCTTCCGTGGCCATCAAGGAAACCTTGAAGAGGGCAAAAATTGAACCTAAAGAAGTATCTGAGGTTATATTTGGACAAGTCTTGGCTGCAGGTATGTCTTAAGTGAACCAGTTTTCTCTGGTGCTGGTCTGGAATCTGTTTTGCCCTCTTCACTAGGGCTTTTGTAATACTTAGACAAGATATGCATTTATACTATGAGTCATATTTTTAATATTCCTCTACTGTACAGCTCACCTTCTCTTCCCCTGTGTAAGTAGGGTTGCCAGCTTACAGCAAGTTGTCTTGTAACCTTTCATTGCCCCTGGCAGCCAGAGATGAAGCAACTGTGACTGCTCCTTCTCTGGTCCTGCCATCTGCCCTCTCTGTCACAACATATAGGACTCCCCATGTGCCACATCAGTCAGAACATGTGGTGGGCCACACGGCCAGAGAAGAGGCTTCATTGGTAAGCCACAGCTCTCTCACCTCTTGCAGCACCGAGGGTATTCAAGCTACAACAGTTTGCTGGATTGCAACCCTACTTACCATTTTTATTCATCTCAGTGCTGGTATATCAGATTTCCTGAGAGCAAACACTTGGGTTTTATTTGTGAGCAAATGGTAGCGAACATCCTCATTTACTCTAATTCATTTAATTTAAATCTCAGAAGGTAATGCCAAAATAACCTTACCTCAGGTTGCATCATAACTCATGGGAAGTTGGTTTATAAGGGAGCAGTTGTCTTTTAAGGAATAGTTGCTTAGTAGGAACAGTTTCCCTTACCTTGAAAGGTCAGCATCTAGAGTTTGAAAGCCTGTCACAGCACATCCCTACATGCTAACCAAGGGGTGGGGAGCTTTCTTCAGACTGAGGGCAGCAGTCCCTTCTGGGCAACCTTCCAGGGGACGCATGTCAGTGGAGAGGGGGAAAGAGCAGAGGGAAAAGTCGATGGAGCAGTTGAGGTGAATTTGTACAGTAGGCTACTTTCTCCACACTCGCACATCCCTCTCTATCCTCCACCCCATGAGCCAGATAAAGAGCTCTGAAAGGTTGTATTTTGCCCTTTGGCCTGAAGTTCCCTGCCCTCCCTCATTCTGCGAATGAATCTTATAAAAATGTTCCTTGCCCACTCCTGAGTTTCCAATCCACAATAATCCTATTCACTACCTATGCTCCCCCTGATACCTTGTCAGTCCCTAACCCCGGTTCATACTTTCTACCTAATCCCTCACTTGCTGAGCCCCTCACAGTCTTCCCCAATCCAAGCTAACCTGAGATGGTCTTCCACGGTTAAGCGTCCTCTAGTAGACAGTTGGGGGAGGGCTGAGGTGACATAGGGTGCCCTCATAACAATTCTAATTGGCAGAACTGTTGTGCAGGGTTGAAAAGTGGTCAGGAAGCAAGGAGGTTTTATTTTGACTCCTGGAAGGTGCCCAGAAAAAGAACATGGAAGATGGAGGGAAGGTGCAGAAGTTGTGTCAGTGGAACGTGGGAGTTCAAAACTAAATGAAGCCCGGCTCATAGGAATGTTGTAATTTATCCTGAAGGCACAGAAGCCCCAAATCAGATGTCAGGGAAGAGCAGAAAACACTCTTGACACCAGAAAATCCAGAGCAGAGGTGACTTGAGCAACCCAAAGGCAGGTGTTCAAATGCAGAATTAAGTGTAGGTTTTGGAAAGCAGTGTCTGGTTCTGCAAGCAAGAGCCAGCTATCCACTTAAGAACAAAACAGGATGCTTGAGAATATTGTAGCCAAATGGTGTCCTTTTTGCCTTTTCATATGGAAAGGAATGGGGAGGGCCGAAAGTTGGGCAGGGGGAAGGAATGAGAGCAACTGAGCCTGGTTGTCTCTGCATGCTGATGAATTCTTTCTATTTCTGCAGGTGCTGGTCAGAATCCTGCCCGACAAGCCAGTGTCGCCGCTGGGATTCCATATGAGATACCTGCTTGGAGCTGCCAGATGATATGCGGTTCAGGCCTGAAAGCCGTTTGCTTAGGCGCTCAGTCCATAATGATAGGAGATTCCAGTATTGTAGTGGCTGGAGGCATGGAAAGCATGAGCAAGGTGAGGCTTTTGCTGTTCATAAAAGGGCCTTAGTTGGTTTTTGCAGATTAGTGGTTTGGAACAATTCTCAGGGCAGAAAGATTTGGACTAGTTCAGAATAGCCATTATTTGCATGGTGGAATCATTATGACTGAAACAAGGCTGGGTCTAACAACATCCCCAAGCTGTAGACATGGGGCGGCAGAGAGAGTGTGTAATTCATTGGTTCAGTTAAGTAAAGTTAGACTCTGGACTTAATTGACTTAATGGGGGCTCCCCTCTTTAGATGGCAATCGTTTCACTTCAAATCACAGTCCTGCTGTGTTAGAAGCCTTCCTGCTCATTCCCCTCTCTTTTTGCCCTAAAGTCCTGACATCAACGGGTGGTGCTGTGGGTTAAACCACAGAACCTAGGACTTGCCGATCAAAAGGTCGGCGGTTCGAATCCCCGTGATGGGGTGAGCTCCCGTTGCTACCGCGGTCCCTGCTCCTGCCAACCTAGCAGTTTGAAAGCACGTCAAAGGGCAAGTAGATAAATAGGTACCACTCCGACGGGAAGGTAAACGGCATTTCCATGCGCTGCTCTGGTTTACCAGAAGCGGCTTAGTCATGCTGGCCACATGACCCGGAAGCTGTACGCCGGCTCCCTCAGCCATTAAAGCGAGATGAGCGCCGCAACCCCAGAGTCGGTCACGACTGGACCTAATGGTCAGGGGTCCCTTTACCTACCTGACATCACCAGTGGTGCAACCCCATCCAGAACAGGTAGGATCCTTTTCTAGTCAACTACTTCACCAACTGAGCATACCTTGGATGTCTCTGGATTGACCATTTGCCCATGTATGGCCTACTCAGATCATCATCAGCCCTCCAAGGGCTCTGGAAGAGGTATACCCTGTCACCTCCTACGCGATTCTTTAAACTGGGGTTGCATCTTCCATAAGCGAACCTTGTACTGCAGCCCCTTCTGTAGACCTCATTTGTTTACAGAAACCAGAATAGCTGTGACATGACGAGGGACTGGCCAGAAGAGACTTGATTTCCACCCACCTCCAAACAACGTCATTCTTAGAATTCTAAATGTGTCAAAATGATTTCCTTGCAGGCGCCTCATGTCATTCATATGCGCAATGGGTTGAAGATGGGGGAAGCCTCCTTGCAGGACACACTGATCTTGGATGGCTTGACAGATGCCTTCTACCACTACCACATGGGTATAACTGGTAAGCCGCATGATTCTTCCAAATGGCATTGTCAAGTGGGTGGGGGAAGAGCCTAGTTCAATATTGGATATTATTTTTATTAAATATTAGATGGACCATTTCAGCTTTTGCATTTCCTTCAGCAATAGCTTTAAACATTTATTTAAGCAACAGGCATACCTTTCCAACAAAATAGATTTGATTGTGTCATGAGTGAGTAAGCATTGAACGTTGGAGGCAGCAGGTTCCCATATTTCGTTACTGAACTTTTGATGCAATTACAGCTGTGCTGTGCATATGGCAATATGACTCTTGCTGCATCTTGATAATGAGTATATACTCCCCAACTCCTGGTTTCAGCTGAAAATGTTGCCAAGCAGTGGCAGGTTAGTCGAGAGGAGCAAGATCAACTGGCTGTACAGTCACAGAACAAGGCTGAAAATGCCCAGAAGGCTGGCTATTTTGATAAAGAGATTGTTCCTGTTCCTGTGCCTTCTAGGAAAGGTGAGTATGTATTCATAGCAACACCTGTTCTGGGTACAGGGCATATGACTAGTTATCATGGTCTGTATCTGTTTCTGTGCTTCAGTTCTTCCTCTGTTATCAGGGATAATGATCTAACTCAGAGGTGGGTGGAGTCTGACCCACAAGATTAGTAATTTACATTGTCACTGTGAGAAGTAAAACGGAAATGATGGATGGTAACCATTTTACTGCTGTCGGGCTGCAAAGCAATTTTTCAGAGGTCTCCTGTTTGAAACGGTTCTGAGCCAATATTTCCTGACCTTCTGAGAGCCAGTGTGGTGTAGTGGTTAAGAGCGGTAGTCTCGTAATCTGGGGAACCGGGTTTGTGTCTCCGCTCCTCCACATGCAGCTGCTGGGTGACCTTGGGCTAGTCACACTTCTTTGAAGTCTCTCAGCCCCACTCACCTCACAGAGTGTTTGTTGTGGGGGAGGAAGGGAAAGGAGAATGTTAGCCGCTTTGAGACTCCTGAAGGTAGTGATAAAGCGGGATATCAAATCCAAACTCTTCTTCTTCTTCTGAAACTTTGTCTTAAAGTCTAATTCATTTAACAGTACAGTGGTACCTCGGGTTAAGTACTTAATTCCGGAGGTCCATTCTTAACCTGAAACTGTTCTTAACCTGAAGCACCACTTTAGTTAATGGGGCCTCCCGCTGCGCTGCCGGAGCCCAATTTCTGTTCTCATCTTGAAGCAAAGTTCTTAACCCGAGGTAATATTTCTGGGTTCGCGGAGTCTGTAACCTGAAGCGTATGTAACCTGAAGTGTATGTAACCCGAGGTACCACTGTAAGTCAAAAGAGAGGTGGAACCTCAGAAGCCAAAGGTTCCATGGGTTAACTCGAAGCAGTACTGTTGTTGCGTACCTTTCTACGTATTGGAAGTAGACCGGAGCCCTAGGCATTCTTCCGTGGGAGCACAGAGTTGCTATGAGTTGTTGTGTGAGTGTGTCTCCCCATTGTACTGCAGTGGAGGGCTGGCTCTGCAAGCACAGAGCGACTGCTTCCATAGAAGTGAATGGGAGAGGACAGGATGGGGTATGGGTTGGGGGCAGGGAGATGAATTTCCATTTGGATAGGGTACAGAGATCTTAGGTTCCATTTTAACTTCTACATAGACAGTTGTTTCTGAAATACTTGCTGCCTTGCAGGTCCAGTCGAAGTGAAAGCAGATGAGCATCCTCGCCCTGGTACCAAGTTGGAAACGGTGACAAAGATCAAGCCTTTTTTTATAACTGATGGAACGGGAACTGTGACTGCAGCAAATGCCTCAGGTTTGTTTAAGATGTTATAAACCATTTTTAATAGTGCGTTTTAATTTTGTAACCCATCCCAGGACCCGAGGGTGAAGGGTGGGTAATTAAGGATCATAATGGATACCACTTAAATATAATGCTTAAAATGCATCTGCTTCAAGTAAGTTTTATTTAACTTCAGGCAGATACAATCGGGAATACTTGGGGCAGGGGAAAGGCATGTATTTTCTCCAACCACAGCTTGGGGCATTGCAGTGGGGTGGGGGAGGGGAAGGGGGAGGTGGTTGTTAGGCCTTTCCGCAGTAGAGACTTAGGACTCTACTAGACTGGTAAAGAAAAAACAATTTATATGCATTGTATGTGTGAGAACATTGTGCCACCAGATGGCGACATGGAGTCCCGTTTTTCTCTACCTGTTTTCCCTGTTTAAATTTACAATGCTATAAACTGAAACGCTTCTTTGATGTGTCTAGATCCAGCCTTAAAGACCAGGACAAAGTACTGTTTGTAAAATACAGTTTGCCATGCAGAATCCCAAAAGCCTCTTTTAAAGTGTTGTGTTGTCCTTCAAAGTTGAAAGACGTGTTTCTGTCCCTCATGAACCCTCAAAGGGGAAAACTCAGTATGGACTGAGCACGCTCAGTGGGCATGGAATGCTGATGACAGACGGCGGGAGAAATGGAAGCCCTGTAGGAATGAGATGGGAGTGTCCGGAATTCTGTACATTTTCTTGCAGGTCCTACTTGTATATATATGTAACCCGATCTCAAAGTACTGTTGTGTACGTAGCCAATGCAGCAGCACCAAGCTGGGAACCCCCACCTTTGTGGAAGTACAAAGAAATGTATAAATCTTGAGGGGAAATCTGCAAGGGGAGAACCCTCAAAACTTCCCAGTGAGGAATAAGCGTGCTCAGTGGCCGCAGGATGCTGATGGACTGGGGCTGGGGGGAGGTGAGAATGGAAAACTGGGATGGAGGGATAAGCTGGAATGTTTTGAATCCCGAACAGGGGAACTGAGCCATACCGCAACATTTTGTGACAGGTTACACTTCTCAATATACCATCCTTAAACAATTTGGTTCGCCTAGGGCTTGCCAATCGGAAGGTCGGCGGTTCGAATCCCTGCGACGGGGTGAGCTCCCATTGCTTGGCCCCTGCTCCTGCCAACCTAGCAGTTTGAAAGCACATCAAAGTGCAAGTAGATAAATAGGTACCGCTCCGGCGGGAAGGTAAACGGCGTTTCCGTGCGCTGCTCTGGTTTCACCAGAAGCGGCTTAGTCATGATGGCCACATGACCCAGAAAAACTGCGGACAAACGTCTGCTCCCTCGGCCTGTAAAGCGAGAAGGGAAGTTTTTAATCTGTGATATTTTACTGTATTTTTGGTTTCTATAGAAGCCGCCCAGAGTGGCTGGGGAAACCCAGCCAGATGGGCGGGGTACAAATAATAAATTATTATTATTATTATTATTATTATTATTATGAGCACCGCAACCCCCGAGTCCTTCGCGACTGGATTAACTGTCAGGGGTCCTTTACCTTTACCTAATACTGATAACTTACTGATGACTACAATTTTGAAGAAGATAAGTGTTCCTATCAACCACTTTGAAGTTTTTTTTACAATCAAGTGGTGTATAATTTTTATGAAATAAATGACTAAATTATGACCGTTATATTTGTATACAAGTCTCATTTGCCATTGCTTTCCAGTTGTGACGGGGGGGGGGGGGACTCTAGTAATGTTTGTGGGGAAATCTACCTGTTAAATTTGGCACACTAGGGTCATGGGGATAAGGATTTGGCCCACCGGCTAGAAAAAGTTAATTCACTCCTGTGCTAATAGGCAGCTGAAGAGCAGAGGGCAAAAGATTTCTACTGTGGTAGTTCTATCTACTTTCAGGTTTTACTCTACCTGGAGAACGCTTTCAATGCCATGTTTTGAGTCTCAAGCCGTGTCCCCTCTGTCTCCCCACTCCACTCCATCCCAGGTCTAAATGATGGTGCTGCAGCTGTAATTCTCATGAAGAAAGCTGAAGCCCTTAAACGAGGTCTTGCCCCTTTGGCACGGATTGTATCCTGGGCCCAAGCTGGTGTAGATCCTTCTGTCATGGGGATTGCGCCAGTCTCAGCCATAAAGAAAGCTGTAAGTAATATATCGGGAACAGGGCGAACCTTTTCAGAGTACAGTGGTACCTCAGTTTAAGTACTTAATTCGTTCCGGAGGTCCGTTCTTAACCTGAAACTGTTCTTAACCTGAAGCACCACTTTAGCTAAAGGGGCCTCCCGCTGCCGCCGGGCCACCGGAGCACAATTTCTGTTCTCATCCTGAAGCAAAGTTCTTAATGAAATGATTTTAGAATGTTGTATCATTTTACTGTTGTTAGCCGCTCTGAGCTTTGGCTGGGGAAGGCGGCATAAAAATAAAATTTTATTATTATATTATTATTAACCCGAGGTACTATTTCTGGGTTAGCGGAGTCTGTAACCTGAAGCGTATGTAACCCGAGGTACCACTGTAGCTTGTTAGTCCTGAGTAACTAATCTTGTATTAAACATACTCTGCTTCCTCCCAAACAATATACTGTATTTTTCCGCCTATAAGACGCCCCCATATATAAGATGCCTGCTATTTTAGGGGGCTCAGATGTAAGAAAATGGGGGAGGGGAGATGTATCTGTGTATAAGACGCCCTTTAATTTTTGACATTTTTTAGGGGGAAAACCTAGTCTTATATACAGAAAAATACAGTAACTTAAAAAACATTTTGGGCAGTGCCATTTTTCTAGAAAAAGAGGTGCTGGAACTCATCATGAACGCCTCCCTTGTTATCCTATAATGGCAATAGTGCCCACCTGAGAGGTGCCGGAACAAAGTTCTGGCTGAAAAAAAGCCCCGATTTGGGGAAATCTTCAGTTGATGCTAAATTACTGTTTTCCAAGCAATGCACTCTTTAGTTTCTATGAATAAATCTGAGACATTGGCACACATAGTTTCTGTGAGACTCATGCTATTTAATGAGCCTATGTGTAAAATTTTACATCTTCCATGTTAATGGGAAGGCTTCGAACAGTATTTTTAGAGTCAATAACAAACTGCCCATCGCGTTACCCTATTTTCCTAATGTCTGGAATCTAGTTGGTTATAATCTGCTTCTAAAACCTGAAGGCACACAGACCAACTTTGCTAATTGCTTGAAGCCTTGATGTTAATTACTGGTTTGCCCTTCTGCAGCTGGAAAAAGCAGGTTGGACAGTGGATCAAGTGGACTTGTATGAAATCAATGAAGCCTTTGCTGCTCTAGGTTGTGCAGTAACAAAAGAGCTAAAACTGAACCCGGAAAAGGTACGTTCTGAAAGCTCAATACTGGAATCATCTAGCCTTATCTGACAAAGGGAGAGATAATTAGGTGCAGCCTCTCTCAGACAAGGTGGAAGGCATTCAGAATAAATATGCATATATTGGGGGTTGGTGAATATAGAAGGGCTCATTTCATTTGCAGAAGGGGATGATTTGGGGGGTGGGGAGCCTCCTACTGGAAAAGTGTACACAGGTTTGGTGGGTGTTAAACTGTTGAGGGAAGGAGGAATTTACAAAAGCTGTTTCCTTCCTCCAGTGCAGAAATGGGGAAACTCAGGCCCAGGGGCCAGATGCACCTCTCCAGGCCTTTATCTGGTCCGAGATTGACCTTGCCAGGCCATACCACTCGCTCTCTGAAGAGTGATTTTGCCTGCCAGGAATGCGTCCTTTACTGCAATGAGGCATCTCAATTACATCAGAACTTGGTCACACCTCCATGCCCCTCTTAGTAGCTCCACCAAGTCTATTGGCTACCAGCCATCGCTGGAATGAAGGTCCCTGTGTTGCTTTGAAGCAACTGGGGGTCCCTCCCCTTGCAAATAGACAGCTTACCTCCCTCAACTCCCAGGGTTGCAGCCATTTTTTTCCTGGAATAAATGCTGCTCATCAACACAGCTTTTAAAGAGAATTCACAGAGTATTGCTGCCATACTATTGCATTAGTGACTTTCCTCACCCTAACTTGTCCTCTGGTCCTTTTTCTGACTCTATCTGTAATGGTTTTTAAAAAAAATAGAGGTAATCTCTCCAGTGAAGGCTGGTTAGAATGTCATTGAGGCATCTCCAGTCTCGGACATTGCTGTAATTTCCCTTCTTGCCCCTTTGTCTGCCTTGTTCTATGGTATACTTTATATTTAACAGGGACACTTAATTTTTGTGGCAGGTGAACATTGAAGGTGGGGCTGTTGCCCTTGGCCATCCTCTTGGAGCATCTGGTTGTCGGATCCTTGTTACGCTTGTGCATGCACTGGAACGAACAGGTGGAAAACGGGGGGTTGCTGCTTTGTGTATAGGAGGAGGGATGGGCATAGCCATGTGTGTAGAAAGATAATCTAAGTGTTTCGGTAATTCTGTATTGCATGGCTTCTAATTAAAACAAACTGTCTTAACTGCCGCCTCTTCCTTCAATTACTGTGACCACGTCACTATCTCAGTTCCATCACTGCAAATGCTGTACCAACTTTAAATTACTAGTACTGTGTTGTATATGGATCTCAGTATGTATGACTTGTGTATATAGTCACGGGATAAATATGGCTTAAAATAGCCAATCCCTCTGCTGGCTGCTGCAGAGAGCACCTTAGTGGGCAGAATCAGTCTCTTGACTTCAGGAAAAGTTAAGCTGTTGCATGCCCCACCCCAGCACAAAGCAAAAACCTTGGGTACTGCAACTTTAGCGCTAGGCATGACTACACAGCATTCCTTGGTGTAGAGAACCAAAAGCATTGTACAGTGACTTCAGTTTAAGCCCTCAAAAGCTCTTAGCCACCTTGCATTTTATTGCGTGCTTAAATATCAGAACAAATATGAGGACACAGCCATTTTTTAATTTTAAGTAATTAAGCAGAAGTGCAACAGCTTCATTAACACACTTGTACATACAAGACTACAAAGACTTTTACAGGAACAGTTGGAATAAAAATGCATTTAGTCTTCAATTGCTCCAGAATGAACTGCATCTTCATAGCATCCGCCTTTATCACCTTTACTTTCAGGGTGAAGCTTAATAACATCATCGATTCGAAGAATAGTAATTGCAGCTTCTGTTGCAAACTTCAGACTCTTTGTTTTAACCACAGTAGGCTCAAATACACCAGCCTGCTTGTTGTCACGTGGCTTTCCATTGATTAAATCAAGACCAATCCTTTAAAAACAAAGTTAATTGTTTTAGATAGGTACATAAACTTTAGATTGGTTTAATATTCCCAAATGAAGAGCTAACTTTTAATCCCAATTTTGTAACATTTTTGATACAGCGAGAGCCAGTCAACATTTAGTTCCTGTGCTCTTCCTCAAACTTTTATCCATTTTTGTCAACCTTGTACCTGAACGAAGTACACCACCAGAAAAACCTACCTTGGCAAAGCTGCCGCTACAGACACAGGGCTTAAGTCATTTTTTAAAGATGATTTGTATTGAGTGCTGGCATATTAAGACTAGAATTAGCTATATGTCATTGGGCTTGTGACAAACAATTCCACTTCTTTCTGCACTGACACTTACCATTTCAAGTTTTTGCGTTCTGGATTCACTTGAGCTTCATTGTGAAATGCCCTGAGTTTTGCAACAAGATCTATAGCATCTTGAGCAGCATTGACTGCTAAAGTGTTTGGGATAACCAGAAGCGATCTTGCAAATTCTGCAATAGCAAGCTGTTCACGTGATCCCTAATTAAAAAAGAATTATATATTAGCATTTCAGAACTATAATGCAAAAGAACACTGCCTTATTAGCAATAGTCTATTGTGCTGAAAGTTAGTTGAAGTGATCCCATATAGGTATTCAGAATAAACCTATCCATTTTTAAAATCAATCTTACATTTAAAAATTCCCAATGCATCTTTCAACAATTATTAAGTGAATTATGGCTGCTCTCAACTGAAAAAAAGAACTCCAAAGCTACAATAAAACAAAGTTCACAGGCAGAAGTGTTTCCAAACATTTATTAACTAGAAACTTACCATACTGGTTGCATAATTTTCTAAGTAAATAGAAAGCGCTGCTTCAACTGCACCACCTCCTGGAACCACAGACTTTGACTCTAATACTCTTTTGACAACACAAAGAGCATCATGCAAGGATCGCTCCATTTCATCACACATGAAGTCATTTGCCCCTCGTAATATAATGGCGGCTGTAGTCCGTGCCTTAGTACTGTTTCAGAAAGACAAAGTGAAAGGTCCTTATTCCTGAGTTAGTTATCAAAAAATTTAATAGCTAATCTAACCAACCCCATTTAGCTATATTTTTGAGTTACTCATTTTTCATTATGTAGTTAACAACAACTGAATTGTGTCCAGGTTTATCAAGAAAATTCATGGTCTCAAACTAATTACAGAGGACTGAAAATAATCTATCCCACACATATAAATGTTCACACAATTAAAAAGGCACCATGGCAACTATCAAACATGAAATTTCAAAAGATGTAGCAAAATATGCTGGTGCCAATACTTTATGCAAGAGAATAATTCTTACTTCTTGATTAAGATTAATTCATCATCACAAATTCTTTCTTGAACCACTTCTTCTGCTTGTCCCAACATTGATGCCTCAAAAGTTTCTTCACCTTCCAGATTTGCCAGGGTTGAACACAGAGTAGCTTATAAAAAAACAACACACAAACAAGGCCTTTAGTATGCTTCACAAAAGCAACTTTCATTGTGCCAAACAACCTCTCGTATTTGGGTTTTTAAGGTCCAACAAGTGGCAGTAAGCAACGTGTTTCTACATATTTAACTTCACTACTAACAAGACCAGCAAGCTGTGATGTTAAGCTGAGATGTCTGTAGTTACCTCCAGAAGCCTTAGCGATGCGTTTAAGATCTCTTTTTAGAACTCTGCGTACTCCCATGGCACCAGCATCCGCAAAGTATTTCAGACACATATCATCAATTCCACCAGTAGTCAAAACGACATTTGCGCCTGTGGCCAGGATCTTATGAATTTTCTCTTTAGTGATGTCAGCCTCTCTGCATGAGAGAGTAGGCATGCATTAGTTAAACAGAAACAAACTCAAATATGAAATTAGTGGTTGAAAAGATAAAATACTCCATAAAACGAACTGTTATTTAATGTGCGATCTATCTTCCCAATTATATTAATATCCATTTCATATAAAATGCTTTCCAGACACACATACAGGGCCTCTGCTAAAGATCTTTAAAGATCAAAAGTAGCATTTTGAAATGAGTTGGACGCCTGTGCAATTGACATGTGATCATAATGCCCAGTCCCATATAAAATCTTTGCAGATGTATCTCAGATTAACTGCAGTTTCCAAACCATCTTCAAAGACAGCTCTCCATACTATACAATTGTCTCATTTGAAGGTTACCAGAACATGCATCACCGCTATCAGAGACTGGTAAATTAATAAAGTATACAACTTTTCCATCCAAACCCAACTGTCTAGCAATAGACAGAAGCATAAGCCTGTGAGATAGCTGAGTTAGTAAAGCTAAGAGTCCTATGCTCTCAGGATGATGGGTTTAAGCCCCATATGGGACAAAAATATTCCTACATTGCAGGGGGTTGGACTAGATGACCGTTGTGGTCCTTTCCAACTCTACCATTCTATGATGCAAAGTTTGCTAGACCCCACAAAAAGACCCCTACATCAGATGTAGCCCTACTGCAGCCTTTTTTTGTAAGGTGCCCGCCAGGGTATTACTAGCACTAAAACTTCCATGCATGAGCACTGGTCAGATAATAAAAGTTGAAGTCAAAACATCTGGAAGGCACTAGGTTTGAGAAGGCAGCTCTACTGCTTTCAGTTATGGCACACAATTACAAATATTATGGAGCTCCTTATTCAGGTAGATGAGGAAGCAAACTTGTGGGAAGGTAAACTAATTTAATTGATTTCAAATTAGCCATAAGCTTAGATTCACACACCAACACTTAATTAAAAGAAATCTGCTGCTGCTCTTTATAATCAACTTGAATTGAGCTGATTCTTTCCAAGAATAGTGATACAGTTTGGAACACACTGCTTCAAAATTCTTAAGATTCCGTATTTGCCCCTGGTTCTTTTTAAACATGTTTCACTATCTAAGACAAGCCTGAAACCTATATATACACACTATCATTTTAGTTCCAAGTATCCCCCCACAGCATACCTCTGCCTAATCTGGTCCAGTTTTTCAGGATCTGTGACTACAACCTGAACACCAAGCTTCATTTTAGTCTTCTGTAAGCTGAAGTCAAGGCATGCAATCTTTGCATTTACTATTCTCTTGGGCATACCTTTAAAAAGGAAAAAAAACATACCACACATCCTAGGTTGTTTATTAAAATACAGTATTTCAAAATTATTTTTAAAAATCAAGTTAGGAATATTCTTTAAAATGTGCTATTAGTAATTCTTGTAACAACGTTATTCACCAAAGACTCATTTTCTTCAAACCCACTCTGTTCATAAACCCTCTAGTCTAAATCAGTGTCCATCCATTCAAATCATGCATTATTGGTTGATACACTTTTACACCACAAATCTTTAGACATCTACTAAAAAGTGAGTCCCACTAAATTCAGAGGGCTTACTACCAGGTATGAGGGTGCAGAATTGCAGCCCGACACAGAAGAGGACCAAATGTCTCCTACCGTTTATTCAGTATCATACTTTCACGTTAAATGGAAGTGTTAACTATATTTTATGCCATCTACTAATACTTTAGGATTCCTCAGAAAAAGGAAGTGCATGTGTGTCTTTGCTGCTAACACAAAACTCTATTGCTTTGTTGATAAGAATGTGACCTTACTTTGGGAGCCCACAACACAGTTCAACGCATAGCCATTCACAAGAATGCTCTCTTTCTGACTGCGACCATGTGCCTTCAAAACGTTAATGGAGTTGATGGGATAGTGTGCTTGCCCTTTTGAATCTGTGTATTTTACTGCAAGTGCAGCATCCACTACCATGTTGGCAAAGAAGTCACTGTCACTATAAGAAAACCGTTAAGGAGAATAGGAGCAGTTGAGCATCTATTAAATTTACTGCACATCTCAGATTAAAAAGACATTATAAATATCCAAGAGGGTTTCATAGTAGCTAAGACTAAAGTCATTATACATATGCAAGTTCTCTGGAAAGACATTCTTAAAGGAATGCCAATCAGGATTAGACCATGCCTTTATACCTCCCCCACTACATATTGAAGGAATGGGTTTCTGTGTAGTCAGTTTGAAACGGACCCCCCCTTTCTTCTTTCTCCAAGGAAGCATTTCTAAAACGCGTCAACTTGAGCTGTTGAGCAAAATGCATAACAAGAACACAGCTCTCTCCTTTATCAGTCACAGCAATGGATGACCTTGGCTGTTCCAGTGGAGTAGGGATGACATGTCTGGGTCTTATCTTACCACACTCTGACGCACAGACCTAGTCCAGGAACAGCGCCAGAGTGTGTTCTTGGAGTTGGTGACCTCTTGCTCCAAGACAAGAGTATAGGAACAGGAATATCCTTTTATGGTCAGAAGTACAGGAAGGAAAACCCTTCTATGGTTAAGAGTACCAGAGCAGGAACATCTGTGATGTCAACCTGCGTGTACAAGCTGACATGCCTCGATTCCTGGGGAAGTGGGTGCCTGGAGGATATATATACTGCATGAAATCTCTCATTTCTTTGGACTTGCTGTGGACTGACCACGCAAGTGCCTTTCTGCTGCTCCGGAGAGCAGAAATAAAGAACTCTTTCTCTGAACCAACCCTCAGTGTCATTTGACTTCCTTCCTCCCGTCCGGGAGCAACGCAGAGCCCACCAATTGGTAAAGTCTAATAAGGCTACAATATCTAAGAAAAATTGCTATTTTTCTCTTCAAGGTAGCACTCAATACTTTGCTTCCACAAACTGAAAGGATACATTCCAATGATTTTGGAGGACATTGATGTTTTAGCTGCATTAATAAGGCAGTCCCTGCCCAGCTCATCTGAGTTAATAACAAGGTTCTCATTGATGTATCGAACTGCCTCCCTGTTGAATAAAAGCACAATTTTTACAAGCTAGTTATGATTTAATTTTAATGTTCTCAATGCTTTGACTACTTACAGAAATTATAACATTAACAGTAATTTCATCTCTTTAAAAATGGAATAAATGCTGAAAATGAGTTATTTCCTTCAATGGCCAGCCATCATTCCAAGGATAGCTTATGAAAGAGTTTTAAAATACTACGCAACATATAAAACAACCAAGATGAACCCAGCAAAGAATAAAATACAACCTGAATCAATGAGCTTAATCACAGCAACTTAAGACTGCCATCCTATGGTGGCTTAGAGGGTGTGTGAGGGTCACAGACAGAATGGATCTCATACATCTGCAAAAGGAGGCTGATCATCTCAAATCTCCTTCTGCAGGTGCAACAACCTCTATCATACTTGCTGCTCCGATAGCGATTAAAGACAAAAACGTGGTCCTGCAGGCTTGTGAAATGAAGAGGACATTTGAATCAGTCCTGGGTACACCTAGACAGCACACACACACACACACACACAGATGGGACTTCGTCCAATACACCTGGAAAGCATCAGGTTAGCAAATACTGACACATAAAGCCTACGGCAGCTGTTCTGCCAATGTCTCTCTCCTTACCTTCAGCATAAATTGCATATATGATTGGCCTGTCAGTATGTTAAAAACCCTACATAAAATAAGTCTTTGCCTGGTGTCAAAAGGATAGCAAAGTGAGAGCCAGCTGAGCCTCCCTACAAAGGACATTCCACGTGCAGCATAACACCAGTGCTCTTTCCCTACTTGCCATCCACCTTTCTTGTGATGGCTGGGGCCGTTAAATGTGCTGTCACTGAGGCAAAATAACACGCTGCCCTAAAATAAAAATCTTAAGATTCAATAAAACTTTAACAGGGAAGGTTGAAATTGCTCAGCAGTAGATTTCACCACTGAACAGTTTTCTTACTTGCAAGCAAGACGATATCCGCTAATGACAGAAGTGGGATGAATTTTCTGTTTAACCAACTCATCTGCATTTTTCAAAAGTTCTGCAGCAATGATCACCTGTTAGAAATAACAGAGACACAATTTAACAATATGCAAGCTATTCTGTGAAAAAATTACAGCATAGTCAAAGCATGAGCTTAATGAAAACAGAATGATGGTCTTAATGTGACAAGTTCATTCTCTTTAGCAGATAGAAGGTATCATTTGCAGGTCTTCTTGCTGGCCCTGGAGGGACCATTAAATTAAATTTCACATCCTTTCTACTTTTTCCAAGATTCCATGGCTTAAGAGGATTTGGCGCTGGCCTGGCACAGTTGCCCTAGCTTATCCTGTCCACCATTGCAAACAGCAGCAGCTTTTGCTGTATGGGGCCCATTTCCTCTCATAGCTTGGGAACTGAGTTCTCACCCCAAGTCCATGGCTGCAATGTCTTCCTCTTCAAAAGATAAGCACTTGAGAATACCTAGTGTCTGTGTAAGGGAGACATATCCTGTCAGATGTCTGCTCCTTAAGAACCACGTGTATGTGTCCTAAAACCTGATCCCCAACCAGCCTTGGCTAGGTGGAAGTGACATGGTAAGAAGTTAAAAAAAAAAAGGGCCTGTAGATTATGATACACGGATAAACATAGCTCAGTATATGCCTGTTGTCTTGTGGCAAGCAGGACCAGAAACTGGGTGAAGAAACAGAAGGCTCTTAATGCACAGCATTATTCATTTGCTTCCCCTCCGATTTTGACACAGTTCTAGTACTCTATCAGTAATAACCAAAGAAGTCAGAAGTGGAACATGGGTTGTCCCAAAGGCATTTAAACCTGGCTACAGAAATGGAATCCAAATATGGTCTAAGAATTGTATTTGTTGGTTCTGTTGCTGGGGCAGACTTTAACAACTGCAGTGCTTTCCCAGGCAAATATTCCGAAAAGGAAGTTGCTACTTTTGCTTGCTGGGGGATGGGGAAATGATGGCCCCATTTTGTTTCCTTTGTAGGTGGTTACTTCTGGCTACTGCCAAAGCAGACAGATAAAAACTAAGGTTTGTTCTCATGTTAATGTGAGAGGTTACCGAGTTCTTTGTGTAAATCACTGTGTGCACGATGAAGAAAAAACGAATAAGCGTATTTCAGAGTACAGAAGAGAGTATACTCATCCCTATGCTGTACTGATGCCAGCCTGTCATTCAGAATAGCCAATGCAGTCCCAAAAACTTTATTCTTCTGCCTCAAGTTACTCCATCTTTTAATTGCACCACCCCCTTACATGAACTTGCAAGAAAGAATAATACTTCTGACAGTAAAGTGTAACAGGCGTGTTTTCTTTGAATCCAAACTATAAGCATGCCCAGAATAATTAATTGAGAGTATGTACTGCCATTTCATATAGGATGAATACATTGTCCATATTCTCCTTCAGACCTTTGGCAGTCATTTATTTATCCCATAAGCATAGCCACTTATTTTGTAATGCAAATAAGTGGTAGTCAAATGGGAAGACTTTCCCTCCAGTTATAACAGTAAACACAGGTAGCCTTCTAAGTGGGCTAAGATAATTCATGGGAGAATGGGCCATATCTAATGCTGCAGCTCCTCTGGCACTAGGGATGTCTGTGTGCGCAACTGGTCTTCATCTCGTATCCCTCTAGCCTGCCGTGTGCCCTCAAAATCAACTCTATAGAATTGGAGGACCTTCCAGAGTAGATTCCAGAGGTGCAAGAGGGGAGGAAGAAAGGAAACCTAAGTGCTACTGCACCAGTGGAACCTTGCTAGTACAACATTAGATACAGCCCAAGATCTTTTATAGGAGCATCTCCACCCCCATCGTTCAGCCCGAGGGCCTTCTGGCAGTTCCCTCTCTGCAAAAAGTGAGGTTACAGGGAACCAGGCAGAGGGCCTTCTCAGTAGTGGCACCTGCCCTGTGGAACGCCCTCCCATCAGATGTCAAGGCTATAAACAACTGACTTTTAGAAGACATCTGAAGGCAACCCTGTTGAGGAAGTTTTTAATGTTTGATGTTTTAGCACAGGGGTCAGCAACCTTTTCCAGCTGTGGGCCGGTCCACGGTCCCTCAGACCATGTGGTGGGCTGGACTATATTTTGACAAAAATAATAATGAATGAATTCCTATGCCCCACAAATAACCCAGAGATGCATATTAAATAAAAGCACACATTCTACTCATGTAAAAACACGCTGATTCCCGGACCACCCGTGGACCGGACTGAGAAGGCGATTGGGCCACATCTGGCCCCCGGGCCTTAGGTTGCCTACCCCTGTTTTAGCGTGTTTTTAATTTTCTGTTGGGAGCCGCCTAGAGTGGCTGGGGAAACCCAGCCAGATGGGCAGAGTATAAATAATAAATTATTATAGTTCTAATTCAAACACATTAAGCTGGAGTATGTAATTTTTAAACTGTTTATCAAGTCTGTGTTAATTATGGTATTTTGGCTTGACAAGTTGATTGAGCATACTTTGTTTCAACAACAATAAATGAATAATACTTTATGTGAAACAGGCTTTCATAAACTAGGCTAAGGAATAAATGGACATAGCAAGCCTAACATTAAGTGGTTGCAGTATTTTTAAAACATCAATACAGCAGGTTAATTTATTATGTATCTAAAATAAATCATATATATTGCTGCTTAGATTTCAAAGCAGACCTGAGTGGGACAGCACAGAACAGTATTGTGCTCCCAGCCCTTTTCCAGTGCACATGAATCTACAAACATACACATACCACAGAGGTGGTCCCATCTCCAACTTCTTTGTCTTGTAGTTCTGCCAGTTCACACAGAACTTTTGCCGCAGGATGCTCTACCTCCAGCAATTTCAAAATAGTTGCACCATCATTCGTAATGGTCACATCCTAATATTCCAGACACACAAATAAATAAATAAACAAACGACTGTTACTTAACATTAATCATAATTATGAAATATAATAGGAAAAATATGCAAATAATCATAAAGAACTGCTTAAGGGTCGCTAGGGACTTGCTCAGGGGTCCCTAGTTTTGGGCTAACATTTCTAGCTGTCAGAAAATGTGGCTGCCAAGTTCCTCTGCCCAACATCAGCCAAGGAAGGGCCCCCCCATCCGATTTTCCTGAGGTAAGGACAGGCTGGGAGCTGGGAGGGCTGACCCTCAACATACAGTACCAGCACTAAGCAGTCTGTTTTTTGCTGCAGGTTTTACCAAGCAGCAACCAAGCAAGACTCCGCCTTATTTTTCTGCTTCAGAGAAGGAACAGCTGGTGAGCTTACTGGTTTGGTTCTGCACACTCTGGACATACAGCTACCAAATAACCTCCAGCTTTCCTTTCAGTGTTGGAGCTGAGAAGAGGACAGGGATAACTATGAAGCTGCTGGGAAAATCACCACCCACCCCTTTCAGCTTCAAAGTGAGGATGGAGACTGGTTGCTTTTTACTCTGACTACGATGAGCCAAAGTCCAACAAGTCTTAATTAAGTGCCCATTAAAGGGACATTTTGCCCATATTTTGCAAGGCTGCTGAGAATGGATAACTGAATTAGCATGTATATTTACACACTTCTGTTTTAAGCCAAACCCTTGTGACCAACAAGTTATGGAAATTATTTGAGTACAGTAATGACCATTCATAATGTAAGAATATTCTTCGCAACTGAGAGTAGGGCAGTGGGGTGGGGGAAGTGAAGACAAGCTACAACAATTAACCATGATGTTGTTCACTGCTCCTGCTCAAGCTGCACAGAAAAAGCACTTTGGTTCCTGAAATTAATTCTGATTGTGCAGATAAAATATAACTGATAAAATTCTACAGAATGGGGTAGTAAGTGTGTGAAAATGGTCCAGATGCAATGATCCCCAGGCACGCACCTCCATATATTATATTATATTATATTATTATTATTATTATTATTATTATTATTATTCTGGTGCCCAACCATCTTTACTTGGTCTTAAGTAGCCAATAGCCAGGTACAAAATGTGCCTGGTGAATTTTGAACACTGAAACACATTAAAAAACATGTTTAATTCAGGATAATTTTATAGACTTACTGAAAGACGTATCTTGGTTGCACAGTGCACTTTTCTCTTAAAATTTACTCATAGAAAATAGTGTCTACTTACACCAATGTCATCCACCAACATTTTATCCAAACCAACTGGGCCAAGAGAACTCTTCACAATATTGGCAATGGAAGCAGCAGCCATAACTGTTCAGAAAAACAGATACATTTTCCTCTCAAATAGCGTCGTTTTTTTAAAAAACAATAGGTTACGTGATACAGATGCTGCCATATATACACTTATTTAAATCAAATCCTTTTAGAAAAGTAGTTAATTCTGGTTAAGAAAACCAAACTTACCACTTTGTTTAGTATTTATCTATAATAATACTGTACCTCAATGTACACAATCCATCCAGTTTTTCACAAGGAATGGACCACACAAGCAGAGTTTGTAATAGGCATTTTCTAGTGTAAGCACAGATCCATTATAACAGTTCCATGCACAGTGTGTCTAAATGTTCTCAGCCCCATGTGCACAGCTGAACCAGTCCAAAAGCAATGAAGTACATTTGCTGTCTTTGTAATACTGTACTATGTTCTGCCATTTAATATAGGAGGAAGACAGTGTTCATTCTTCTCCTTTAGACTATGGCAGGCTTTTCTTTATCCCATAAGCATAACCTCTTATTTGGTAATGCAAATAAGTGGCAGTAGAATGGGAAGGGTCCAACTCCTATCCGAGCACAGATTCTAAATAAACTTGTACCTGAGCTTGGGGAAATAGCTATATATTTTAATTCAATAGATTAAATGCAGTTTATAATGTTATAAATATGGACAATAAGGCTCAAATGTGTTTTTAAAACCAACAGAACTTGTATTAAAGATTAAAATGCAACCTCTCACCACAGATAAACCAAATGCCAGCATAAACATATCTATGCAAGATCTCAATGGGGAAGGGGAAAGACAATGCTGATCAGGATTTTTAAGTTCCCCTCTACTTGTTACAAGATCTACCACTACTTGGGATTCCATGTAAAATGAGAAAAACACAGGTAACTTTTAGCTTAAAACAAATCTATATTCACTAGCCTAAATCTAGTCACCAGTGATTTTTAAAATAATAACCTATTCAGCAGTTTATGATTATAGCACTTCTTAAAAGAAAATGTGGTTTCAACGTTATCTTGCAAGATAACACTAGTACAGATTTTAAATGACATTATTTTGAACTAATCGAATTAGGTCAACTGATAGGTTAAGATTCTCTCGTGTGCGTTACACTCTGACAGAATTTTTAACCTATGGAGCCATGTGAAATTGAAAATTACATCCCAATTTAATGTTTTAATTACAAATTAGCATCAATAATTATTCTTTTTGTGGTTCTGCTTTGAAATTCCTGAAACCTATTTTTTCAATCGGTTACATTTCCTACCGGAATAGGAGTGGGCTGCCGATATCACGGCATGGTTTCTCATAAATCCTCAATGCCTCCAAATCGGGCTTAGCAATGTGGTTGACCAAAGAGACAAGCTTCGGAAGCGAGCCCTGCCATATAAGGAAGCGAACTGCGCCCCCCGCCACCGAGCCGCCAATTCTCGCGGAGGCTGACGGAAAAGGAGCGGCTCCATCGCACATGGAAAAAGCGAATTATTTCACGAACGCGAGACCCGAGGCGTGGCGAGAAGAAAAAAGACTTGAACAAGTGGCTCTCAGTTTGATCCTCCCGATAGATCCCTCCCCCTCTCTAGAGGCTCAGGAAAGGGATGCCTGTGGGTCAGCTCAACGTTCGCCGCCTTGGCCAAAGGCCGCCCGTTCTCTGCGCGCCCGTTAAGCGCAGGGAAGCCGGTTCCGCCTCACACGCGCGCCCGCCCCATCAGCCCTAGCGGAGGCGAAGCCACCGTTAGCCTCCTGAGAGGGTTTCGGAAGGCCCCGATGAAATTGATGACCATTCCTTCTTTCGTTTATTTTTACCGTTCTGCGTGCGGACATGCTCGCCGGTGCCCCGCTCTCCGAAAACCGCCAAAGGCCCGTCGAACGCCATCTTGACGAACAAAGAGAGCGAGGCGGCAACGCGCGTGCAGCACTGCAGACCTCGCGGCGCAAGGCTTCCTGGGTAAGCCCGCCCCTCAAGGCGGCGGTCGTTGGGAGGCTCCTAGCGTCATCTTCGCCGGAAGGGCGTAAGAGATGAACCAATCAAAACGCGGGGCACAAGTTTACTCAGGCCTGTCTTTTGAGTTTTGGATGGTGATTGGACCTTGCGCCGCAAACGAGCGTGTCTTTCCTGTTGCGTAGCAACAAGTGAGGCGGTTATATGTGTTCTAGAAGATTCTAGAAAGTGGCTGGGATCCGGGGATGCTCGCGTGAGGAGAATTCCCCAGGTTGAATAAGCGCCTTTGGAAAAGTCTCATCAGCGCCTTTCCCAACCATTTTGAAGCCACTTTTGCTTGAGACGCCCCTCAGCTTGTCATGTTGGGGAAAGCTAGTGATATTCCAATGAATTATTATATATATTTATTATTGTACAGTTCAGAAATTAATCTCATGAATTCATTCCGGCAAGCGCCCCCCCCCCCGCACCCTTTCACAAACGGCAGAAAAATCAGAGCCGTAGTGCGCAAGCGCACTTTGGATTGACAAAATCAAGCTACAGGGGGTTGGTGTTGAAATCGAAGACGTAAGAAAAAGCGCCGGACCGCTACTGCTACGTAATAAAGGCTGCGCCGGATATGAGCGCACTGTTCTCTCTGTGAGCCTCGATCGACTCTACGGACAAGATAAAAGAAAATGTAGAGGGAAATCCCATTGTAGAGGCGAATTCTGGGTTTTCGGTGGAAAAGCCAATTTCAGCTGTGAAAAGGAGAAGGAGAGGTTTTCAGTGGCTCCTATACGGAACCCAAGTCCCAAAAAGTCGTTCCCACTCTCTTAAATTCAGATCTTATTTCGTGTATTCCCCGCTCCGTTTCTAAGCATTTAAGGCATGCAAAGTCCAATGCCAATATAGTCCATTCTTGTAGGTTAAGGGAACTAAGATTGAAATATCGCAGGTTAGAGATGAGTTTATGAGACTGATTTAGATTCCTTTCCAAATCCTCCGTGCAAAACGCCGCTGGGCTGTAGCAGTGGTAAAACTGCATAAACTGCCCTCCTGCAAACTCCTCTTCCAACCCAAATTCTGCGTCAGTTGATTGCAGAGGCCTTGCATTCCTTTTACATGCTGAAAGCGCTGCGCAGTTGCATGTCCAACAAGAGATATAGGGGATATTTTATTTTTGCTGGCGGATCTCAGTTCCAATCCGGAAGAGGGAAGTCTTTGAATATATCAAGTCTCTCATTTCGAAAACTACGGTCCCATCTACACTCTCGGAAAGCTATGGGTCTGTGGACCCAACATCTAGCCGTACAACTCTATGCGCTGTTCGTTTATAGGACCTTTCTATGGAGGAAAGCGGGTGGATTTCCTTGAATTGACCAATCAGAAGTAGGGTTACAAACTTGTGGCAGTGCCTTGCCCCCGCCCCCGGGGCGGAAACGGGTTTTCTTTCCTATGGTTTGCATATAGATAGAGATAAGGGGTAGAGCTGAAGCTCCGAGCTTCCCTTTGTAAAAATGGTGCTGCCCTGTGCCCTGTAGCGTGTGCTTCTCCCGGCGTGATGGCACTGAGGAGGTGGCGGCTTTTGCAGCCGAGGATCGTGGCTAGGGCATCCCCGGCAGCTGCTCAAGGTGCTGAGATTTGGATTTGAGTGTTAATATAGAATTCAGGTGGAACCTGGGGAAGGAGCCCATTTAAGTGAACGGGAGCCTTTTCTAGTCTGGTCATACATATATTTTCTGGGAAGCTGACTTCGGTTAAATTTCTTTCAATCGTATATTTACTAGGTTTGTGTTCGAGGATCCGATCCTAAGCATATCTTCTCAGGAGTAAATCTCACTGAGAGTCTGCTGACTTTTAGAACACCTGGGGTGTTCCGGGGAAAACTCAAGCACGTCTTACTCTGAGGATCGATGCCCAACTTCCCGTTAGTAGAAACTTAATATGTACTTGTTGTAGTATTTGTTCCTTAACAAAGCTTCATGGCTTTCCCTCTCCCCCTTTTCTTTCAAAGGAGGAGCTACTGTGCAGTAAGCTTCTACCTGGTTTTACAAATATCTTTGCTGAGGTCACATAATGCAAAGGTTTTGTTGACCTTGTACGCTGGAAATATTTCTGTGCATGGGTTGTGTTAAACTTTAGTTATTCTTTATTCATCTAGGTATCAGATGTAGTTCTTCTATTCCCAGTTCCAGACCTTCTGCCAAAGATGAAGAGAATACAAGAGAAAATGAGATTGTTGCCCCTGACTTTGTTAACCGCAATCCACGTAACTTGGAACAGTTATCTCTAGCACGGAAAGAGCGAGGCTGGAAAACCACATGGCCAAAACAAGAGTATTGGAATAGGTAGGTTATAAAAATGTAAAGCACAGAAGAATTCTACAAACATCTGAAGAATATTTTGCTAAGAGACAATATTTTTTTGTTCAAAGCTTTTCTTTTGTCTCCTGATAACGTTTCTTCTAATCTGCAGAGAGCAACTGTGTTATCGTGTTTTCAGGCTCATGCTCAATGTTCTGAATCTCAGCCCTCTTCACAGTCATCTCTGTGAGCAGAGGATCTAAGCCTTGTATGCTTTGTTGCAGTGTTTGAGTTTTGATTTGAGACTTGGAGAGAGGAAGAGGTGGTATTGTGTTGAAATTGGCAGGGAGGAGTTCCAGGTATAAAGCATAAGGCTCTCCACTATAAATAGAATTCTTGGGAAACTTGTCATAGATACTATATCAGAATATTTGTTGAAGTAAAATAATGAAATGCTGTTTTTTGCAATTCAGGTTACGACTTGAGCGAACACAGCATCATGTGGAGGCCTATGTTGTGCACTGCAGTGGTCGCATTGTGGTCTCTGCCTCCACTAGAGAGTGGGCCATAAAGAAGCACCTTTATAGTACTTCAGATGTCACAGCCTGTGAGAATGTGGGGCGTGTGCTAGCACAACGCTGTCTTGAAGCAGGAATCAATTTTGTGGACATTAGAGCTACAACTCCATGGGAAAGAAGTGGTGAGGCGGTAAGTAGATTACTTTGGAGTTTTCGGCTTCTGTTAACCTAGAAACTCCTCTTACGTTTTAAGCTCTTATAACAGCCTTGTTCACTGAGCAATTAATTTCTAACAATGGAGTGCTAAGCGGTTCAACTGATGACAAGCAATCTCCCTTGGGGTACTGTTTCACAATGTGAAACATGTCTGTATAGTGCTGCTAAATGTCACTAGCACTAAAATGAGAAATTAGCATTATTCATGAGAGAAGGGAAAGATCTCTTGAAGGATTGGGACAATCAATGGGAAGGAAGAATGTGTGCCAGAAAGATCTTAATTTCACATATAAGCTAATAGGGTCTGAACTGGGGGTGGTTGACAATGAAGCAGATCTTGGCGTCATAGGCGATAGCTCAATGAAAATGTCAACTCGGTATGTGGCAGATGTGAAAAAGGCATGAAAATTTCGTGCCAGGGATCCTTAGGAAAGAAAACAAAACAGCAAAGTCGTAATTCTGTTCTTCAAATCTGTGGTGCAACGGCAGTTACAATACTGTGTAAAGTTCTTGTTGCGCCACCTCAAAAAGGATATAATAGAGCTGCCAAACGATAGGAAAAGGACAGCTCCCCTATGATGAAAGGTTACAGCTTTGTGGGGATATTGTGCGGAGGGGGGAGGTTAAAGAAAAGTAAGTGGATACATGATTATGCATGGGGTGGAGAAAGCAGTTAGAGAGGGTCTTTTCCATCTCTCATTGTATTAGAACCTGGGGCTATCCAATAAATGTTGGAAGATTCAGGACAGTGAAGAGGAAGTACTTCACACAGTGAATACTGAACCTATTGCATTTGCCACCACAGGATGTAGTAATAGCCACTGGCTTGGGTGGCTTTCAGAGCAGAATGGGGAAGTCATGCTTTCAACAGGTATTAGCCATGATACCCTCAGAGGCATCTGGTTGGTCACTTTGATATATCCAGTGGGATCTAAGAATTGCAACATTCTGTACGTTGAATATAATAACACAAATTATATACTAAAGGTTGTGATTTAATTGTTTTCTCTTTTTTTAAAAAAAGGTCCAGAGATTCCAAAATGCTATGGCAGAGGGCGGTGTTATACTGAAAGAACTGCAAAGAATTTATGAATAAGTTGAAAATTCATAAGAAGATGCTGAGAAATACTTTAGAAAAACCTGCAATTCTGTATTTTTAGGGGAAACAAACACATTTTCTTCCAATGTTAGAATGTTATTGAAACATTTATGTTAAATAAAGATCTAATAAAATTATGTTGGTGGCAATTGTTGGTGATTTTTTTTTTTTAATATAGTTTTATACAAATTGGGCTGCAGCTGAAACCTCTTAGAAATAATTTCAGAGCAGTGTATTCCTGCTGCCTTTTACAGCTTCTTGGTCATTGGTCCTGATCTATGAAACTGAAGCTTGATTAGGGCACTCTTGCTGTTTTTCTATCAAAACTACCCCCATCTAAAAAGGTTCAGAGAGAGATTAAACAAAACAGAAATTAATTAGCCTGTGGTAACAGTGAAAAAAGTTATTGTTTGCTACTACTGCATGTACAGTTTAGTATTCTGCAGCTATTCTTGCCACACAACTATTCAGCAAGATGAACAGCTTGGCCAGTCTGGACTGTTTGAGCACAGGAATAGTTGTGTTCAAGTAGTGCAAGTAGATAAATAGGTACCACTGCAGTGGGAATGTAAACGGTGTTTCCGTGCGCTCTGGCACTCCTTACAGTGTCGTCTTGTGCCAGAAGTGGTCAATCATGCTGGCCACATGATGTGAAAAGTTGTGTGCAGACAAATGCCGGCTTTCTCGGCCTGAAGCAAGATAAGCGCTGCACCTCACAGTCTAGTTTGACTGGACTTAACCGTCCAGGGGTCCTTTACCTAAACTAGTTATGTTGTGTTTGCTGTTATAAGCTTCATACCCGCTTTGACAAGAAAATCTAATCGGTGCAATTTGTCTCTGGGACTACTATTTAAATCTACAATGAGGGCCTATGACAGCAGCGGTTCATATTTGCCCTATTCATTTGCACTGGTTTCAGTCACCATCCAGCAGGGGTGCCCAAACTTTTTTCAAATAGGGCCAGATTTGATGAAGTGAACATGCGTGAGGGCCAACCAAAGTTAGGATTTTACCCAGGACATATACTGCCACAGCAGCTGGATTAGGCCCTCAAAACGGACTTTGGACATGCCTGCCCCACTGTGACAATAGCTTCTATACCACAATCAAGTAGGCCCCATGGTCACCCTTACACCGGAATGTCAGTTGGGAGAAGTTAGGCTAACAATAGGTTTATGGTTGATCTCATTTGCATTTAAACATGCCATTTGCACTAATGAGCCTTGATCTTTGAATTAGCCTAATTTATTCTGCTCCTCAGTTTGTTAAGGTCAGAAAATCAAACTAGAACGGTTGATTTAACATCTAATTCTGTCACCAGGCCCATAGTCAGAAATGTTGTATTTAATTAAAGTTCTCATTGACAAGGAATGTAAAGCCCTAAGAAGGCGAATTAGGAAAATGGTCAGAATCATCAAATCTTCCAACGACCCCCAAACCCGTGCAAAGCTCATAGATATTAAAAGGACATATAGAAACATGATTCATTGCAAGAAACAGCAGTACATCTTTGAGGCTTGGTCCACTCTTCGTTCGGCTGTAGAGAGGCATGACTCCCGCTCCTTCTGGCGCCTAGTTAGACCTTCGGCACCATTCAATCCAGCTACCCAGATTTCCGCGGATGAATGGATTGCCTATTATTCAACTAGTTTCGCTTCTCCAAACCATCTTACAGATCTCCTTCAATCCCCATTGGACCTCAGTTCCTGCTCTTTTAGTCCCACTTCTTCAATAAACTTTACTTCAACTCGCATTTTCAACATCATAATGTCAATGCAAAGGAATAAGGCCCCCGGCCCAGACATGGTCCCGTTGGACCTTTTCCTGACTGATCCTCTTTGGTGGAGCGAACACCTGACTCCTGTATTCACCGCTATCTCCTCCGCCCTAGACATCCCCGACTCCTGGAGAGAAGCTATAATAGTTCCGATCTTCAAAGGCGGCCAGCCAAACATCCCTAGGAACTATCGCCCCATCAGCTTATTATCCATCCCGGGAAAATATTTGCCGCTGTTTTACTGGAGGAACTTCTCTCATGGGTCCAGGAGAGGAACATTCTACCGCTAGAACAGATTGGTTTCCGAAAGTCAGCGTCAACCATGGACCATTGTCTAACTCTCTTTCACCTTGCCAGTAAATACACTGCTCCAAGGCAAGGCCACCTATTTGCCGCTTTCATGGACCTGGAGGCCGCCTTTGATTCCATTCCTAGGCAGAGATTATGGTCCAAACTTGCCCATCTGGGAATTGATCCGCACCTTCTCTCCCTAATTATCTCCCTTTATTCAAACACCACAGCTCGCGTCCGAACTAGTCCAAACGGCTCCCCACTACTCCATTTCCAACGGCCAAGGGCGTCCGACAAGGTTGCCTCTTGGCCCCTTTACTGTTTAATCTCTATCTTCATGATGCAATTTCCACTTTGAAGCTAGCATCTAAGTATCCTCCTCACTTAGCAGGCCACCCGTTGCTTCCTTTTCTATGCTGATGATGCCGTCATCTTATCCAGAACAGCTGTGGATCTAGCAAATGCAGTTAATGCATTTATCGCCTATTGTAAGGCGGAAGCTCTTAATATTAATTATAAAAATCGAAAGTCCTCCACTTCACTCGTTCCCGCAAACTCAAGTTGGAGCCGCTTAAGATCACAGGTGGCTACTTAGAAAAGGTAAAAGCCTTTAAATATCTAGGATTAATATTCACCTATAATCTCTCCTGGACCACCCATCTACAATCTGCTTTTCTCGCTGCAACCACGACCTCTAACGCCATTGTCCGATTTTACCACCAGAAGGGCGGCAAACACCTTCCAGCAGCAATTCAAATATTTAATGCCAAAGTCGTCCCTAAATTATTATATGGATGTGAAGTATGGACTACAGCAATATCAGGTAACCTGGATCGTCCACTTCATATGTTTCTGAGATCTCTTTCCGGCGTCCCGAGATGTGTCTCAGGTGCAGCCCTACGACTCGAGTTCGCCCAGCCTTCAATTGCTAGATGAGCATGGAGCCGAGCCATTTCCTACACCCTCCACCTATTAGCATCGGATGCTCGAATTAGAGGTGGCTTTTCCAATCTGATCCTAAGAGATATCCATAATTCCCCTTGGAAAACTACAATTAACCTCAAATTCCGCTCTCTTCTCAATTTGAATTGTAAAACTGTTCTTAACTTAGAGTGTATCAGCCCGGTGGCCCTACCCCTAATTAAAAAGAAACTACAGCAATTTGACTTCTCCAACACAGCTTCTTGTGCAAGAGGACCATGTTCAGGCCTAGCCCTAGCTATTCCACCCCCTGAAGGGATCCCTCTATACTGCTTCACAATTTCTTCGGAGACTAAGCGAAGGGCTTTTACCTGTGCCCGTCTCAACTGTTTTCCCACAGCAGTTCTGTCGGGTCGTTATTCCAGAGTTCCCATCGCAAACAGAACATGCTCCTGTAATGACACGGCCCTGGAGACTATGGAACATGTAATGCTCTTCTGTCCCAACTGGACAGATGAAAGATCTCGGTTTTTAACTCCCCTCGTGAATAAGTTCCATCTCCCAATTCAGCCTTGGATAGTGTCCCTCTTTTTGCAGGATTCTGATTGTTGGATTACTGAGATGACAGCTAACTTCCTGCTTAGTGTGATGAAGAGGAAAGCGGCACTAACTTCTTCCTTAACACCACAGATGCAGTCGATACGCCGCACAACCGAACGAAGTTCCAAGTAGCCTTATTGTACAAGGACAATCGAGTTAGGATTAATCTGAGGAGCTGAAGGACCCCTCAACGGTCCTCCTCCAGCCTCAGCAGCTTTTGTTTTTTTTTGTTTTTTTGTTTTTTTTTTTCACTTTCTTTAAGTATTCGCCCAGGACGATGTCTACCTCTACCTCCCCACCCCCATTTTATGTTGTTATTTCAATGTATATCATGCTATGGCCACTCGGCTAATGCAATAAATCTACTTATTCAAAGTTCTCATTGTTTATCTGTTATCCAAGATTCTGAACAACTGTGTCAGTTAACCAATACATCAGGCAACCTTTCTCACGGTATATTGGTGAGGTTTGAGTCTGGAGATTAATGGTTACATTGCAATTTAATCTTTCAAAGTGAGTATTTGAAAGTTTACGTGTGCTATGGTTTATTTCTGAGTACTACATACACAGGATTTTCCTGCTTTATTGGCAATTCTGTTTACATGGGGTAAGGCCCAATTTGTAAACAGTCCTGATTACATTTAGGATCAGGGCTTAAATACTTTCACATTTTATTTATAAACATTTAAATAAACTTTAAAAGGGCCCCCCAAACCCTTCACTTTTTAATACAGTATCGCTGCTGTCCATTTCCGCGAAGGATGACTCCTGTCCATTTAGCCACCGTGTGACACAAATAAGTCAGATGCCATTTCCCATATCAAGAGGTATGAGGGAAAGTTTCGGTTGCTTGTTTTTCCAGATGACTACGCCGGTGTTAAAAGTCACTGCAGCCCTAGTTGGGAAGAAAGTGGGTGTTCAAGGAGAAAGGGGTTTTGTGGGAAATGATGGGTGAGGCGCCCCATTAATTTTTGTTGGGACAGCTTTTTTAAGGAGATCCGTTATTAACTCTGAAGAAACGTCTCCACCCCTATCGTTCAGCCTGGACACAGAGGTCCTCCTCTGAGGGTCTTCTGGTGGTTCCCTCACTACGAGAAGTGAAGTTACAGGGGACTAGGCAGAGGGTCTTCTCGGTAGTTGCACTGTTCCTGTGAAATGCCCTCCTATCAAATGTCAAGGAAATAAACAACTATCTAACTTTTAGAAGACATCTGAAGGCAGCCCTGTTTAGGGAAGTTTTTAATGTCTGATGCTTTATTGTATTTTTAATATTTTGTTGGAAGCTGCCCAGAGTGGCTGGGGAAACCCGGCCAGATGGACAGGGTATAAGTAAATTATTATTATTATTATTATTATTAATAAGAGTCATTATTCTTATTATAAAAAAATAGCAGGCGGGCATCAGGCTGAGGAAGGCTGTTATTATTATTTCCTGCGGGTGCCCGTTTAAAATATAGCATAGCTAATTTTCTCACTGCAGATGGCGTCTGCTATTGTGAAGTAAATTGTTGCTTGGACAACTATAAAAAACAGAAAATAGTCACAACACCAATCACATTTTGCCTATATAGCCCTACTGCATGGAAATATTTGATTCCAAATGTTGGAAAACAATGAAATAGGCATAATTATCTTAGCCTAAAATTATCAGGTGTTGACCAGATAAAGAACTACTCAACTTTTAGAAGATATCTGAAGGCAGCCGTTTAGGGAGGTTTTTAATGTTTGACGTTTTACTATGGTTTTATATGTGCTGTAGGCCACCCAGGGTGGCTGGGGATAATAATAATAATAATAATAATAATAATAATAATAGTTGAGCCTTTTGGAGGAAATCATGGGTAAAAACACCCCCAATGCAAGGAGCAAGCCTTCGTGTGGGGGGGGATCTGCTAGGGGCATAGTTTCTGTGGATCTGGGGAGGTGGCAGCCCATTAGTCGACCGCCTTTAAAAGCTCAAGGGAGGCAGAAGCCAAGGCTCGCATCCAATTAGCCTCGGCAATTCGCGTCGCTCCTCGAGCGATGGGCGTGGCTTCCTCCCGGCTCTTCTTGTGGGGCGGGAATAGCCTCGATTCGCACGTGTGCCTGGAAGCGGGATGGATGTGGGAGCCGGGGAGTTTGAGGAGAAGTTGCCGAAGCTGCAGGAGCTCATCCTCGGCTGCGACTTTGTCGGTGAGGGAGATGCTGGGGGTGGGGGGAAGCTATCCCTGCGAAGGCGGGGTGGGCATCTCCCAATGGCCCTCGGCTGGCCTTGGGCTTAGCTGATCGAGCTGCGGTAACGGGGAGGAGGAGAAGGGAAGGGTCCCCTGGGCACATCTGCCATAGGCCAAGCCTCGACGTGCTTGCATGGAAGCAAACCCCACTGAACTCAATAGGAACCCGCTCACCCTCTCCAGGATTAGCGTCCTTAAACTAATATAACGGCAATCGTTGCAAGCCTACTGGGAATTTTAGTTCTGGAGGGAGAGCCAGTGGATTCCTCAGCAGAATGCTCATGGCTTGTGCCATGTTAAGTCCTCAGAATTCATTAGGGAAGCGGAAACCAAGGTCAGTGTTTGCAGATCTGCTTCAGAGTAGCAGGAGTGGCTGGGGTGAGCTCTCAACTGCTACTGAAGGAGAGTTGAGAGGATAGGTGGCTTTAAAAACAAATACTGTAAATAAGCAAGCAGGCTCCCAGATCCCAAGGGAGGTGGATCGCTCTGATCATTAAGAACCTGGCAACTTTGGAGGTGCCCTGGCACCTTGTCAGTCACTTCTCTTTCAGCTGCATGGGGTTATCTTGTTTGGAGTGTAAAATCTTTTATTTTTCTTAATATTGAGGAGCTGAGGAGGCGCCGTCTCCCTCCTTAAAGGTAAAGGTACCCCAACAGTAGGTCCAGTCGCGGATGACTCGGGGGTTGCGGCGCTCATCTCGCTTTATTGGCTGAGGGAGCCGGTGTACAACTTCCGGGTCATGTGGCCAGCATGACTAAGCCGCTTCTGGCGAACCAGAGCAGCACTCCCTACTCTGGTCTAAATAACAAAACAAACATACACTAATATTTATGTACAACTTAATCAAAAAGGTCTCAAAACGGTTTACATGAAGCAAAACAGAATACCTAATAAAATCAAACTTTAAAAAAAACAAGTAGATGTACTGAAATTTATCAAAATGTGATTAAATAAACAGTTAAAAAACAAATATACATAATAAAACCGCACAAATGCACATAATAAAATTGCATGTCTGGATAGGATTTCCTAAACAAAACGTTTTTAGTAGGCATCACAAACAGTACAAAAATGGCACCTACATAAATAAAAGGGCAGGGAATGCAGAGTGTAGGTTTGACTACTTTAAAAGAGTGATCCCTATTTTAAAGAGGTATTATGTGGTGTTTGTTAAAAGTCCCAGTTCTGCAGGTTGAAGAGGTTGGAGTAAGGTGATCCTTCAACAGTTCTCAAGCTGCTGAGGGCTTTATATATTAATAACACCTTGGACCATGTAACAAATCAGCAGCCAGTGTAGAGCTTTGAGGAGAGCTATAATATACTGACAAAATCTAACTCTTACTGGCAGTCACAATGTAGAATTTTGCATTCACTATAGTTTCTGAAGCAAGCACAAGGGAAGCCTCACAGAAAGTGCATTGCAGTAAACCAGTCTTGAAAGGACCAGTAGCTTGTCAACAATAGTTCAGGTATCTGATTCCAGGACTGGCAAGAGGTTTTGTACCAGCCAAAGCTGAAAAAAGGTGCTCCTGGCTACCTGGACTTCCAGTGACAAAACTGGGTCAGGAAAAGTGATTATTTGCAGCTGGTCATTAGTGTTGTGCCATGACTAACAATCAAGGTAAATCTAAATTCCAAAAGTTTTATTGCTATAATAGTTACAGTTCTGATGAAACTTCTTAAAATCAACCAAACATAGTGAGTTGGTGTCTCATGCAAAGGACTTGAGAGCATTGATGGAACCGGCAGAATATAAAATTACAAAAAATGCTCACAGTCTATTTAGTAGTAGTGGGGAAGGCAAATAGTTTAGTTTGGTGCCCTTTGCTGTGTTCAGTTTGTTCTTTGTATTTTGCAGGCCTTGACATGGAGTTCACAGGTTTGCATTCTACCTTTCCACCCAGTAATCAGCACAGGTAAGTTTGTCTAACCATACGTATTTTCAGAAGATGTGTACAGGAGTACTATAAAGGTGCATCCACAACATGGAAGTATTTCATGATTTCCCCCCTTCTCTCCCAGCCTCTTTGATTCACCTGCTGAGCGCTATCAAAAAGCCAGACAGAGCGTCCAGCAATTTACAGTGAGTCAGCTTGGTGAGTTCTTTTTGAGTTGCTAAAACTCAAATGTAAATCCTGTACATGCAGCATGAGTGAGAGACTGAGGGGCATTAAGGATCTGGGTGGGAATGCTTGTGGTGGCCGTATTTTGGGTTCTAGTGGGAGATTGAAAGGGGCTTAAGTCCAGATTACCTCTTCTCCCTCCTTGAGCAAGGCATGAAGCTGTTTCCAAGGGGCTTTTAAACAGACCAGCACTGCGCTTTGAAGTAATGATAATTGGGGCTGCAAAGCACAGCATCAGTTGATGTTACCATGAAGTCATTCGTCTGAAGGCAGGCAGCTCTGCCAAGTTTGGCCCACCAAGGGGTGAAGAGATAAGGTTCCCCAACTCTGTTTTAGAGGAATACTCTGTTTCCTGCATTGTTTGTTCAGTGTTACCAGAGCAGAGATGTCTCTTTCTCTAGGTATTTTGGGGGGTTGTGGCTCTTCTAGGAAGTAGTCAAGATGGAATTATTGGATATCTGCAGTGCAAACATGATTCTTGGGGTAGTATGGGTGAGTGTAATACATCTATGAACAATATAGCTGTAAATCAGTTCCTCATAAATAGCCTCTCTACAAACACCTAAGGTTCCTTGCAATGTCTGCCAGTATTTGGTGCTAAAATTAAGGCGAATTTAGCTTTCCACCTGAAAGGTTGCTATTGTAATTTTCAGCAAATGACTAGATGGGTGGAATCCTTACTAATAGGCAAATGGTTCTAGCATAGCTTTAGCCAAGGAATAGAGAAGAACACACATTTGTGATCGAAATGTCACTGTGTGCAGGTGCCTGTTTTGTGTGATAACATTTTACATTTTTCTTTCAGGTTTGTCAATATTTTCCAATGAAAACTCCAACAAGTACGTATAGTGTTTTCTTGTCAATGGTTATATTTAGCTGGTGATCATGGGATAAAAATGCTGCCTTTCAGCCCTTCCCTGGCAGAAATCTTGTTAGTTATTCTGCTTTCTTTGCAGGTACGTGGCTCATTCCTATAACTTTTTTCTCCTTCCCATGACATTTGGCCAAATGGATTCTGAGGTCTGTTTCCAAACATCTAGCATTCAGTTCTTGTCTCACTATGGTTTTGACTACAACAAGGTAGGTTTTCTGTTACAAATAGGCTAGGCAAACAAAATGTGGATTTTTGGACTTGTTTTGCCATTTAATTACTGTTATGTCTTCTACTCGCACAACAGGGTTTCCCTCTTCTCCCCATATGCACCTCCCATACCTCCTGAAATTGGGTCAGGCTGGGTGGGTTGGAAGGACCCCCCAGAACAGCATGTGCGGGAGGAGGGAGGGGTCGTTCCATCTGCCAACTGGAGCTTTGTTGCACTTGAGAATTTTAAAGCACTTGAATTTTTAAATTAATACTGGAGTACAGCCACTTATAGGATTGGTGTAGTCAAATGAACAGAAGGGATAGTTCTGGCACCCATATTCCTTTAACACAGAAACTTTCTGAGGTGTAACTTTTATCCTCCCTTCTCTCCCCACCCCCAAGTTTCTTAAAGATGGAATCTCATACATGAATGAAGCACAAGAGAAGAAACTTCAGCAACAACTTTTGCGCGGGAACTTGATGGTCCACAGGTAAAACTGATCTTTCTGTGAGAGTCTGTGGAGCGTTCTGGTAAGTCCAGGTTCAAACTGGCTCACAAGTTTCAAACAGCTGCCTTGCTCTTCTATCTCCAGTACCTTTGAAAAGGACAAGCTGAAAAAAGTGATTGATGAAGTAACTTGCTGGGTGTCATCAGCAGAAGCGAAAGATTCTATGGTTCTATGCGATATATATGGTAGGGGGCCTAAGCTTAGGCACTTTTGATTTCGTGTCCCACAGCCCTTGACTGAATTTGTTACTTGCTCCTTGCCCCACACCTTGAATTTTTGTATCTTTCCCTCTCACCCATTGGAGAAATAGAACCTTTGTTTTGTTATCACTGTACCTGTTATTTGTGAGTCTGAACATAAGGCTATGTACCATCTTTTAATTCTGGGGTGGTGGGGAAGCACTACTGCAAGACCTGGCACCTTCACTGATGCAGCTTCAATAAAGAAAGAGAGAGAGAGAGAGAGAGAGAGAGAGTATACTACACTTAACAGAAAATGGATATGAAAATAAATTGGACTTGATAGTATCCCTTGCAGGGGCAGTATCCTTTTCCTCCATGCCCACAACTCTCCTGAAAATGATATACAGTATACTACTCTCAACATGTTCCAGAAAAACATGGGATTCTAGGAGAACCACTGCAAAATGCAGGTGATGTGACTGCATACATTAGAGAACACCCAAAACCTTCCTTGCTTGCCATAGAAAACTAGCCTTGAGATGGAAGTTTAAGCAGGATTAGAACACTGCTCTCTGGAAAGCTATCTTTCAACAGGTAGGGAGGCTTTAAAACATATGTGTTGAGAGTGGAATCTCACAATTCATCCTCTTCCTGCAAACTGCATTTTAAAATAGTACAGTGGTGAATTGAGAGATAAAAGCCGTCTGAATGCCTGATCCTGTGTGTGAGTGTGTCTTGCTGCTTGTAACACCTTAATTGGATATAGACTTGGACAGTAGTGCAATCAGTGCAGGGAACTGCTTCTTAAATGCAATCTTAAAATGCTGTACCATTTTTCTAATTCAGCCATCTGAGTGTTAGTCAAGTACAATGAAGCTATATCATGCTGTTCATGTTTTTGCTTCTTATAGGCTTCCAGGTGTTTGAAATACAGCTGATTCTAAGACGAGCTATTCAAGATATTTGGACGATTCCTTTAGGAGGTCAAAAAGTAAGTTTCATATTGTCGTGTTTAAAATGGAACTGGTGCATTCATGGCATCCAAGTCCTAGGAATACGGACATCTTGTCTTTACCATTGTGCAGGTTTCCATATATAGATATTTGAGAATTCTTCTAAACTTTTGGCAGGAGTGTATAAAAACAATTTGGCTAGTATTTTTCCTGAGGTTAGATCTTTCTAAATAAAGGTCTTTAGGTCACTGGAGGCAGAACACTAAATTGGCTCTGTTATACTTTACTAGGCTGCCTCCCTGTTAGCCATTTATGGTACATCTGTTCATTAATTGGACTCATTCCAATCTGGGTTCAGCCCTAGCGACAGTGGTTCCAATCCTACCTTCAGGACCGAGTCCAGAGAGCAGCCTTGGGAAGAGTGCCTTTCACCCCCCTGACGACTATGCTATGGGGTGCCATAGGGAGTATTTTATATCCAGTGCTATTTATATCCAGTCTACTGATGACACTCAGTTCAGTTTCTCCATAACATCTGAATCAAGAGGGGCTGTGCGATCCCTGGGCCATTGCCTGGATGCAGTGGTGAAATAGATGAAGAATAACAAGCTAAGCTTGAATCCTGGCAAGACGGAGGCACTCTGAGTGAGTCGTACCTGTGTATGAGAAATTGGTTAGTTGCCTGCTGTGGGATGGGTTTGCACTTCATCTGAAGCAGCAAGTTTGTGGTTTTGGGGTCTTCTTGATCCAGCTTTGTCACTGGAGGCACAGGAAGCCTCAGTTGACCAACTGTGGCTGGTTTGACTGCTATGGCCATTCCTGGACCAAAGTACATTTATGCAACAGTTATAATTGGCAGTCCGAGGCCAGGGTGGTGTGATGAAATCTCAGCAGTTTATGCATGTGGGCTGATCCATAGGTGGTGCACAAATCGCACACTTGCCAACGTACAGCTTCTGTCCTGTCTTGCTTCAGGTGATGGTGAAGAAGATAAGTCCGCAGCATCGCTGGCAGCTGGAAAATACTTCTTACGATTCTTGTCGGAGAGAGCAAATTCTGTTCTCTGCAAGGGGTTTCACCAACCTTTTCCAGACACTAGTTAAAGCAAAGAAGGTAGATCCCACTTTCTTTAGGGTTTTTTTTAAATAAAAGAATAACAATTCAGATGTAAAGGCACAGTGGTAGAAAATTCTAAATAACTTTTGAAAAGCTTAACAGAATATGTATATATAAAGTTATACTTATACAGGTGATATCAATTAAAATTGTACTGGCCTAGTGATGGTTGAATTTTTATATATGAAATGACCAGAGCCATTGAAATTCAGCTGGTGATCAGTGATAAGCTCAATAAACTGATCATCGCTAGGCCTTTATTTTGTAAATTGCATTTCCTTTCTTAACGGGCCTAGTATAAAACATATTCACATTAACCACTGTTCAGCAGTGCTGTGTTTTTGACAATCTTACCTTTCTCTCTGCAGCCACTGGTGGGACACAATATGCTGATGGATCTTCTGCATCTGCATGAGAATTTTTACAAGCCCCTCCCTGGTAATGTCACTTCCAGCTTTAATCACAAAGAGACTTTTGTATCCTTTCCCCAGTAGGATCCTTGCTCCTGATCCTCACCTTTGCTTTAGGAACTGATCTATTTCTGGTTATTGGTCAAGCTATTGTCAGCAGTTTAGTTGTTCATTAACAAGCAAACATCGCCATCTTCTCTCTCATTTTTTTTAAAAGAAAACTACGATGAATTTAAAAAGAACATACATGCCCTGTTTCCTGTTGTCATGGACACAAAGAACATAGCAAAGGCCACCTGGAAGGTAACTCTCATAGGCTGCTGATGCTCAGGATTGCCTCTCCTCTTGCCCCTCTCTCACTGTGTCAATGCAAGGGTCCATGGCTCAGCAAATAACCACCTAGTTTGTATGCCGAATGTCCCAGGTTCAGTCCACAGCAAAGGATCTTGGCTACAGCTAAAAGATGCCTTTTGCTTAAAACATTGGTGGGCCACTGCCGGTCAGAGTAGACAAGACTGGCCTAGAATAATTTAAAGCCTGGCAGTTCCATATGTTCAGAAAATGAGCAAGGAAACTCCAATTTTGTCTCCTTCCCAAAGAGCAGTGACAACTTCTGTCTGTCGTCCACTATTTCTTCCCAGAAGTGGAGCAGCGATCTGCATTAGTGGTACTTGAGGGTTCTTAGTTCCATCCTGTTGTTGGGATTGTGACTCTTGTCTCTTGTAACACCAGTGTTTTTCCCACATGAAGGCAAAATGTGCGCTGCAGACAGGACAATTCAAAGTGTTGGTGCTGACCTTTAAAGCCCTAAACGGCCTAGGTTCTGTATACCTGAAGGAGCGTCTCCACCCCTGTCGTTCTGCCCGGACACTGAGGTCCAGAGCCGAGGGCCTTCTGGCAGTTCCCTCACTGTGAGAAGTGAGGTTACAGTGAACCAGGCAGAGGGCCTTTTCAGTGGTGGCGCTCACCCTGTGGAACGCCCTCCCATCAAATGTTAAGGAAATAAACAACTATTTGACTTTTAGAAGACATCTGCAGGCAGCCCTGTTTAGGGAAGTTTTTAATGTTTGATGTTTTATTGTGTTTTTAATATTCTGTTGGGAGCCGCCCAGAGTGGCTGGGGAAACCCAGCCAGATAGGCAGGAAATAAATTATTATTATGATTATTACTATTATTATTACGGTTAAATTCCTGACTGTGGTTGTAATTGTCACATTCAGCAGGGCTTTAGGGGAAGGGTGCATTATGGGACTTGACAGGTTTTCTTTGATGTGGTTGGCATTCCCAAGCTTGTATACTTGGATGCCTTGGGAACAACATGATAAACTTAATGATTGGAGGCGGGAGGATGTGCTGAAACTGTATGGCCAAACAAGTGGAAACCTTGCCTTTTGAGTCAGTGTGTGAATGAGAAGGTGATAGGACAGCAGTTTCTAGTCTCGGGTTACAGCTTTGATGTTCTGTTCCTAAGGGCATGTTGTATGTTACAATCCTGGTATGGCTGCTGTTAAGATTTCTACCTGTGCGCATCCCAGTTACATGAAATAGCATACAGAACATTTCAAAGTAGCTGATTACTGATGAGACGCAGGTACCTCCAACTGACTGACCCACAGTGAACCTCTAGTTTCAGTTGTTCAGTAAATGTGCAGTAATCCTGTATCTTTATGAGGATAATGATGTTGGAGGGGTCAGGGCCTTAGAAGACAAACAATGGTATAGGAAGCTTCAAGAACAGACATGTTGCACTAGAGTAGTTGATGTCCTATGCACTGCAATCCATTGTTACTTTGTGAACCTCCAGCTCTTTCCATGTCACCAAAAAGCTTAAAAAAATTCTTCCTTTTAAACAGGAGTTCCAGTTTCCTCGAGCTGAAAATCTTTTGGAGCTTTATAAAGTTCTGAACAGGTGAGCCATTTTATTTGTGTGTGCGTGTGTCGCCATTGGATTTATCACTAAGTTAGCCTGCCTGAAAAAGAACTATAACAAGTTGTTCCATAATTCAATCAGGATTTTTTTGGGGGGGGGGTCATGCCCTGCAGATGTTGACCCCGTGATCAGTTTAGATTAGGGTAGATGGTACTTTGTTCTTCCGTCAAATGTTTGAAGAAATTACACATTGATTGCCCAGTAGTCCTGTATCTTCTGAGTGAAGTGGCCCTCTTAGGCTGCAGATCTCAGGGTAACATTAAGAGGCAGCGAATGGACAACTGCTCTGTAGAATTTAAGACCATGGGGAGCATAATTACAGATTGGGGAAGGGGCTTAACACCTGATAGGAGAAAATTAAAATTGTTGCCTTCTTCCAGTTTTGAAAATGTTTTGCATTGCACAGTGATTAACACCTATCTGACCACAATTGGTTTTTTAAAGAATTCAAACATCCCTTGCCTCTTCTAAAAGAAAAAGACAGCCCAGTGTTTCTATTTCACTGGAAAGGCAAGACAAGGAGGACATATGATAACTTTTATATAAATAGGCACAATGGCTATATTCTGCTTCTACTGTTGGAAGTAATATACCTTTGAATACCAGTTGGTATTCCATTCAGGTTGTATTTGCGGGCTTCCCATGGTTGGCCACTGATAGAACAGGATGCTGGACTTGGGTCTGATCCAGCAGGGCTCTTCTTAAGAACTGAAAGCTTGACAATTGATACCTTTCAGCAGTGACATGAATCCCACAAACCAGCCTTGTCCAGAGATCTTTCATGCAAGCGACTGCCTCAGATACGGTATGTCTGGCTATGGAAACAAATTCTTGGCGTGTAGTCATTAACCTGAATAAGTACTACGACTGATACGTTTTCAGTTGCTTTCATCACAGAGCAAAGTCACGAGGAGCTTTGAACAGGATTGTGATGCACATAGCTTTGCATTTCTACCCCTTGCAGCACACATGCACCAAACTGTTCGTTCTGCCCTTGTTCCCTACCTACCGTATTTTTTGCCCTATAGGACGCACTCCAAAAATGAAGGGGAAATGTGTGTGCATCCTATGGGGCGAATGCAGGCTTTCGCTGAAGCCTGGAGAGCGAGAGGGGTCGGTGCGCACCAACCCCTCTCGCTCTCCAGGCTTCAGGAAGCTCTCCGCAAGCCGTGGGAGAGCTGCGCGAAGTCGCGCAGCTCTCCCACGGCTTGCGGAGAGCTGCCTGCACCCAGAAGCCTAGGGCGCGCTGAGCTCAGCACGCCCCAGGCTTCGGGCTTCACGCAGCTCTCCCACGGCTTGCGGATAGCAGCCTGTTCTGGGGGCTGGGGTTGAGGGAAGCTCGGGCTTCCCCCACCCCACCCCCGCACCTGAGGGGGGGAAATAATTTTTTTTTCTTTATTCCCCCCCCCCAAAAAAACTAGGTGCACCCTATGGGCCGGTGCGCCCTATGGGGCTAAAAATACGGTACTACTACTGCAGTCCACAACACTGGGAAAATAGATTCTTAAGGCATTCTGCAAGGCCAAAATCAGCAGTGAACCTCCAACAGGCTTTGCATGATACTACTTCTACTGCCAGACCAAACTCAAGTTGGCTGTGATCACAACTTAATGATGGGATCTGATGATATTGCTTCAGAATCCTTGTAGAGACTGCCATGCTCTAGATTCTTAGAGGTGGGAGGAAAACGGCAACATAAAACAAAGAGAAACACGATAGGTTGTCTGTGGAAGTTGTTTTGGGTCAGATCATTATAGACTGTCTGGGGAGATGTTACCTTTTCTGTTTTGTTGGAAACCTTTCAGCTACAAAGGAGTCTCCTCACGAGGCAGCCTATGATGCATTTCTCTGCGGATCAGGTATGGGTGTAATTTTTTGTGTCTAAAATAACCCCTTCCATCGGCATTGTGCTAGTTCAACATATGGGGCAGTCTGTCTACTTTGTTAATAAAGAAACTGTACAACCGGATGGGCGGGGTGGAAATAATCTTTAATAAATAAGTAAATAATTACAAACCTCTTATGGATATGAACATTTGTGACAGAGGGTTTCAGAGCAAAACCTCATGTTCTTCCTGAATGACATATTTATTCTTATTTTAAAGTTTCTAATAATTTAGGCACTGTGCAGAGTTTTTTAAATAAATAAATAAATAAACAAGCAACCACTGCCTACAGGCTTACAATCAAATGGATATGACACAAAAGAAATAGAGAAGGAAGAGAACAGCAAGACAAAAAACCACCACGTATACATACGTATCTAATATTGACCAGCTAGAACGGCCACTGGGGAGAAGTGGTCATTTCACTGGGAGAGGTTGTTTACCTCTCTCAGTGGACTAGTATTTTGTCCCAGCTGACCCCATGGAGTGTGCTTTGCAGCCTGTCCTCTCCCTCAGGTGCAGCCAAATATAATTGTGATCATAACTCCTATCCTGTTATTTCTCTTTTCATAGCAAGGGGGGGGGGGGAAATCAGCACGAGCAGAGCTGGAAAATCTCTTTATGTTCAGTTTTTCCTTTTTGAAAGTTAGTAAAGGAACTTCTTGTAGATCCTGTACCTCACTCAGCACATGAATGTTACGAAATATTTGAAGACTTCTATTTCCTTTTAGTAGTGATAAGTACCTAGAGTATATGATACAGTGATTTGGCCCCCGGATGAGGCCAAATCAAGCCAATGTGCTTTTCTCTTTGAAGCTGTACAAGGCAGTCGTCTTTGTTTCTGCTTTATTGGTTTTAAGCAGGCTTAGGTAGCTAGCAGTTCTTCTTCCAGGAGGTGGTCACCTCAGTCCTTTATAGAGGCAAGTAGAAGCTGCAGGGATGCTGTTTACATAACCAGCCAGGAGTTATTGCTGCTTTTCCTTTCATGATACTAAAGAAGTACTGTGCAAGGATTTCCACTTGCGCAATGGGACTCCCTCGCCCCATGTGTGCCCCTGCATCCCTCAAAATTAGTTTGGGAGAACCCTCAGAACAGTGCAAGGAGGAGGCATTATGGAGTGCTTGTGGAAACAGACCGATTGGAAGAGTGGGACTCTGAATCCCCTCATAAGTCTTTTTTAGTAAAGTTTTGAAGGCCTAAAAGATTGATGTCTTATTTGATCAACTCTCAGAACAATCTAATTCCTATTTTTGAGCATCAAAAAGCTTTTCTAGGAGTCTCCCCTCTCCACCCCAATTTTGCAGTCTTACCGTTTATAAGTTGTTAGATGTAACAATGGAATTATTTATTTTTCCAGTTCTTCTGAAAATAGCCCATTTGCTTCTTGACAGAATTTCTTGGTAAGTAAATAGCTTGAATGTTTCCCACTTCTGAATAATCTTCCTCACTGTAGAATGATGGACTTAAAATTGGTTGGAGGTGGCCTAGAACCCTTCCCAGTTTCATGGACAGCAGCACTTGCTTCCCTAAGAGCATTGTGTGGTCTTTCCTCCTTGGCATTGTGTTAAAACACACCTGAATGCTCCAGACCAGCAAACTGCGGAAACTTTGGCTTTTATAGAGTTGGGCACACATGCTGATGATCAATTAAGCAAGGACATTTGATTAGCAGCCCCTGTCCGCTACTTAGCCTATTAATTCCTATGGAAGCAGTAGGGGTATACTTAGTTTTATCTCTATTTTGGCTTTATTTTTGTTAAATAAATAATGACACAGTATAATATGTCGTGTTGTTGTTCATCTGGGGTTGTATTTACCAAATTTGGGGTTGTGTTTACCTGATAATGATTGCTATTATGTCCTGATATGTAAAACCACAGAATTCAATGAGGGTGCACTTTCTTTTTCTTATGACTGTATTTAGTAGTAGCTGCTTGGTGACAGGTTCTGAAAGGTGATTTTAATACTTATAGACAGGGCCTGTCAGCAACAGACCTTAGAAACTGTCATCAAGCACCCTTAAGACCCCCAAAGTAAATATCAATATTCTCTTAATGTATAAAATATCCCTTCAATAAAAAAAAATCCCAGTTATCATACCAAGCTCCATTAAACTCATTCTAAGGCAGGCTTCCTCAATTTTGGCCCTCCAGATGTTTTTGCTAGCAGGACCAGTGGTCAGGGATGGTGGGAATTGTAGTCTCAAAACATCTGGAGGGCCGAGGTTGAGGAAGCCTGTTCTAAGGGACCAGGTAGCAGTGGAAAGGGGTCAAATTGAGGAACTCTTTTCCTTTGGCATGGAGTTCCATGAAATATAAAAATTAAAGAATTTATTGTATTTTATAACATTGGAATGTGTTGTATGATGGTACTCTAGTTTCAGTTTGCATTATTGGGCAGAGGGAATTGCTCTGAGGCAGGTAGTAGAAGAGACCTTACCCTTTTCTAAGAAAAATAGTTATATATATGCATACAATCTTGGCATTCCTAAGTTCTTCTAGTATATTATTCCCCACAGAAGATTTTTTTTTACGATCCACTGCCTCTTCTTAATTTAGTGATCCAACAAGGACTGCTCCCTCGTTTTCTCAGTACCTTGATGTATTGGCTGCATGTGTGAATCAAGTGAACATTATCCGAGCTGGTGTTCAGAAAATAGTGAGTATGAAATGTGAAAAGATTCCAGTTAGCCACTTGCCAAGAGAAACCACTTGTGTAACATCCCCACAAGCTCAGATGGAATAGGAGCAGGGAGCAGGAGCTCTTGTGAGCTCTGTTGTTTTGGAGATAGTTTTGTAGTTTGCATGGCTGAAGCCTGGAATGTTAGAGAATGGAAGATGAGGCAAAGAGTGATGCTAAAAGGTAGACCCTCCAGATGTGTTGCCTCCAGATGTACCTGACCAGTGGTGAGGAATAATGGGAGTCATCATCATCATCAAACCTTTTATTGGCATCACATACAAACACCCATAGTAAATCAATACAGAGTTACCACCTCCCCAGTGTCACAGAACATTTGTCAAATGAAAAGAGGCAAAACAGTCTAATGTTACATCTCTAGGTCTCCAGGAAGATCAGATGTCTGCAATGTGTTTCTGTGACAAAATAAAAAAAAGATATTTAGCCACTAACTTGGTGAGCTCCTGATCATTTCCCAGTAATAGAAAATGTATGACCTCCTACTCTGGTTTCCATTTGGGGATGCAGAGTTGATCTAGAAACTGCTGGCGGAGATCAGCATATAGTTTACATTTAAGAACCACATCAGTAAGAGTTTCCAGCAGGTGGTCTTCACATAATTTTTATATTTCATAATATAATAGAGCCATGCAGTTGCGTAAAGTGGAGTTCCCTGACCTAAACCCTGCCTGCTCTGGACGTATGATGTTATTTTCATCAAGCCAAGTAGTTAGTTTATTTAGCAGATGTTTAGCGTACAGTTTCCCGATGTTTGACTGTAGACTTATTGGCCGATAGTTGGTTGGCAGCTTTTGTCACCCTTTTAAAAGATTGGGATAATTATAGATTGCTGCCATGAGTTAGGCATGATACCAGATCTATCTATCACAGTGAATAGATCCGCTAGTATAAGAGCCCACCACTCTGACTTGGCTTTGATCAATTCAGATGGAATAGCATCAGGGCCAGCAGCCTTGCCTGCTTTCATCTGATCAATTTAACTTGTAACTTCAGTAATGGAGACAGGGGGCCACTCATCCGCGAAAGTAAAAATGTCCTGGTCCTGACTGTCAGGTGGAATACAGTCATTGAAGAAAACCGCCTTGAAATGCTCTACCCATGACAAAGATGGAATCAGTGTCAGTGAATCATCCTGTGTCTGTGGGGAGTCTGCTACAGTCTTCCAAAATTTCTTAGGATCTTTTGTTAGGATGGCTGAGAGTAGCGTATCCCAACATGCCTGATTATATCTTATCTGGCTAAGCTGGATAGTTTCCCCGAGTTGTTGGAATCTGGATGTGAAGGCGATCTGGCTGCGACATCTGTCACCCCATTGATCACCAGGGTTGATTTGGCTGATCTGGCTGGCTAGGCAGGTGTCCCCTTCCTCCCGCACCGCTCCATGTGCATCCCTCCTGAAGCTGCCCCCTCGGTGGAAGAGGATGACCATCCCAGATAGAAGGAGTGTACTGTTCTTCGGTCAAGGGAATACGATAGCTGCGCTCCCTTGCTAGAACTTCCAATAATGGGAGTCATAGTCAACATCTAGAGCGTACCATGCTAGCTACCCCTGTTGTATTGAATTTGATTCACTGAGAAAGGCAATTAGGAAATAAAGGAATTTACATGTATGTTACATGTGCGCACATGCAAGGACAAAAAGTAAGCTCATTTTATTAAAGTACCCCAAACTTTCCAGAAACTGGACAAAACAGTATTTCTTCATGATGAGGAAAGAAAACACATGCCCATGTCATCTGACAGACAATACAAATATTCATAATTTTCATAACAGTGCACTGTTTATCCTGTTTATAATTCTTGATCTTGGAGCTGGGGCAAAAATTGTGTGACTGCATTGTTGTACTTGGTGATGCAGTTTTAGCATACTGAATATGTTTGTATGCACATTTTTATATAGGAGTACAACAGTATAGTTATTATTGCAGTTAATTTCTTAATCACCTTCTAAACCAGTGTCTCAAGGCAACACACAAAAAGGAAGTTAAAGACTAAAAAACAATAACAGGAATGTTTTTGCCTGATGCCTTCATTACACATTTTTAGGCACCAGGGCAAAAACCTTCAGCCTCTCTCAGGCCTTTGGCTAATTAAGCAATCTGTGGCTTTTTAAACAGTGCCGGGTGGTGTATTGTTTTTGGTTGTTGTTGTCGTTGTTGATGATGCTGATGCTGATGATAATAATAATAATAATAATAGTGGGCAACCAGAGCAAACCCTGCAAGCAAGGCATTATAGGTTGGCAGTAGTTTGCCCCCACAAGTTTGCCCCTAGCCACTGTGTTCTGCCCCAGATGCAGCCTCTGAAGGGTAGCCCGGCATAGAACAAATTGCAGGATCCAACCATGAGGTTGTCAATGCATGGGCAACCATGTTCAAGCTATCCCAATCCAGGAACAGGAAAAGCTGTTGGTAAAAGGCACTCCTAGCCACTGAGGACACCAGCAAACAATAAAAGGACTTGTATTCCAAAAAAAAAAGTCAGTCTACAACATCCTTGGCTCTTCCCTTCCTCAACCTAGCTAACAGTTCTTCATAGTGTGATCCCTTGCGAGGTCCGGGGCCTGGCTGCGACAACCAATGAGGGTGAGTGGACTTGCCCCTTCCACCCTTCCAGAGCCGTAACCCCAGGGTGCTCAAACCACAAACAAATAACAAGAACTGTTTTGGGGGGTGTTCAATGTGACTGATTTTTAATAAAAATAACCACCAAAACCTGATGTTAAGCATTAATGTTAAACCACCGATTCTAAACTACCATGGTGTTTGTGTGTGTTGTGTTTGGCATAGTTTATTGAAATGATTCATAATACCGTACTTAGAACCTTTTGTGAATCTTCCTCATGGTGCCTTCAGTAGCTGAAGGGTTAACTTAATTCTTTCCTTAGAATTTTTCCGGTATGGATGACCCTATAAAGCTTCCACCACTCCTTATCATTAATGTGCGAGGATGGCCTGGGGTTGATGAAGAGCAGATCTATCGGGAGTTTAAAATCTTCTGCAGATTTGATGTGCGGCGGCTAAAGAGGAACCAGTTTCTCTTACTCTCCAATAATTTTAAAAAGTATGTGATCAAAAACCACCTTCTCTCTACCTTAGCAGTTGTTATTCTGCCAGTTTTCTCTGATATATGTTGGACCAGACAGAGTCTCATTCCAAAACATCTGGAGCAGCAGGGGAAGTATATGCTTATACTCTGCTCAATAGCCGCACCCATGTATGCTGCTGGGTATTTGAAATGCTTGCAAATCCAAGGGTGCAAGAAACACAATGATACCCTTCGGAAGTGGGGGAAATCCAGTGTGCTCGTATTTTCAAATTTAATGTAATTTCATATATATATATATATATATATATATATATGTCAGTTTTCAAGAATTTACAAATACAAATCTTACAATGTCATACTTCCAATACAAATACAAATCAAGCTTCCCTCCCTCCTTTTGTGGTTTCTACTCTTATTGAAATTTTTAACACTGCATTTTCCACTTTACTCCATTTCTTAATTATTCTACAATTAATAATACTTTTAAGCTAACCCTACCAACGCACTTAGTTGCATACCACGATTTTTCAAATATTCCACAAATATTCCGCACTCCTTAATCATTCCCCCCCCCCCCTTGGTTTCTTAACACACCCGTTAATTTTGCCATTTTGGCATAATCCATCAAATTGATCAGCCACTCTTACTTTGTTGGAACAACAGCCGCTTTCCACCTCTGGGCAAAGACCATTCTGGCTGCGGTTGTAGCATACATAAATAAGTTTCTACGGTCCTTTGGAATTTCTGTATTCACTATCCCTAAAAGAAAAGCTGCTGGTTTTGTTTTGTTTTACTAAAAGTTATTTTGAACATTGTCTTCAATTCATTATATGTAGATCATTTCCCAGAAGGCTTTTGTTCGCTTACAGGACTTTACATTTCCAACACAAATAAATACCAGGAGATAAATACCATCTATACATCATTTTCATATAATTTTCTTTCAGTGTACATAACATGCTGTGAATTTTCAATCAACCTTCCACAACTTATCCCATGCAGCCATTTCAATATTGTGACCAATGTCTCTTGCCCATTGAATCATCACAGATTTCACCTGCTCATCTTTTGTTTCCCATTCTAACAACATTTTATACATTATAGGAATTACTTTGTCAGTATTCCCTAGTAGTGCTCTCTCAAATTGCTTAATGCAATTTCCAGGACATCTTGGAGGGATTGCTAGTAAAGCAGAGAAAATAGAAACTTTTCTTTAGATTCTTTTTTTTTTTTACAAGATCAAAACATATATGTATTAGACTTTAAAAAGTATTTTTGTATTTGCACTCATGGGGTTTTGTAGGGCCATAGGTTGCCCGCCCTTGCTGTATTATTAAATGGCAGCAGACAGAGGAGTATATGGTTGCTTCAAATTCAAGCAGCGCCTGAAGGAGGATATTCTCAGGGCTTGCTTGCTCTCAAGTGGGGGGGGGCAGGATGGGACAGGAAAGGCTGACATTGCAAATTGCCCTAACCTGGGTTTGTACTGGGGTTGATCTTGGGAGTGGCTGGGAGGTATTCTCTTTTTTTATTATTATTTAATTTCCCCCCAAAGTTGTAGAAGCGTATAAACAAAACCATCACACACCTCCTCTTTGGTTGTGGGCTCAAAAGTGGGAAGAGAAGGGCACTTTTTGTTTTGTTTTTTTTCTTAATAATAATAATAATAAATTATTTATATCCCACCCTCCCCAGCCGAAGCTGGACTCAGAGTGGCTAACAACAGTAAAAGTAACACAGTTTACCTAAAATCACAATCAATTAATAGAAATACAATCTAAAATCAATTGATTCTAAAATCAATTCAGAATCAAATTAAGGGCAACCATTGGGGTAGAGTTCTGTGAGGATTACCAAAGGAGGGTATCAGACTGTGCCTTGGCCAAAGGTCTGGTGGAACAGCTCTGTCTTGCAGGCCCTGCGGAAAGATGTCAAGTCCCGCTATAAATAGGGGGAGAAAGAGGGTGTGTAGGTAGATGGAGCCTGCCCTCCCTCATGGCAGACAGTCAACATGTGGGCATGAGAGCTGCAAGAATAGGGATGAGTGACGGTGTGTTTAGTATGTATTGTCCATAAATAAATGGCAGGTGGGTAGAGTCTCTTTTGGGAGGGAATTGTCCGGTGAAAACAGCAGTTGGATCAACAGATTTACAGCTTCAAACAGCACCAGTTTGGGTCCAGAAGCTAATTTTTGGCTATCAGATCATTCTTCTTCTTTGTAGGTCAAAGTTGTACTTTTCTTAATTATTCTTACAGTGTCAGAATGGTTTTGAGAGAATATAAAAATCATCCCAACGTGCAGATTTCCCCATACCACCACTGGAGGCATTCTCCACAAGTGAATTTCTTCCTTCAGTAAGTAAAGTTAACTTTATACATAATCTCATTTTTTATTATTATTAATAGAAGCCTTGATGAAACTTAGCTTTTTAAAGTTATATCTCCCACCCACCCACCCAAAAGTGAGGGAAGAGAGACTGAAATAAATCCCTTCCTATTCTTGACAGTTTGCTGCAAAGCATGGATCAGGGTATAGTATAATACATGTAGCAATTCTATATCTGTACTCAGTTTTATTTTCAGTACTTTAGGAGGTGGGAGACAAAAACTAAGGTTGTGATTAAGGGTGTCTGGAAAAGGTACATTTTCTGGACTTTTTTTTAAAAAAAGAACTGTTTTTATTGATGGTTTTGATATTTCTTGTGAAGCGCTTAAGTATATAATTTTTGGTATAAAAATAGATATTGGAAGTCATGCTTGTGAAAGTGAATATAAAAACAGAGTCGGGGAGGGCTCAAAATGTTGATTGTTGTGGCTGATGTTCTCCTGGATATTCTTCTCTCTTTTCAGAATTTGTGGCGTTGTGACCTCTTGGTCTCTGCTGGCATTCTTCCTTGGAGGATCTGCCAATTATGCTTCGTAAGCAATCATCTACTGGAAGCATTTTTATCTGCTGTGTGTCCTTTTCTTCCTCATCATCACTGTAAGCGATACTTACAATATATTAAAATACATTGCATTTCTCTAGTAGTCCCATACCTATGTGTGGTTCCTAATGTGGGAAGTGCGATGGAAGAGCAGGCCATTGTAAAGTAGCAGATAGGGAGGGGTATATTTCTGTATTAAGATTTTGCTAGAAGACAGTCCATCATTCTCTGTTCCCAGCTGCATCTCAATCTGAATAATTGTGGTCTTTCAGACAGTAGATACCTGCCCATAAATTTTCTCCCTTCCTCCTTTCCTCTCCTCCACTATGATTCTTTCTGGTTTTTGTATATACCGGCTACTCTCTGATCCTTCTTTTCTGTGGCTTTTGCCGAAGTTTATGTCGTGATTTGAGAGTTCAGTCTCATTCTGTAGTCGTCCAATCACTGCAACACACTTCAAAGTTTTCTTTGGTAAGGTTAACATTTTTTAACCTTCCACAGGTCTACCTCTCTTTCAACATCCATGTTCTTGACCCCCTGACATAGCAGAAATGGACAAGTAGCCTCTGGCTCAAATAAAAGATGCAGTTGACTCTGCTGTAGATCTTGGGTGGGTTAGATAGAAGTGATGAACAGCAAGATAAATTATCTGTAATTCATTTATTCTGGAGATTGGAATGCAAGTCAGCACTCCTCTTTATATGAGGAATGTTGTTTGGTTTCTGAGGTGAGGCTATTTTCAAGTCTCCTCTTCGTCTGCTTGTGTTGTTTGTTCTGTGTTTGTTTCATAATTCAAAGCTCTCTCTACAAAAATCTCTAAGGCTTCCCAGGCGTTTTGACTGCTCCACCATCCAATAGCAAAATATAAAAAAGGGTTGATGCTGCTGGTTATGGAATCAAATAACACAGAGAATGTAAACACTGGTATTTCTACTATATCATCATGCCAGTAGTCTATATATTCCAAAAGTCTAGCTGACGCATCAAAAATTAGAAACAGAATAACTGTCGCTGCAATCGTCTTGTCGAGCATTGTTTGTGTTTTCTCCTGCTTTTTGATAAAAATGGCCACAGTACAAAAGACCATGATGGGCACAAAAATCAGGAAGTCGGTGATAACTTCAATTGTTTTTGCAATATCACAAGGGAAAGTGTCTTCATTCATAAGTGCATAGAATCTTGGATAGCATGTAAATTCTTCTACAAAAGATATTACGCATGAGAAGGCCCACAGAATAGCAGACACAATAGCTGAGAGGTTCTCTGGTCTGTGACGTTGACACCAGACAGGGGAAAAAAGTGACAGATACCTTTCAGCACAGAGAGCTGTTAATATATAGAAACTAGAGTTGCGTCCAAGTATATATGTTATCTCTAGAAAACGTGAAGTGTGTGCATTGATAGGAGCTGGTTCTACAAATAATGCAAAATAACTCAATAGATAGAGAACAACAACAAAATCAGCCATAGCCATATTCATGACATACACATTAAACTTATTCTTCTTGATCATATAGCGAAGAAACAAAATGACCATTCCATTTCCAACTAATCCCAAAATGCAGATTGGAATGCATATGATTATCATTGTTTCCTTCGTGTTGCCTTCATTGCTGACATTCTCGTTCTCTGCATCAGCAGCATGGGCAGATAGATTGTTTTTCTGTTCCAGCATGAGATGATCAGTATGTTCAGTAACTCTTCTCAACCTGCCAACATGAAACACATTTTGTGTGATTATTAGGTGCTGAAATATTGTAAAAGAGGCGGCAAAGTTTCAAGAGGATCTCCTGTCTGACAAAGACATTTGTGTTATAATGTTCACTAGTATTTGCAGGGAATGATCTCCCTTCTCTTCTTCACTGGCTGCTTAATACTCAATTGTTCAGGGGCCTATAAACCTTCAATTTAGGGGACATGGGATATCGTTGAAGTCTACAAAATGTGATGTAGCCTTTCATTGCCTTCTGTTGCTACAATAAGCCTTGGCTCTTTAGACACGTCTGATATCTCATAACTCTTGTTCCTGTCATCCAATGCAAGAGAGGCAGTGGATGTGGTAAACCAGTGTTTGGAGCCAGTTCAGGAACAAAACCAGGGACTCAGCTACATTAATAAAGAAACAACAATTTGAATGTGCTATAAACATGCAACAGGAGATGGTGCGAGAGAGCAGGAAATTTATATATGTGTTTTTCCATTGTTGTTGTTATAAGGGTCTAATTTCTGACTTGTTTATAGCATTTCCCCGCCTCTGTGTAGATCCACCCCAGGTTGACAAACTGAAACTTAACATTGTAACTAACATTGTGTTATTTCAGCAAGAGGGGTTTCAGATTCATGCAGCATTTTAAAATACCTCACAAATTATTTTAACTGCTCTGATGCATTTGTTAAGGAGAATGTAAGCTGAGTAGTTAATGCACATAACAATCAAGCATCATGGAGAATGTACACATGATTTGCCCATGAAGAAGGAATTGTGCACATTTCCTAGTTGATATACATAATCTCCAATAGGCCTTGGAAAAATCTGCCTATCACAATAGTTATATGCTTGACTTCCTTTGTCAAGCTGTGGATGTTATGCAGGGTCTTTCCACTAGACAACTGCATGATATGTCTCATTATATCCTTGGAACTCAAACTTCCATTTGTGGATCTTAGCAACATATACTGGTGTAGCTAATTCATCAGGGCAAACAAAACAGTTTCTGAGTCAAACTCGGTCAAGAAAGCCAATTAAAATGGATCCATGTAATAGGTGTTTTCCTACAGAGGCTGGAACTGCGCAGTGACAAGGCATTTCGACTTGGTGGTGGTGGTGGTTGCGGCCAGTCTCAGCGTCCGGGAAGAATTTCTTTAGTATTGGTCTCAGAACCATTTATTTTAAGATTGTTGGAGCCACAGTCCCCTGGTAGATGTAAGAAGAGAAGAGAGGCAGGAATTGAGCAGCCCTGTGGTAGGCTGGATCCATTCAGACACCTTGTTCAAAGCTCAGGCTGGAACAGCTGGAACTGTACAGGGGCACACAACAGGACTTGACAGCATGATCGATACCTCTGTGAAGCAGTCTGCACAAGTTTTGTTATACAGACCACTGCTAAACATTTTGAGAGTGTGCAGAGTACACTTGATGATAAGCTCTGCTTGTGTTTTGTCAAGTTCACATTGAGACTTCCCCCTCCCCCTTGCAAACCAACCATTTCATCGCCCTTGGCTCCCTAGCAAACTAGATGACCGATTGTGCCCTACAAGAATGAAAAGACACTTGGAAGCTATCATATGGACACCCTTTTAACAGAGAGACCAGGGCACCTTCCCAACCTGGTGCCCTCCAGATGTTTTGGACTACAACTGCCATCTCTGACTATTGCCCATGTTGGCTGGTGCTGATGGAAGCTGTAATATAAAAAAAATATTGGGAGGGCACCATGTTGTGGAAGCCTGAGCCGTAGTATTTTAATGCATCTTTTTATATTATTTTAATACTATTGGTATTTATAATTCCATTTTAATGATTTCCTTTTCTGTTTGTAGCTTGTTCTGTTTTACCTGTGTATGCTGCCTTGAGTCCTGGACTGAGAAAAAAGTGGGACATAAATAAATATTATAAGGGTGATGATGATGATGATGATGATAAGACAGGTGATTGAGGCATATTATTTGTGCTGGCTGCTTGTTCACAGGAAGAACAGATCAGTTCAGATATAGCCAGAATTATGAAACAGGCAAGTTCCCAGAATTCCCGCTAAATGAAGAGCTAATGAAACTAATGAAAATCTAAAAAATCAAACTGAAGTGAATGACTGCAAGAAATAAAAATAAATGCTAGTATGATTCCAAGGTTCGTTTCAACTTTCTTTGGTTACATTTCCGCTCACTGTAGGAGTTGTGAAAGCGTGACCCACCTCATTATGATGATGCGTGCTGTATGTAACAAAGAGAATATGAGAATCCCATGACCTCATAGCAACTGTTAGCCATAGTCTGGTGATGTGCGCCATGGCATCATTCTGGATCCATTTCAACCTCGCATCTGCTTTGGGTTTGACAGAGAACCTGACTTGATTGTCCAGGTAGATGACTGGTAGAAGACTAGTAGGCAATAACAGCACAGATGTCTCAAAATAGATGTGATACAACATTCCATACTTATTAATAAATAAGTATCAGCATTCCGCAGTAGCTGAAGTTTTTGAACCATCTTGGGGGGCAGCCTCATGTAGAATGTGTTACATGCTTTACAATCTGAAAGTCATGAGGGCTGCAGCCCTAAACATATTTACTGGGGAGCAAACCCAGTTGAGCAGAACGAGACTTGATTCCATATAAACATGACCAGGATTATATTGCAAATATGGATGCATAGGTTTCTTTATTCCAGTAGTAGGTACAGTCAGTGTATCAGCCAAAGCTGATAGAGGTACCTCTGTTCCATAGCTATTACTTGGTGTTGCAGGACCCATGTTGTGATAGTGATCACTTTCCCCTATCTTCCATCCCAGACACCATGTCCAGGACTGATGACTGCCATAGTGTGCTGCTTATTACTTAAATAGTTCAGGGTCTAGGGCAGTGGCTCCCAACCTTTTTTTGGCCATGCCCACCTAAGCACCTCTAATATCCTGATTCCCCCCCCCCATGACATATAATTCTTATTATTCAAAAAGTGAACCCCTATTCACGTGGAGGAAGCCTAAAAGGCCATTCACTGTTCATAACTCATTCTTGAATTGCCCCCCCTTAAAAACCAAATTGCCCCCCTGTGGGGCGGGTGTGTGCCCCACATTCGGAACCAACTGCTGAATTAATTTGGACACAAGCAACTGAGCAAGCGGGGGAGGGGAAAACAGCTAGCAATCAAATTTCCATTTCATTCAAGGGAGAGAACCAAGTTCTGCACCAAACAAACAACAATTCATTGGGGGAAACCGGATGACCACAAAAATCCTTTGCATCAAACACCAATCAACAGCTGCAGTTCTTGTACTCCACCCAATCCCAATCCCTGCTCAAGATAGAGGAAGTTACAGTAGCCTGATGAATCAATTATAACTCTTCAGAATTTTTGTCATTTGCAAACATGTTGCTTAAACACTGTGCTGCTCAAAATTCAATGGCAACAGACTAAATTTGCTTAGAATGATTAAACACCCCCACAGCAACTGAGCAAGAATCCAACAAGCACCATAAATTCCCGAGATCTGTATCCACCAATACAAACTGAAGCAGTCCTGACATCAGAACAGCCATGGCAAGCCTATGAGGTGAAAACCCTTTCATTGCCCCCATAAACATTCTTTTTCTTAGTTTTGCTTCGGGGCAGCCAGTGATGGTAGCCCACGTTATGCTGCGAACAAACCAATCACCCTGCTATTCAGTCTCTGCCGAAACAGAAAAGGTGGTGGTAGGGTTATAAACCAAGGCTGCCGGATGGCTACTTGCTCAACACAGGAAAAAATAATAAGCTCAGGAAAAAAGGGGGAGCGATAAACCCAGGCTCCTAGATGGCTAGTTGAGCAATGCTGAAAAAAACTAACCAAGCTCGTTCCAGGAAAATGCATCACATGACCACTCAGTTCACCTGAAGCACAATAGTGCTTGCAGTAGAGCTCCTCACCAAACCACATGGTGATGGATGGCACACGTGGACCAACACAAAATGGTCCCACTCGGATTCCTTCACGAGCCAACGCAAATCCACATGCAAACCTCAACTGGCAACCGGGAGGCACTCTGAAATCTGGGTGTGAATTTGACTTTGTGGCAATTTAGCTTGGAGCTGCTGGTTGCTCCCACTTGCTCTCCCCACTCCTCAGATGTTTCTCGCTGATCTTCAGCCTCTTCTGGCACTGTTGTCTTTGGCTTCTTACAGTGGCCCACACAGCTCCATTTGCAGCAAGATCTGACAAGGAACTATGTGCAGAGGAAGAGGCGGGCCTCATGTGAGGAGCAGACCCAAGTGAAGCTTGCTGTTCAGTTGGGTCCCATCCCCCACTGCATGAGCATCTGTTCCTAAACCGGCTCACCATTGGCCAATTTGGCAGCAGGCTTAGATTCAAACTTCTTGCTGGTGAGTAGGCCCTTTTGGCCTCCTGCCTGCCAGGAGCCCTCCACTACATCAAGTCTGAATCAACCCCTTGTCAGATCTAAAGAAGGAGGCGGATGGCCCACAACACTGCTGCACCTATTACGAGGTAAGTGGACTTACTGAATGACTGCATTGAGAAAGGTCACGCTCAGTTTTTGGCGGCACAGCCACTTCTGCCCCCACTAATCTGTTGTGATGGACAGGCTAGATGCAGAGGAACGGTGGGAGGCACCATCTGGGGAACCCAAAGGGAAGAAGACTCTGATCCAGGGGATTCGTTGTGCGACGAGGAAGAGTGGTCAGAGGGAGAAGACTGAGTGGAGGAGTTATCAGAAACTGAAGAGATAACATGGTTTAGTGAGCAGTAAGGGTCTTATGTCAGAGAGCAATCCAGAATCAGAGGCAGAAGCGAAGGCTGGAGAGGAAGGGAGGGCAAGAGGCAGAGATGAGGCTGATTGCTGAAGAAGCCAGGGGGTCTCCCCCTCCTTCTGTGACCAGCTTGCCTCCCCCTGGGTCACTAAGAACCAGAAGACATATGAAGAGGGTGGAACAAAGACAAGGCATTGGAGTCTCAGATTGCTTGGGAAGGACCTGAGGAAGGTGGAGACGTTTAGTTAGACTTACTGGGAAGAGTTGCTATGGTCACTAGGCTTGGCCTCCTGAGCTTTTTTGTTTCTTGGAAGAGAGTTAACCATGTGAGTTATTGCTGTCCTGCTCCTGGCACCTGCCCTGACACATGTCACCTCTGCTGTCTAGTTTTGACTATAGTCCTCTACTTTCAGCCCACCTGCTGCCTCTGCCTAGGTAGCCACCCAAAGGAGAGAGTGGCCCTAGTGCCATGCCTAGGTGGGTGTGTTAGAATCAATGTAAAGAACAACCTTAAAGTATTTGAAATAAATTTATTCTGAAACTTGGAAGGAACGTCGTTTTTTTCTCCATAAAACATACACTTTTTTTTTTTAAAAGAAATTACTTCTGAGGCCAAGGATATTGTCATGCCTGCTCCTGGTCCGCTGCTGTTGGCTCTGATGTCTCTTCAGTATCCTTTAAAGCCCTCTCAAGAAACATATAGAAGGGTTCAAAGCCTTTCTGCCTCTTCCAGCTTCCAACAATGAGGAATACAAAAGGAATGGTGCTGCAGGTGCAAGAATCCAGTAACAGACTAATGCTAGTGAACATATAATAATCTATTGCACTTACCCAAAGTGAAATAATATTAACAAGTCTAACTGGGACAGTAAGCAAAAGAATAAGAATTGCTATGGCCACAATGGTTATGTCAAGTCTTGCTCGATGCTTTTGCTGTGATCTTTGCATTCTGATCCAAATGGCAAAAGAGAAACAGAAAATGCAGGAGGAAAAAATAATGACCTCCATGATGAGTGCCAGCACGCTTGCAGTTCTACAGGTGTTATAAGCCCAAGTACTGACTGTTGCATAGCAGGAAAAATATTCCACCAGTGACTCTAGGCCAGAAACGAACCACAAAATCACACACATCATTACCGTGAAATGCTTGGTCCGGCGATGTTGCCACCAGACTGGGAAATAGACAATGAGGAATCTGTCAGCAGTGAGAAATGTTACGACATATATATTTGTGTCATATGCAAATATATGAAGTATCTCCATTAGACGTTGAATCACTAAAGAGGTTTCCACTCCTGCGAGAAGAAAAGCAGCCACTTCAAGGTTGGACAAGATTACAATAAGGTTTGCAAAGGTCACACTCAAAAAATATGGGCCTAACTTTGGCTTGTTGATCTTGAAGCAGTAAAGGCACAAGACAATTGCATTAGCTATTAATCCAACGATGCAGATGGGAACAGATACAGCCAGCACGTTTAATCTGTAGAAGTATGAAGCTTGCATGTATTTGGCAGTATTCTTGCATGCATCAGTAGTGTGGGAAGACAAGGTGCTTGCCTTTGCCATCATGACATTATTGATGTTTTCCATTTTCCTTCTCAACCTGTGGAAATCAAATACAACTTGTAATTATTAAGGTGCTGATATTTATGTAACAGAGGTAGGAAATTTTGAAAAGGACCACCTGCCTGACAATATTCTAGTTGCCTATGTTTCAGCTGAGAACAGCCCAGTTCGAATTTGTGATCTCGCTTGTCTGGCTGCTTTGTACTGGATTGTAAAAGAGGGATATAAGCCTCCATTTGGAGGTACAGTGGTACCTCGGTTTAAGAACAGCCCTGTTTACGGACTATTCAGTTTACGAACTCCGCAAAACTGGAAGTAGTGTCCCAGTGTGCGAACGTTACCTTGGTTTACGAACAGAAGCTGAACGGTGGAAGGGCACCAGCAGCAGGAAGCCTCATTAGGAAAAGTGCACCTCGGTTTAAGAACAGTTTCCGTTTAAGAATGGATTTCTGGAATGGATTAAGTTCGTAAACAGAGGTACCACTGTAATGAGAACGTCTGGCCACAACAAAATCTGTTGTGGACTTCCACCCACTCTTTCTACAGAAAGGTCTAGCACATATCACCTCCATGGATATTCCCTAGAACAGGGAGGGAGAGCACATGGCCTTCCAGATCTTGCTGAATTTCAACTCAAATCACCCCTAATCATTGGCCATGTTTGCTGGGGCTGATGGAAGCTGTGGTCAAACAAAATGCGAAGGCTTAAACATTCCCCATCCCTGTCTGGGAAGACCATGTCCTTCAGGTTTGTCTGTTGAAAGCACTGGTAGGCCAGCTAACAGGTGCTGATAGCCACTCCTTGCCAAAGAATTGTTGAGAGCACATTAAGGGCTCATTTCCACTTGCCCACACTTGATGTCACATATGACTTCAGGCATGGAGACAGTGGGCATGGTTGAGGGGAAATGACCTTGTGGGCCAAATTGGGAACTGTGACAGGGATAATAAGGCCCAAGCGTCAGAGACCCCCCCTGCTGCCTGGTATAAAGAATGCATTCTCATGGCACATAGTAATCGCTGTTGTGTATCCCCAAAGGTAATGTAAAAAGATTAACACAAAGTACTCAGAAGCTCAGCTCATTAATGCAGTGCAGCCCTATTTCATGAGTAGTCTTGATTAAGAAGGAGAAATTAGACAGAAAAAGCTTGGATTTGTTTGATATTTACCTGTGTTTGATATTACTGCGATTACTGCCTCAGATCTGGTCTTTAGGAAATTTCAAGTGACTCATTTAACATAGTTTTGAAGAGGATAGCCAGTTGTTCAACAAAGACTTTTAGAAATTTAGAGGGGAATTTGGACTAGGTGCTTTGTTTTTCCTGAGATTCTTAATTCTTTTTTACTTCTTTCTTTGTAAATAGTATTTCCAGAATGGTTAATTCCAAGGTGGCTGAGTATATAGAACTGGAAAGGAATTCAAAAGTTGTGTTATTTCATAGCAATCTAGATTGCTGTTTGTATCCTGACTGCTGTAGGACTCTATAATCTAACATATTATAACAGTAGTTTTGATACTGACTTTTTTAGAATTCTTCAGAGTTTCAAATTGTGTTTGTGTTTCAAATGATAAATGCTAGATAGTGTACCATGGATGTTTTTTTATAACCTGTTTTGCTCTGGATATTCTGTTGGGGAGGGGACTGATGTGTGCAATCATAGGTAGCAACTAACAGAGATATGGTTTCTGCACTATTGTAATCAAATTGAGAGAGAAAGAATACCATGATTTTGTTATTCTCGTAATGGTTCAAGAAACATTGGACTTACTGCTTCAGTTCTCTGGACGTTAATCCATCCACAGATTCCAGCAGCTTCTGACATTCTGCACACCCATTGGATAGCAGATATTTTTTCAAGAATCTAGTTACAAATTTGGCCTCTGCTGGTCAATTGATCCCATATCCCAAGATAATCACAAAATATTGCTCAGACAAATCTTGTTCGGGCACAAGGTGGCACAATTGGATGGAATCTCAAAGTGAGGACACCACTTGTAGAATCCATCAGAGATGGTACTAAGGTCTAGTAACCCCACTGGACCAGGACATTTTCCAATTTCTGGAGTAGTTGCCTTCATGTAGCAGTTGGATGCATAGTCATTATTGCTGCTGCAGTACAGGCCTGTTATGTGTCCATGTGACTACTATTCCTTTTCTGTTGTTAAGCTGTTGGGATCGGCAGGAACAACTGGCATTGAGGCCATGGAAGATGCGGTCACATGGGATGATGGCTAGCACAGATACTTTTACATGAAACTTCCTCAACCTGGTGTCCCCAGATGTTGGTCTCCAACTTCAGATTGGCCCAGGAAACATGGCCAAAGGTTAGTGAAGGTGGGAGTTATGGTGAAACAACATTGGGAAGTCACCAAGGAAGGCTTCTCTAAAGGACATCTGAGTGATCCTGGCTTTACCTTCTCTCAGAACTGACTTACATCATGGATTGGAATCAAAGTGGACTGAGGGAACTCCACCCCACTAAACAATCTTAGCAAAGCACATAGCTATGATGCGTTTTTGCTTCAAGAGACTTATGACTTTCCCATTGTAATTTTGGAGAGAAGTGCTGATAGGCAAATGCCTAACAGATATCAGTTTTTCTGCCTTTTTAAATCTTCCTCTCTTTGCCCCTCTGCCACTTCCACCAACAAAAAAGAGCAAAGTTGGAGGCATATTATTTGTGCAGTGATGTGCTTAACCAGGCATAGGCAAACTCGGCGCTCCTGAAGTTTTGGGGCTATAACTCCCACCATCCTTAGCTTAACAGGACCAGTGGTCAGGGATGATGGGAATTGTAGTCCCAAAACATCTGGAGGGCCGAGTTTGCCTATGCCTGTGCTTAACTATCTGGTCACTGACAGGATACTCAGGATAAATAGGCCACATAGAATCAGAATTAAGTCTGGCAAGTTAATTAGTTAGGTAATGATGGCAGTAACAAAAATGTAATGGTTACGAATCAAGCTCACAAAAGCAGCTGCAAGACAGAAAAGACAATACCAGTAGATGCACTCCAATGTTCATTTCAACCTTCTTTGATCATACTTCTGTTCTGTACAGAAAACATTCCTACAAAGTTGTGACTTGCTTCACTATTGTGAAGTGTAACAAACTGAATGTTGGAATGGATACAGAATGATATCACAGATGAGCTAATGCTCACCTTGGCTAACAATTGCTGTGAGGTCATGAGATTCCAACATTCAGTTTGTTACACAAGTGGCATTTCAAGCCAAAGAGCTGCTTGTGTTGCTTCTAAATCAATTTATATCAGCATGATACTACTTTAAAAACTTAATTCATTTTTTATTTTTAAAAAACATTTAAAATGCAAAACCAAATAAATTTAAAATGCAAAATCAAACAGAGCGATGACCTATATTTCCAGTGAATCTTAGTTTGTGAAGCTCTGCCTTTAATATTTATAAGTAAATATAATTGTAGCTGTTGTGTGCTTAAAGCAAACTCTCTGAAGAAAGTACAGTAATATTAATCCACAAGATATTCATCAAACGAAGCAGATTTACTAAAGCCAGTGCAATTATTTCTTTGTACCAGTAAAGCTGTGCTGCTGCTGTGAAAAAAAACCAATGAATTCCATTCTAGGGAAAGGAATGGAAAGGAATTATGCTGATACCATAATGCAGTTATACAAATCTATAGCAGGATTGCCACACCTCCAGAATCTTCCAGACATAGCCATGCTGGTAGTGTAGATTTTGATGAATTTTATTAAAATAACCTCAACAAGTTTTGTGTCTGGATTTTCACTTTTTGAAACATGGCAATCCTAATCTATAGTGTGACTGCATTTGCAATACTGTGTACAATTCAGTCAGTTCATTTCAAAAAGGTTATTGTGGAATTGAACACAGTTCAGGAACAGTTCAGAAAAGGGCAATGGAAGTGACGAAGGAGGTCGTGTGAGTTAATCTGTGAGTTAAAGGTGCAGCTGGATAAGGCTATTAATGGAGGATAAGGCTATTCATGGCTCCTAGCTACATGTCTGTGTTCTACCTTCACTGTCAAGAGACACTATGCCTCTGGCTACTAGCTGGAAACGAGTAGGGGAGAATGCTGCTGTGCTTATGCCTTAACTTGAAGGCTTCTCCCAGACACGTGGCTGGCTTCCATGAGAAGTGGCCGAGATGGGGTGTGGGCCTGATTCAGAAGGCTCAATTTACGTTTTTAACAGTCTCAAATATCTGAAGAGTAGTATTGCTAATTCCCCAAAATGAGCCTTTTCGTGAATACGCATGGACAACACACATTTACAGTGGAACTTCAGTTCTCCTGAAGTTCTCTCCGTTGTCGAACGTTTTGGCTTTTGAACGCCGAAAACCCGGAAGTAACTGCTTCGGTTTTTGAATGATTTTCAGAAGCCGAACATGACATGTGGCTTCCATTTTGAGTTTCCCTGTTGTACTGAGGATTCCGTATTCAGTTTTCGAGTTTTGAATGTTTTGGAAGTCGAACGGTCTTCCAGAACGGATTACTTTCGAAAACCAAGGTTCCACTATACATGCAAATGTGTGTATAGATACAGGAGCAGAACTGATCATAGCATGGCAATGGAAGTGTTACGGTGAGCACCTGTACTTAAGATCTTATCCCTGCAGCAGTGATAACACCAAGAGGTCTCTTTCTTTCCTCTGGGCTTCCAGACTCCTCACTTTCATCCTCTGTTGCCACTCCTAACCTCTTTTTCGTATTGATTGCTTGCCCTTCTCAACTGTCTGATCGTCTTGTCCACACTTTTGCTCTCCCTTGAGGACCTTTACTAAATGACCACATTGAGAAATGGTGATCACTGTCAGTCTTTGGTGGCTCAGTCACCTTTGCCCTCTAGTTTTGACTATAGTCCTCTACTTTCAGGCCACCTGCTGCCTCTGCCTAGTTGGCCATCCAAAGGAGAAAGTGGCCCTAGTGCCACACCTAGGTGGGTGTGTTAGAATCAATGTAAAGAACAACCTTAAAGTATTTGAAATAAATTTATTCTGAAACTTGGAAGGAATGTTGTTTTTTTCTCCATAAAATGTATACATTTTATTTTATTTTTAAAAAGAAATTACTTCTGAGGCCAAGGATATTGTCATGCCTGCTCCTGGTTCGCTGCTGTTGGCTCTGATGTGTCTTCAGTATCCTTTAAAGCCCTCTCAAGAAACATACAGAAGGGTTCAAAGCCTTTCTGCCCCTTCCAGCTTCCAACAATGAGTAATACAAAAGGAATGCTGCTGCAGGTACAAGAATCCAGTAACAGAGCAGTGGTCGTCAACAGATACCAGTTCATTGATTCCACCCAATATGAAATAGCATGAAGTAATCTAGTTGGGACACTGAGAATCAGAATCAGAATAGCTATGACTACAATGGTGATGTCAAGTCTTGCTAGAGGCTTTTGCTGTGGTCTTTGACTTCTGATCCAAATGGCCAAAGTGAAGAAGAACAAGCTGGGGGAAAAAACGATGGCTTCCATGATGACTTCCACTATATTTGCAATTGTACAGATGGCAGTGTTAGCATTAACGGTTTCATATCTTGGATAGCAGGAAAAATATGCCATAAGTGACTCCAGGCCAGAAACCATCCACAAAATCGCACACATTGAGATAGAGAAATCTTTGAACCGGTGATGTTGCCACCAGACTGGGAAATAGACAGTGAGAAACCTTTCAGCGGTGAGAGCTGTGAAGATATATAAGGTGGTATCATATGCAAAAATATGAAGCATCTCCATTACACGTTGGACTACTGTAGGGGTTTTCATGTCTCCGAGAAAAAAAGCAGCCACTTCAAGGTTGCACAAGATTATAATAAGATTTGCAAAGGTCACATTTAAAAAATATGGGCCTAACTTTGGCTTGTTGATCTTGCAGCAGTAAAGGTACAAGACAATTGCATTAGCTATTAATCCACCAATGCAGATGGGAACAGATGCAATCAGCATATTTAATCTGAAATAGTATGAAGCCTCCATGTATTTGACCATTTTCTTGGGTGCACCAGCAGTGTGGGAAGACAAGGTGTTTGCTTTTGCCATCATGACATTATCAATGTATTCCATTTTTCTTCTCAACCTATAGAAATCACATATAATTTGTAATTATTAAGGTATTGAGTTTTTCAGTATTCCACTTCCCAAAATCTGGCAGAGAATTGCCAATTTTGAATTTATTTATGCTCTCCCTTGTTTGGCTGCTTGTAATAGGCGGATATCAGAATTCATCCCCCACCCCCCATGAGGAATGGTTGCAGCATTCAAGACTTTTTAGTTTAGCAAAAATATGAGTAAGGAGTGACTTAAGTGACTCAGTTAATATAATTGGGGGGGGACCATTTTTTTCAAGCAAAATCTTAGAAAATTCAGAGATGAATTCATATGAATGCTTAGTTTAAGTGGGACAAAGCACTATCCTATGGTAGAATACTCAAAGTAAGAATTTGAAAATAGCTGTTGCTGTTGCTGATACTGATTCCGCCTTCCCTTGTCAGAGACATGGCTCCTTCTTGCCTCCCTCTGTCCCCGGCAGCCGCCCCCTTCCCCGATCGGGAAAGCCATGCTAAGTCCGCCTCCTCTCTTTCATTAGCATCGTGCAGACCTCTCCCCTGATGATCTCTCCCAGCAGTTCCATATAGATGTTAAAAAGCATGGGGAAGAGGATGGAACCCTGAGGGACCCCACAAGTGAGAGCCCAGGGGTCTGAACACTCATCCCCCATCACCACTTTCTGGACACGGCCCAGGAGAAAGGAGCAGAACCACTGTATAACAGTGCTCCCAGCTTCTCTAGATGGTGCAGAAGGATGTTATGGTCGATGGTATCAAAGGCTGCTGAGAGATCCAGCAGAACTAGGAAACAGCTTTCACCTTTGTCCCTAGCCCACCAGAGATCATCAACCAGCGTGACCAAGGCAGTTTCAGTCCCATGATGAGGTCTGAATCCCGATTGGAAGGGATCCAAATGGTCCGCATCCTTCAGGCGTGCTTGGAGTTGTTCAGTAACCACCCGCCCAATCACCTTGCCCAAAAATGGAAGATTTGAGACTGGGCGATAGTTGGCCATATTAGCCGGGTCTAAAGATGTTTTTTTAAGAAGCGGTTTAGTAACCGCCTCTTTTAGCGTGGCTGGGAAGGCTCCCTCACAGAGGGAAGCATTCACCACCCCACAGAGCCCATTGCCCAGCCCTTCCCGGCTCGCTTTCATTAGCCACGATGGGCAAGGATCATGGAGACAGGTGGTCAGTTTCACTTGCCTAAGCAGCATGTTCACATCCTCAGAGGTAACAGATTGGAACTGATTCCATGCAACTTGACTAGACAGGACTCTAGCACTTCCCCACTCCGGCCCTGCTCCCATGGTGGAGTCTACCTCTTTGCAAAACTGAGAGACTTTATCTGCAAGAAACTTTGCAAAATCATTGCAGGAGATATTGGGGTCTTTTCTAGGCCCCGATGGCAAAGGTGGTTCTGTTAAATTGCGAACCACCTGAAAGAGTCTCCTGCTGCTACTTTGCTACTTTCTGCATATGCAATAGAGGCGGTAAAGAAAGTCCTCTACGCCATCGTTATTGCCACTTGGTAGGCTCAACATTGAGCTCTAACCTGTTTCCGGTCCAATTCAGAATGAGTTTTCCGCCACCAGTGCTCTACCCATCTCAGCAATTGTTTCATCACCCTCAGCTCCAGGGAAAACCACGGGGCTGTCCGGGCTCCATGTAATCGGAGAGGGCGCTTCGGAGCCAAACAGTCAATAGCCCTGGTTAACTCCGCATTCCAGCGGACCACTAGGGAATCAGCTGAAAGGCCATCAACATGGGATAAAACATACCCTACACAGTCTGGAAATCATTTGGGTCCATTAAGTGGCGGGGGCGGACCATCTGAATCGGTCACACCTCCCTGCAGAGGGGAAGGGTCGTGGAGAAGTCCAGATGCACCAGGAAGTGATCTGACCATGGCACTTCTTTAGTTTTACTTTTACTTAGTGTCAGATCACTAACATCCATAGAGGTGAACACCAGGTCCAAGGCATGTCCGCGGTTATGAGTTGGGCCAAACTTATTCAGGGACAGCTCCATGGAAGCCATGCTTTCCATGAAGTCCCGAGCAGCCCCTTGTAAGGTTGTGTCAGCATGAGTGTTAAAATCACCTAAGACAACCAAACTAGGTGTCACCAGGAGAACATCTGCCACGACCTGAAGCAAGTGTGGGCCCCGCTCCCTGATGCTAGGCCTTTTCCCATCTGGCCTAGGGATGGGACACTTGCTTCCTCCACACTCACAGCAGCCACAGTAAGGTATTTTAAGGTACAGTGGTACCTCGGGTTACATACACTTCAGGTTACATACCCTTCAGGTTACAGACTCCGCTAACCCAGTAATATTACCTCAGGTTAAGAACTTTGCTTCAGGATGAGAACAGAAATCGTGCTCCGGCGGTGCAGTGGCAGCAGGAGGCCCCATTAGCTAAAGTGGTGCTTCAGGTTAAGAACAGTTTCAGGTTAAGTACGGACCTCCGGAACGAATTAAGTACTTAACCTGAGGTACCACTGTATATGTATTTTAAGATTAGCAACTGCTGACTTCAACGAAATGCTGAGCAGTTGCAAAAACAAGCTAACTCCACTTGGAGGCCTTTCATATATTGCCTGAGCAAAATGGATTCCAACAAAAATGCAGTTTAATAGGTCAATAATAAAAGTTTCGCCTTCACCCCTTCTCCCTCGTTAGCAGCAACTAGAATTGTAATATTTTTGTTATGGGGAAAATAAAGTTTCAGTAGCATAATAGAACATAATCTCGTAACTTTTCCTTCAGGATTTTTTTTTTTTTTTTGGCGATAACAGATATAAGATTTTCTGCCTTTTCTCATTGCCCCTCTGCCATTCCTACCCATCACAAAAGTACAAAGGCTAGGTATATATTTATGCAGTAAACTGCTTAAAGATCTGATCGCTGATTGGGTTCTCTTTGGAGAAATAGACCACATACAGTCAGAATTAATTCTGCAGGTTCCTACAAGGCCTGCTAAACAGATAGATGATGAGGGGAACTAGCAGAAATGTGGGTGTTTAAAAATCAAACTCACATGAGCAGTAGCAAGACAGAAGAGTCAGTACTAACGTGATTGTACTCCAATTTTCATTTCAAACTTCTTTGACCATGCTTCTGCATAATATGACCAGTTCCACACCTATGAAGTGTGACATATGTAACAAACTGAATACTAGAATCTCATGACCTCACAACTACTGTCAGGTGCGATATGGTTACGCTCACAGTGATATCACCTTGTACCTATATACATATAGCTTCAAATGAAGGGAAGGAGACTGCTTTGATTTCCCTGGTAGATGACGTGTACCTGGAGAGAGAGTATTTATTTATTTATTTATATTCATTTATTTATCAAATTTATATACCGCCCTATACCCGGAGGTCTCAGGGCAGTTCACAGAACAGAGTTACCTCATTTCATAGGCACCGACTCCTAGGGGCCAAGGCAGTTTCAGCCCCCCAAATGTATATTTTGAGGGGGCTGGGGTGTTTGGCCCCACCCCGGCTCCTTGCCACATTTCATAATGTCACACCAGCCACCCCCCCATCCACTGGAGAAGCCAGCGCCTCTGCCTCATTTGTTATCTCAGTTTTCCGGAGATCTTTTCATATCATCAGTCATCGTAAGCTCTTCAACAGTCTGGACTGGTTCCGTTCCTGAATGGTGGAGAGATACCAGAAAGTGGGACTGGAGCCACTCCTTGCATGGTTTCTAAAAAAGTTTTGAAGGCTTCCATTTCCACCCAGGGAAAGGAAACAACTTTCTTACGGTCCACATATTGCACATGGAAACTCTCTAACTGCTCAGCCACAGCAGAAGGCAGGAGAACGATGCATCGTGGAGCATTTGTCCTTAGCCATAGCTCAGAGACCTAGTCAGGGTTACAAGCCCTACCCAACTAAAAAGGCCACAATATTCTTTAAATTAAGGTCCAAAAGCCTAGGAGTGGGGGAGAAAAGTCTTTGCCTGGCACCTATAACTAGATAAGAATGGTTTCAGGTGTGCTTTCCCAGGCAGAGCATTTCCCATGCAGGGACCATCACTGGGAAAGGCCTGCTATCTTCTTGCCACCCTCCAAACCTCCCATGGAAGGGGCATATGAGGAAGGGCTGCGGATAATGAGCTCTGGGAGCCTCTGGCAAGATCTTGGACAGCTTTGTGAAATCTTGTGAGAACTTCCAGGGCCTGCAAGAGAGTCTCCCAGAGCATGGTAAGCAAGGTTGAGAGCTTAAAAGCTCTCTCTGTGCCTGGTTTTCCCACCACAGAAGGAGCTTTTAAGTTCTCCACCTTGCTAACCAGATTCTGGGAAGCCTTCCTACAGGCTCTGGGGAGAACTCTTTCTCTCTCTCTCTCTCTCTCTATATATATATATGTATGTGTGTGTACATTTTTATTTTCGATTACAATTCAATAATAGCCTCATTATAAGAATACCAATTTATAATACAATTATTATTACCAATCGTTCAAATACTGATAATTTAGATAAAGATTGATGGCTTGATAATTTGCTTTAATTCTGCATTCAAAATCTTATTAATTTCCATTACATTCTGATGATAATAACAATCCCTTATACAACAACTGCAGTATTAATAACTTCTATTCATGTTGACACATTAAATGATTTATAAAACTGCAAGCGAGGAACTCAAACTATATCTTTTTTCTTCCTGTGTGTGGCAATTGTTCTGTCTATTGTGTTTCTTCCTGTCCTTGTAAGATGTTATGTCTCTCTTCTCCCCCCCCACCCCCGTTTGTTGCTGTTATCTGTCATGACTTGGACGGAGCTGATATCCCATTGCTGTTCCAGAAATTTCTCCATCGCTCCGTCCCGTGCTTCGTTGTTTTGCAACTTTAACAACAGCTGCAAAAGTCACTCTGTTCCAATAAATAACCTGTTCTCACCATTTTTCCTCTCAGCCTGGCAAGAAGAGTGGTCTTTCGAACTGCAGATGACTCAATAATGAACCTTATCAATTCCTTGGCAGTTTGCAGACTCCTTTCATCCTTCTGTCCAACTGAGGATATATGAGCAATTATACTTCCAATTAAATTAAATTCCAAGTCCTCTTATAAATAAATTCCAAGTCACTCCATAAATAATTAAGGGTGAGGAAGAGTCAGCTCTAAGTTTCCATTGTAAACCTTTTGCAAAATAGAACTTCCCTCCCTTTTTCCTTTTTTTAAATACACACAGTTCCATTTAATGTTATATTCCATATGTATAATCCAATTTCTTCCATCCTCGCTTGTACAAATATAATTTGAACTAACATTCAGAGGAGATTGTCAAATCATAAATGTAGAGAACTTTAAATAAAGAAACCATAGGCTCCCCTCCCCACATCTTTTGCATCTAATGAAGTCTTATCTCGAGTTCAAACCTTAAAGTCCTTGCAGTTGGTTTTATTCCACAGTTTGTGATCTCATCTCTTCTAGCACGTTCCTGTACTTTAGTCCAATTAAGTTCTAATGAACAGGAGAACCTCTGCTTCTTAATGGCAGCATTGGAGGGTTTTCACCAGGCAAAGTGATTTTGCACTCAGCGCCTCCCTGCCCCCGCATTCCATGTCAGAGCAAGAGCCAGGTACTGAGACGAACTGCGAGTGAAGCCCATTTCCCCCATCCCTGGGGGGGAATTTGCAAGGAGAATTACCCTCAATCATCCTTGTTTTTCCTTTGCCAATGATCTCCTGCTGTCATGGGGTCTGGTTCCATTAAGGCAGAGCGGAACCGGAAGCTGGCTCTGGGGAGATCTTGTGAGATCTCACAAGATCTTGAACGGCTCCATGAGATCTCACCAGAACCTTCATGGGGAAGGCAAAGCCTGCTCGGCCCTCCAGCTTCAGAAAGGTTGGGGGTGCTCATGCAGGGATAATTCTGGGGTAGTTTCAACTATATACAATTCTAGTTTTATGTGCAACCCCCAGAACGCAACCCCCCCCCCATGTTGTGGGTCAACTGTACTGCCTAATATTTTGAAAATATCTAAGTGGTGTCATGTCTGTCTGTCTGTCTATCTTTCTATCTATCTATCTATCATCTATCGATCTATCTATCTATCTAATATTAAAACACAAACACAAACCTATAGCCAGTAAAGCAACAGTAAAAACACAAAAGTCATATAAAAGCAAGCATACAGAAATCCAGAAGTTTCAGGCACATAAAACAAATTGCATGAGTTGGGGAAAATACCGTATGTACATGCAGATGTTTATATGAACAGATCTGGCGGCAGCATGGTTAGCCTATGGGAGATACCATAGTGAGCTCTTGCACTTTAAAATGTTCCGTTCAGCATTGACAACACCAGGCTACTTCTCTAGCATTTGCTTCAAAGGTTTTTCTCAGAGATGTATGTACTGGATGCTGTTCTCAGTTATTCCAGATATATATCCACCAGCACACTTCTTTTCTCTGGGCTTCCTGGCTTCTCGCTTTCCTCTTCTATTGCCCATCCACCTCATGAAGCTGTGATAGCTCAGTTGGTAGAGCATGAGACTCTTAATCGCATGGTTATGGGTTCAAGCCCCACGTTGAACAAAAGATTCTTGCATTGCAGGGGGTGGACGTATGACCCTCGTGGTCCCTTCCAACTCTACAGTTCTCTGATTCTATCTGACCTCCTTTTCATAGTGGTTGTCTGCTTGCCTTTTTCCGCTGTCCAGTTACCTTGACTGCACTTTTGCTTCCTTTGTAGGATCCCTGCTTATTGACCACACTGAGAAATGTCAAACTCGGTGTTTGGTGGCTCAGTCACCTCCGCCCTCTGACTCCGCCAACTGGCTCTGCATAAGAAGCCATCCGGACTGGAGATTGCCCTGGTATAGGGCCTAGATGGGTGCATTAGAAATAATGAACACAACATCAAAGCATTCGTAATAAATTTATTCTGGAACTGGGAAAGAATGTCCATGTTTTTCTATAATCATCTGATGCGGGGGTTGGGGGGGGGTTGGCTTCTGATGCCAGAGATATTTTCAGGCTTGCACCTCATCTGTTTTGGTTGACTCTGGCATGTTTTCTGTATCCTCCAGTGCTCCCTCAAGTAACATATGGAAGGACTTTAAGGCTTCCCACCTCTTCCAGCATCCAACAATAAGGTACACAATAGCAATGGCACTGCAGCAGATTGAATCCAGTAACACAGTAATGATTTTCAATGTAGTCAAATCTACTGAGAGTTCCCAAAATGAAAAAGTAAATGTAGCTCTGGTTGGGACATTGAAGATAAGAATCACTGTTGCTATGGCCACAATGGTAATGTCAAGTCTTTCTCGAGGCTTTTGCTGTGATCTTAGGGTTCTGATCCAAATGGCCAAAGAGAAAAACAACACGCTGGATGGGACAAGAACCACCTCAGTTATTAAGGATATTATAGTGGAAGTTCCACATTGAGATTCAAATTCCTTAGCGGTTATGAAGAATTTTGGGAAGCAGAAAAAAAAGTACAGAAGTGACAGATTGCAAGACAACATCCATAAAATCACACACAGTATGGTTGAGAAATACTCAGACCGGTGATGTTGCCACCAGACTGGGAAATAGACAGTGATGTACCTTTCAACAGTGAGAGCTGTAAAGATGTATAAATTGGTGTCATAGGCACATATATAGAGCATCTGGATTAGACGTTGAATTGGAGAAACTAGACGTACATTTATAGAATATAAAAAAGCAACTTCAGCACTGCAGAAGCTTGTCAGAAGATTTGCAATAGTAAGATTTAAAAAATAGGGGGTTAAGTTAGTGTGTTTGATCTTGTAGCAGAAAAGCCAAAAGACAATTACATTCGCTATGAATGCAAAGATGCTGACTGGAATAGTTGCAATAAAAATTGTTCCAAGCTCCTTGGGAAGTCTGTAGGGTTTCTTGGTTACACCAGCAGAGCTGGAAGGCGATACGCCTTCTTCTGGTATCACATTATCAATATAAGCTATTATTCCTTTCAACCTGTCAAAATCAAACATAACTTACAGTTACTATTAAGGTACCTAGATTTTGTAATAGCCATAGGAAAGCTTCAAATGATCACCTGTCAGGCAAGGATGTTCTTGTTATTAGATTCTACTCCCACAATTTTTGGCAACTGGAGGAAATTAAGTGAATGGGATAAGGATCTTACCAGTAACTGACTGGTGGGCATAGATGTCTAGGGACCTGTAGGTCAAGAGGAGGCTTTCCCGCTGAATTTCTTTGCTCCCTTTGCCAGACTTGGGCTGAGTAATACTCAAGCAAATGAGAATAAGAAGTCAATGCTTTTGGAGAGAGTAAAACAAAGAGTCTTGTTGCACCTTAAAGATTTATATTATGGCATAATTTAGATTTGATGAAGTCAACTCTAGACCATGAGAGTTTCTGCTATGATAAACCTGTTAGTTTTTAAGGCAGCACAAGACTCTTTATTATTTTTACTGCAACAGCCTCTTATGACTAACCCTTTGCCATATTGGGGGAGGGGGAGAAACATATTCACAGGCAAGTGGCTGTCTGAATTTCTGCCTTTTCTCTCCTCTTCCCCTTTTCATTCCTTTGCAACCATCACAAAATATGAAGGGTGGCCATATACTTTTATACAATGATCTGCGTCACAATTTGATTACTGAATGGATGTTGTTGGGAGAAGCAAGTAGAGATACCCCAAATTATCTCTGGCAAGTTCCTATAAAGCCTGTTAAGCAGACTTGATGAGACTAACATGAATATAGATGTTGAGAATCACACTGACGTAAGCAGCTGCAAAGCAGAAAAGTCAATACTAACATAGTTGCACTCCAATTTTCATTTCAACCTTCTTTTCTCATTTCGTTTCAACCTTCTTTTCTCATTTGTCTTCCTCTCACAGTAATAGAATTCTGCAAAGATGTGACCAAGTGCCACTATTATGAAGTGTTGGTTGTGTAACAACTGAATACAAGAATTTCATGACCTCATAGTGACTGTCAGCCACAATATGATTAAACTCACATACTTCTCTGTACCTATTTAAATCTGGCTTCAGATCAAGGAAAGAGACTGCTTTGATTACCCTGGTATATGACCTGTACCTGGAGAGATAGGGTAGTGTGACTTGAATTATTATCTCAGTTCTCTTTCTGCCCTGCCACACTAAATGACCGAGTTCGTTCCAACGCAGGAAGGGTATTATGTGGCCCCTGTAGTGGTGCCAATTCCGCCAATCAAAGCTGTCAAGTGGGCACATGTAAGAAAAAGTGATCTTGTAGGTAAACTGATCCCAAATTATTAAATTATTAAGGGCTATGTATATGTATATATGGGACATGGGTGGCGCTGTGGGTTCAACCACAGAGCCTAGGGCTTGCCGATCAGAAGGTCAGCGGTTCGAATCCCCGCAACAGGGTGAGCTCCCGTTGCTTGGTCCCAGCTCCTGCCCACCTAGCAGTTCGAAAGCACGTCAAAGTGGAAGTAGATAAATAGGTACCGCTCTGGTGGGAAGGTAAACGGCATTTCCGTGCGCTGCTTTGGTTCGCCAGAAGCGGCTTAGTCATGCTGGCCACATGACCTGGAAGCTGTACGCCGGCTCCCTTGGCCAGTAAAGTGAGATGAGCGCCGCAACCCCAGAGTCCTCCACGACTGGACCTAACGGTCAGGGGTCCCTTTACCTTTATGTATACTAACAGTAACCTAGACTGGTAGCAAATCGGCAAACAGTGCTGATCTCTGAGCACGGGTGTTATATGCTGACGAGGCAATTTCCTGTCAGCAATCGTGCTGCAGCATTCTGCACTAACTGCAGGTTCCAAATCAAGACCCACACACAGCACATTGCAGTAATCCAGCCTTGAAGTAACCAATTCAAGAACTACTGTGACAAGGCTTTCCTGGTCCAGTAATAGCTGTCAAACCAGTCACAGCTGGTCAAAGGTACTTCTAGCCACAGAGACTACCTGAGCCTCCAGTGACAGCTGGATCCAGAAGCAGCTCCTTCAGGAGGAGTGCAACCCCATCCAGGGTAGGCAGCTGACCAGTTTTTGAGACATGGGAACTCCTCACCCACAGTGTCTCCATCTTGCCGGGATGCAAGCTCCGCTTGTTTTTCTCATCTATTTCACCAGTGTGCCCAGCCAAATGGCCCAGGGATTGCACGGCCCCTCCTGATTCAGATGTTATGGAGAAATAGAGCTGAGTGTCATCGGCAGACTGATGGTACCTTGCCCTAAAACTCCTCATGATCATCCCAAACAGCTTCATATAGATATTATATAGCACTGAAAAGAAAATAGTCCCCTGCAGCAGTCCATAACATAGCTGCCAGAGGGTCGAAAGGCCCTCTCTCAGTGCTGCCTAATTTCTTTGATCAGCCATGCAGGATGACATATGTTCACTTGCTCCAGATCAAGCACATGCCTGAGACGTTCTACTATTTCTGAAGCTATTTCTGAAGCTTCGTGTCGCTAATTGACTGATACTGCGTTTCTACGGGAGATCGATGGATCGTCCGGTGTTGGCGTGGGGGCATGACGGACTTTGTCTCCCTGGCAGTATCCCAACAACAGGTTATAGGCCCAGATTCACGGCACTTACAGGAGAGTAAGACTGCAAAAGACTGCGTTGAGGTATGTGGGCTAAAGCGAGGCTTTTCTGTTGCCGCGGTAGCCTCTTTGATGTCCGGCTGGCTTAATTGGCCTGGGAGCCGCGCCAGAGGCTTCGTGATTAATGAGCTGCCCAGATAAGAAGTTTTTGAAGGCATAAAGGCTCACGGCTCAAATAAAAGCCTGGAATTTTTCCAAGCCTCTGAAGGTACTGAGTGCCCAAAATTAAATCGGCACAATTATGAGGCCTGGGCTGTGTGGTGAGAGTTTACTACAACAGTTTGGAGTGTGGCATACTGTGTGTGAAGCCCCTCCAGTTCCTCTGACAGGTAGATGGAGGGCCCAAGATTCACGGGCCATAGACGTAATTGTCTTGTCTGTCTCTCTGGAGGAAATTGGCACACTGGCTGGCAACACGACCGCACGTCAGATGTGGAATGCTTTGAAGGTTGCCCATCTGCCAGTCATCCCAGCCCAGAGTTTGACTGCATCGGAGGTCCTGGCTGTTTCCCAGATCGAGAGTGATAGCAGGGATGCTGAGGGCACCGGTTGCAAGCTGCAGGGGGAGCTGACTGTGATGTCATCCCAGGCAGCATTCCAGCCTCCAGGGGGAGCCAAGGAGTCGGCAGCTGAGAGCTCTGTTTCCTGTGAGAACCAAGGTCATCGTCTTTGCAGAGGCCGGAAGGCCAGAAGTAAACAGAGACAGATGCCTGCAGATGGCCAGGAGCAGGGGGGCAAGCAGCAAAAGCCCACGCCAGTGGAAAACAAGGCTATGTTTGCTGGCAATGCTTCACCAAAGGCCAAAGGCAAGTTTGATGGCCAGGAGCAGGGGGGCAAGCAGCAAAAGCCCACGCCGGTGGAAAACAAGGTTTTGCTTGCTGGAAAAGCTGCTTCAAAGGCCAAGGCCAGATTTGTTATTGACTCTGGAGCGACCCGCCATCTGGCAAAGGATCGGCACCTTTTTATCTCCTTCACACCTCAAGATGGAGAGATCTACCAGGCTGATGGAAAGACTCGCAGGAGTTGGGACTGTGAAACTGGCAAGTCTGCCATCAAAGATGTACTTTATGTTCCAGGTGCTGCAGACAATTTGCTCAGTGTCCCACAGCTGACTGGGCGTGGTTTTGAGATTTCCTTCAAGAGGAGCGTCTGTGTCATCAGGAAAGGCAAAGAGGACATTTTGCATGCAAAGTTTATGGATGGCTTATTCTGTATAACTTATGATAACAATGCTGTTGCTGTGTCTAATGTTGATTCTTGTTGTGTTGCAGAAACTAACAAAGTTCTTCATGCAGGATGCATTCACGAGGCACACAGAAGGTTTGCTCACATGTCTTGGCAGGCACTGGCCAAGATGCCTGAGTTGGTTCAGGGTTTGAGCATCAAGCCCTGTAAGTTTCACATGAAATGTGTATCTTGTGCAGAGAACAAGGTGAAGGTTGCTCCAAAAGGCAAGGAGTCTAGCAGGCAGGCTTCCAAACCCTACTAGCTAGTCCACGTAGACCTGGTTGGTCCACTTGCGCCCTCTTTGGGTGGAGCAAGGTACTTCATGGTTCTAATTGATTCTTTTTCCAGGTACATTCATGTGTTTATGCTCAAGCAGAAATCGCAAGTGTTTCCTAGGTTCAAGGCATTCTGTGCTTGGTTGGAGAATGCTCACAGTAAACGTATCGGCTGTTTGTTTACTGATCAAGGCGGGGAGTTCACTTCTCAGCAGTTTGAAGCTTTCCTGACTGAGAAGGGAATCCAGCATGACCTCTCAACACCTAGATCGCCATGGCAGAATGGACTTGCTGAGCGAGCAAACCAGACATTGCTACAAGGCCTAAAAACCTTGCTGCATGATTCCAATCTCCCGGAGAAGTATTGGGGGGAGGCTTTGTCCACGTTCGTTTATTCCTATAACAGGAGGCTGTCATCACCTATTGGTTGTACTCCCTATGAGAAGATGTTTGGTAAAAAAAACCTTACGTCAAGCACATGAGAATCTTTGGTTCTGACATGTGGGTACACACCCCACAGAGCAACAAGCTTGGGAAGCGTGGGGCACATGGTTTGTTCATGGGGTACGAAAAAGGTTCATACAGGGTATGGATGACTGACTAAGTCTATTAAGTTCACAAAGAGTGTTGAGTACAATCCTAAGTGGGGGGGGGAATGTGGGAATTTTCCAGTGTTACCCAGAGGAAAATGAAGGTGATGTGAAAAAAGCAGATGGTGCTGAGGTAGAAGAGGAAGCTGAGGATGATGATGATGATGATCAGAGTTCGGATTCTAGCTCAGTGGGTGGCGCCGCTGCTGATGTCAGCGACAGTGATGACACAGCAGACTACAAGAGCGCAAAGGCCTCAGTCAGACCATCTGATGCGTCTGACAATGAACTGGAAGAACCACTGTTCACCATTGGTCACTTTTCTCCTAAGAAGGAGGAGATGAGTCAAGAAGACTTGCGTCTAGTACGCAAGTCTGACAGGGCCACAAAAGGCAAAGCTCCAAAGAGATTTGCTGACGAGTTTGCTAAGACGGCAACTGCTGTTCTTAGTAGCTCAGAGAAGGTGTGGGAACCTTCAAGCTTCAAAGAGGTTCAGGAGTTAACCTCTAAAGATGCTGAGCCTTGGCTTAATGCCATGAAGGCTGAAGTTGATTCCTTGAATAGGAACCAAACTTGGGAACTGGTACCGGTAGTCCCAGGAATGAGACTGGTTGGCAGCAAATGGGTCTTCAAGGTCAAGACAGACCAGAATGGCAAGGTAGTCAGATACAAAGCCAGATTGGTTGCCAGAGGTTTTTCACAGGTACCAGGACAGGATTACCACGAGACCTACTCACCCACCGTCAACTATGAGAGCATTCGGCTAATGCTCAAGATTGCTGCAGAGGAGAAACTGCATGTTTCCCATCATGACATTAATATAGCTTTTTTGTACGGGGTTTTGGGGGAGGAGCTGTTTATGCTTCCACCTGATGGAATGCAGATACAGAAGGGAATGGTCTGTAAACTTCGGAAATCCTTATATGGTCTCAAGCATAGTGTTGGAACACAAAACTCACTGAGACATTGCTTTCTCTAGGTTTTCACCAGGGCAAAGCTGATCCGTATGTGTTTGTCAAGGAGGAGGGGCAAAACAAACTGTATTGTTTATGTTTTGTTGATGATCTTCTGATGTTTTGGAAAAATCAGGCTTTGTACCAAAGCACCCTAGCTCAGCTGAAGGAGCACTTTGACATGAAGGATCTTGGTGAGGTATCCAACTATCTTTCTCTGCAGGTGGAGAGGGACCAAGCAGGTAATTTTCTGGTACACCAAACACAGAAAATTGCTGATGTATTAACCAGGTTGAATTTGGTTGATGCAAACCCAGCAGACACACCGATGGTGACAGGTTACCAGGTAGATAGTACTGCTGAAGCGTTTTCTGACACTACGCTGCACAGATGCATTCTAGGCAAGCTGAATTTCATTGCTAGATGTTCAAGACCTGACTTAGCTGTAAGCACTAACCTGCTTAGCAGACATGCTAACAATCCTACTGTTCAGGATTGGAAAGCTCTGAAGCGCATAGCCCGCTATTTGAAAGGGACTTTGCACTACAGGCTGAGGTTCACCAGTCAGAAGACTGGAGGTCTTGAAATCTTTGCAGATGCTAGTTTTGGAAGTGACACCACGGATGGTACAAGCACTTCTGGAGTATGCTACATGTACAACCGCTGTCTGTTTGACTGGCTGTGCAAGAAGCAGATGACAGTAAGCCTAAGTTCCTGTGAAGCAGAACTCAATGCACTGTCATTTTCACTCATGGATTGTGAATCAGAGTTTCTGTGAAATGTCCTATACAAGTGTATCAAGACAATAGATCCTGTTTGGCTTTGCTGAACTCAGAGAGTTGCAAGCAAAGAACCAAGTACTTGCAGATTAAGCTTCATCGTGCAAGAGAGTGTATTCAGAAAGGACTCATTCAGGTGTCTTACATGCCAGGAAATGAAATTCCTGCTGATCTGTTGTCTAAGGTTGTTAACAGAGAACAACTTAAGGTTTACGTACAGAGGTTGCAATTGGGTTGAACCACAGGTACTACAGGTTAAATGGAAAGGGGGAGGATGTTAGGATATTTCCGTTCCACCTTAAAAGGGAGCAGGCTTTGTGAGTCACAGAGTCTGCGTATTTCCTGTTCACAGGATGTTTATGCTTTCGTTTCTCTCTGTGCCTGAGACATCGAAGCAGGCAGTCATGTTTTTTTTTCTTTGTTCTGACCAACGCTGAATAAATTTGTAAATATGCTCTCCTGAGTGCATCTTTCATTGTGCGAACTCTGCTGATAGAGCGTGCACGAGCTCTGGAATGTGGAAAGCTATTTCTGAAGCTTCGTGTCGCTAATTGACTGATACTGCGTTTCTATGGGAGATCGATGGATCGTCCGGCGTCGGCGTGGGGGCATGACGGACTTTGTCTCCCTGGCAGTATCCCAACAAATATAAGTATTTTACCTGCATAGTTTTTACTGCTGCTATAGCTGAGAACCAATTCAAGACTACCAATAAGTAAATCCTATTTTAAGCTTGCTTCCACCATCTGTTGTCTGATTTCTTGTTAAGTGAGGTAAATGAAAAGGGGGAGCCAGCTTCAATTTTGCTGCTAAGAATGGGACTTTGTTCAACCCACACATGTGGGCGCCTGGAGGGGTAAATTACAATTAATATATTTGTTCCTATCTATTAAAACCCATTCCACAATATACAGCTGAGGGATTGGGCTACAGAATAGTAAGCTGAGACCCAGTGCCATACATATCCCACACTGTCGGAAGTAGGTGATAAATCCCTCAGCTACTCTCCTCCCTCTGCCTCTTCACTGAGGGGGGAACTCCACCAAACCAAACATCCCCTCAACCTAGGTTGGGTAATATATTCACTATTTTAACCTTCATTTTTGTCTGGTCCTTATATTCCCTTGCAATGATAAACCCCCAGTTGTGGTTTGGTTGTTCATCCTAGTATTTTTGGAAAGAAGGGTTCCTGAACTGCATACAGGGCCGGATTTAGGTTTGATGAGGCCCTAAGCTACTGAAGGGAATGGGGCCCTTTATATGTCCAGCTGTTCTTTGTCAACAACAAATTGTCACTGGTTTTTGTGTTGAATATATGCTATATGGTAATTTATGGACCTAATAGGCATCTAAAGTCATTTGCACATAACAAAATATGTATTTTATCAAAGTAACTTACATCATAGGAGCCAACACAACACAAAACACTGTTGCTGTATGTAGGTTTTATTTTATTTGTGAGAGATACATGCATATATATATATATATATATATATATATATATATATATATATGAAATGTACATCCAGGTTTTTTTTTCCTTTCATTTTTTGGGGGGGACCCCAAGAGAGTGGGGCCCTAAGCTATAGCTTGTTTAGCTTATATGTAAATCCGGCACTGACTGCATATCTTAAGCCTGGTCAACTTGGCACACAGAGCAAAGCTGTTGTTCAAGGCTCACTATTTAACTCCATTCCCTAACAGGGCTGTGGCATTTTGATACCTTTTAGATAGACACAATGCCTATCTAAAAGGCATGGTTACTGCTCAGTCCCAACTGTGTCTATTCAGAAGTCAGTCCTATTGAATTCAATGGGGCTTACTTCCAGGTATGTCGAGTGAGGATTACAGGCCTAGTATTTATTTAGCAAAACAAAGTTGTCAGTATCACCAGGGTTACTCTCCAGTTTTCTTTTCCACCTTGTTTGATCATACTTCTGAATTTTGTAGAAGCTTAATCCTGCAAAGATACACCTCTTTGGTGATTTGAGGGCCCTGTTACCCCATCTGCAAATGACTTTTCTGTGGTCCCTAGGTGAGTATTGTAGCCTACAAGTAACAAACAGTAAAATAAACAAGTCATAATATATTTATTCAGGAACCAGAAATGCCAGTCTATATTCTTTGACTTAGAAGCCTTTTCAGTTCACATCTGAGGCTCTGGATGCTTCTCAGTCTCCTCTTGGTCTACTTGAGTTCTCTCTGCTTTGTCACTCAAAGCTCTCTCAAGAAACATATGGATGGGCCTCTCTCTCTTCCAACATCCAACAGCAAGATATATGAAAGGGTTGATACTGCTCTTGATGGAATCAAACAACAGAGAAAGTAGAAATGGGATTGGTGCATCTAGTGTTTGGTGCCAATATGCGATGGCATCAACAGTTCTAACTGTAAAAGAAAAGATAAGAAATACAACAGCTAAGATGGTGATGGTGATATCAAGTCTTGCTGGAGCACTTTGCTTGGCTTCTCTTTGCATTTTGACACAAAGAGCTGCGGTAGAAAAAAGCATGATGGGTTGGAAAACCAGAAAAGTTATTGTGATTTCAAATATAGTTGCAGCTGTGCAATCTGCTCTCTCTTCATTGTGAGATGAAAGGAACCTTGGATAGCAGGAAATATAGGCCACCAGTGACACCAGGCAGGACAAGGGCCACAACACGGCACACACAATGATGGAGAGGTACTTTCGCCTGTGACGTTGATACCAGACTGGGAAGAAGACAGTGAGGTACCTTTCAGCAGTGAGAGCTGTTACCAAGTAGATGCTGGTGTTGTATCCAGATAAATATATAACCTCCATTACACATGAAAAGTAGAGATTGACATAAAGTTGTGCCAAAAATGTGATAAAAACTATAATGTAGTAGATGTTTACAATAAGATCAGCAGCTGTCAAATTGAGAATATAAACTGAGAACCTAGTCCTCTTGATCCTGAAGCAAAGAAGCCAGAAGTCAACTCCATTCCCAATTAATCCCCAGATGCAAGTTGGAATAGATAAAATGATAATTGTTTCCAAGAAATATTGCTTCTTTGCCCAGTTCTCCAGTTGTGCATAAATTGTATTGATTGTAGCAGTGTGGGAAGACAAAGCAATTGCATCTGCCATGGCCTTAATGTGTCCACCAATTCTTCACCTGCTATAAATCAAACACAATTTGTCATTAGTAAGATGTAGTGATAGAGGTAGAAAACATCCAAGAAGATCACTTGACAGACAATATTCCAGTCCCATAAGCTTTGGTTCGTTGTTCAGTCGTCTTAGTCGTGCTCAACTCTCCGTGACCCCATGAACAAGGGCATGCCTTGGAATTTCTTCTCAAAGCTTCTCCTTTTGTGCATGGAGTGTTCATGGCAAAATACTGGAGTGGGTTGCAAGTTCCTTCTCCAAAGCTTTGGTTAATAAAGGCTAAACTGGAATTTATTTTCCTCCCTAGGCTGCTTCCTCGGTACAGGGGCTTTCTGCATTCATTTAGATGACACGGGGGTGCTTTATCATTACACAATTTTCTGTTGCCTTTCGCTGCTTCTATGGTAAGCCCTAGCAGGTATCAACCATCCAGATACTCCCCCTAAAATATCACAACCTCCAGAAGATAATGCACCCCAGATCTACATGTTTGAAGGATTCCGTACCTGTTTTCTCAGTACAGACAGAAATTACAGTCAGTACTGGATTTTTCCAGAAGTCATCTGCAAAAGATGAATAGGAAACAGTCAAATTTGAGTTACAGGTAGGTAGCCGTGTTGGTCTGCCGTAGTTGAAACAAAATAAAAAAATTCCTTCCAGTAGCACCTTAGAGACCAACTAAGTTTGTTATTGGTATGAACTTTTGTGTGCGTGCACACAAAAGCTCATACCAATAACAAACTTAGTTGGTCTCTAAGGTGCTACTGCAAGGAATTTTTTTATTTTGAGTCAAATTTGAATATGTTTCAGCTATACAACCCTTCTGCAAGGAAATGTTTTGTACCAAATATACTCATATGCAGAAAAGCATTCAAATAGTCAATATTGCTTTACATAGCAATGAGGCTTTATTCAGTTTCAGTTCAGTTTCTATCAAGTACCAGTGCTCTGTAGCTGTTGCGGGTAAGAAAATACAGCCTACCTTGCACTGGAAACATACTGAGCAACTCGCAAGAATGAACTCATTTTAGAACAATCACACCCTCAGGTTTTTTTAATGAAGTGAGTGACAGGGTATGCAATTTCCTCATAATTACACACACACACACACACACACACACACACACGTACGTACATGATGCCATTTGGCTAACTTCCATGATCCAAACTTCTGTTTCATGAAGTTAATTCAGGATATCTAAATGTGCAAAATATCCCAGTTCAGACCATCATTCCTCTCTTAATAAGCTTAGGTGTGCACACACCTTTTGCTCATGCAGCTCTTTCCCTCCTCTCTTCACAATGTGCAGCAGTCCAACTCAGGCATCTCCAATTCAGCACAGCTGTCATCTGAAATGAGAGTTACCAGGTTTCAAACAAGCCAGTCCTGAAAGTGCCTTAAGAGCCTTGGGCTTTGACACACCTTTCAATTTGTGCAGCCAAGATGGGTTTACTAGTGACAGCAATTGGTTATAGGCTTTTCCCGCTAAGGGCCCCATATCTTGACTTCTACCGCCTCCGCAGCAATCTTTTGTGGCGTAGTCGGTTGTGCCATCTCAGGACTTTATCATCTCACAGTGCTGCATGTATAGACCAGGCCTTGCCCTCTGAACTACCTGCAAGGCCTGTATCAAGCAAACTCCGTTCCAGGGAGTCACTTGGCAAAGTGCATGCCTATTATGAAGAAGCCAGTTGAATGTGGTGAAAGGCCCACTAGTAGGGCCAGAAAAACACAAGCAGGATACAAGGCATTATCTGGTTCCTAGGCAAAGTTCTAAAACAGGACTAGCAGGTGTGGCGTTTGCCTCCTAGGTGGGTCATAAGGAAAGAGTTAAATGAGTGTGATGTGATTGGCCAGAGAGAAACTGATAGGAGGAGTTAGAGTTAGAGTCTGTGTTGTGCGGAAGTCAGTTGAGAGTTGGGAGTTGGTGAAGGAAGAGGGAGGATAAGTCTGTGGGTTGGTCGAGTTGTGTTGTGAGGGAGTGAGAGGAACTGTTAGGTGGAGTCAGATAGTTAGTTGGGATAATCAGTTTGAAGTTGTTAGGAACGTATAGGACAGTTAAGGAACTAAGATTAAGAAACTGACAAGAAAAATTAACTGAAACCTTAAACTTGTTCATGCTAAACAATAAACTTGATTATTTGTTAATGTTAACATGAACGGGTTGGTGGCAGCGAAGAGGCAATCACAGTGGTGGCACAGGGATCAATAGACCGTCAAACGTCCGGGGACCCTGTGTGATCGCCACAAAAGGCAAGAAAGAAGGCAACATTTTCAAATAGATGCAGTCATCCAAATAGAGTAGGCTGATCTGTTGATCCAGCAAAGATCTGGAACTCACTGAAGGTTTATAAATGTGGCTGCCCAGACAGAGTGCTTAGCTCCTTGCCTGGGTAATTTTTCACATGTTGACTCTGGAAGTTTTAGGAGTACCTTGACTCTGTCACAAGTTCTGAAACGGAGTTGTTGGAATCTGAGGAAGGGGGCTGCAAATATGGTTGCAAGGGTTGTCCAGCAGCTCTTGTGGCACAAGGGCTTCTGGTTGGAGGGGGTCCTTCTTTGGGGTTTGAGCAGAAGGGAATTTTCTTGCCATCTGTTTCATCTGTGGAGTTCCCACTATGTTTCCAGATTGTGGGAGTTTGACTCCAAGGTAATGTAACGCAATTGCATCTTCTGGAGAGAAGGTGTCAGGGGCAGGTGTTGGATGGAAATGTAATTCCGTCTGTACAATTGCTTTCTCCTCTGACGCTGCCACAGCTATACCCAGGCCTCATCACAGTACAAAAGGTGCATGTACAAAAGGTGTACAGTGATCTACTCAACACCATGGTTATGACTGAAGGTTCATAGGAAGGAAAAAAAACCAAATTCAGTCTAGCAAATTCCCAGGACATTTGTTAAAGACATGTAATGATGTGACTAATGAAAATGATAAATAAAATATAAGCATAGTTAAAGCATTAAAAACATTTTAAAACACCAACAAGCATAACATAATGAGCTTCAAGATAAACAAATAAATGCTACCGTTATAGTTAACCTCCAGTTGTCTTTTCAACCTTAGGGGGCCACTCTCTTGCTCTTCTCAGGAGCTTAATACTGCAAAAGTATGAACCACAGCACTGTGGTTATGTGTTCCTATGTAATAAATGGAATGTAAGAATCTTATGACCTCACAGCAACTGTTTTCTGGAGTGTGGCAACATCCACAATTTTATCACCCTCAGACATGGCTTTTTTAAGACTCGCAGAGGCCCAGGAGTAGAATTTCATTTGTGGGGCCCGTGCTCTTAACTGTACTCTATGTCAATGTAATTTCTCTTCCTCAACAGTTTGAAAATGATTTTATGATTTTTTAAAAAGCTGTAGTTTATTTCAGAAGCGGCAAGTTAGGGAAAAAACACACAAACAAAATTCAAACACACACATGGCTCTCTGCAGGGGATAAACAGTTCCTTCCAGATTTCCAGATTGCATTTTTTACTTATACCCCACCTATCTGACTGGGTTTCCCCAACCGCTCTGGGCAGCTTCCATTATATATAAAAAGGTAATAAATGCAGGTGGGTAATAATGCAGATGGAGTCCAGAGAGAAAAGAAACTGATAACACTTTACTGAGGGAAACTTGACGAAAACAGTATATAGTACAAGGAGAAATAAACAGAGACATCTTCTTGTTCTGAATTCAAACTTTGTTCATAACAGGAAGACATATAACTTCTAATACAGGAGGGAAACTAGATCAGAAATACACGATCAATTAGAGCATGCAGTACCTCAATAAGCATCATGCCACCCAACCTGGTTGCTAAGCAGCACCTCCAAACACCTCCCTCTTGCCTAGTTGGCTTACTGAGAACAGAATTAATCCTTAGATTACAAAGTGAATGACCCCTGTTGTTACATTTCTAACATGGAGAAGGTTAAAGCAGGGAAAGTATTGAGGGTTTCAGCAGTGAGTGGAAAGATGCTGTCTGCGCACCAGAGGCTTCACTGACAGGTTTTTAAAATAGTTCTGCTGTAATTATATTAGAATAGAAGTTGTTTCAAATCCAGTTCTATTGTTTCCTGGTTACTCTTTGATCCAAATCTCATGCCCATTGTCCCATATATGTATCCTGGTTCTGGTCCAAGTGTAAACAAAGGTTATAGACTCTTGCAATTATGCCTTTATGCAAGATAAACAGAATTTCCCATTTGTTCTCCAATTTTGTATTAGTACCACTCCAGCCCATTCCCACAAAGTGGTTTAAAGGGACATAACTTATAGACAGACTTGCAGGAATATGGGATATTATATACTGAGAGCACAGGGAAGCAACATTTGCTTCTTTGAAAAGTCAGACAACTTTCTCCCTTCTTCATTCCTTACTGATTAAAGCAAATACTTTCAAAGGGCAACACTTCAAAAACCAGCTCATTGCAAAAGGAATTGTCTTTTTTAGACTAAATACATTTCAAAGGAAGTAGAAAATAGGTTTAACTTGGTAATAATTGTAATGATAAAGTGAGAATGGGGTAAATATGCTTTCTTAATACATATATTTTACATGTTCTCTAGAGTAGGAGTGTGGCACCTATGGCCCTCCAGATGTTGGGTAACAACTCCTATAATCCCTGACCATTGGCTGTGCTGACTGGGGCTGATGGGAGTTGGGAGTCCGACAACTTCTGGAATGCTACAGGCTACTCATTCTTGCCCTAGAGCAGTGGTTCTCAGAGGGTGTGGCAGGAGAGGATAGCAAGTGTGGCAGGAAAATTAAGGACAAGCAAAGAAGCATTTAAACATTCCAGTGTAGTATAGTATAGCATCCACACCTCTCTTCAAGAGCATTGGCTGTTCTTATACAGTTCTCCACAACATATTGTTGTGAACAGGGTTTTTTCAACTCTGACAAATATGACAGATCACAAAAGAGAAAGGCTTATTTGTGTTGATGAGAGTTTGTTTCAAACTAGACCTAATATAAATCAGATTACCTAGAAAAAGCAAACCCACACCTTTCATTGAGTCTGTATACATGCTTAACGTACATATGTAAGGGGCTTGTTTAAAAATACATTTTGGCAATGAATGATTCGTGTTCTTATGTAGCTGCATTGTTTTAAACTTTCTGGATGCCCCACGGTCATATTATAAAGTAGTTGTGTTCTACTGTATGTTATAAATCGTATTACTGCTGGGAGTTGTTTCTTTTTGTTTTCCAAAGTATTTATTGATAAAACATTCAGTGTGCTGAAAGCAATTTTTTTTTCTGAAAGTGGCCCAGAGGAAGAAGTTTGAGAACCACTGCCCCACCAACAATCCTTACTAGCTGGAGCTTATTTTCAATTTATATTTTATTGACCTTTAAGCTGCACTTTTACATTAACATCTCTGTACAGAGCTCTTATCTGGGTCATCTGCAGACCGTCTGCCTCTGTATTCAAGATTCACTTCCTTTCTTCCAGATGCTTGTTGATGAACCACCTTGAGAAGCAACCAACTCACTTATGCCCCAGCAAGGCTCATGTACTCTTACACCTCTACTTTCCTCTGTCCTTTCCTCACTTTCCTTATTCTCTATCATATGACAAGGCACAAATGGCTAAGGACCAGGAAGACTCCTAGGTGAGGAATCGGAATAGGAGCCTAGAGAATTATTAGAATTAAGGAAGAATCTAAAGTATCTGTAATACATTTATTCTGGAGCTAGTATTCCCACGTGTAGAATATTTTTGCAATATACCTCTACATATAATCCTTTCTATCTTGTGTTTGAGGCCCAGGTCACAGCCTTTCCTGTATTCATTGGAGCACTCTCAGTTCCTTCATCCAAGAAAGCTCTCTCAAGATATGTCTGGATGGGCTTGTTGCCAACCTCTCCTTTTGTTGTATATCCAACAAAAAGATACACAAAAGGGTTTCCACTGCTGTCTATGGAATCAAGAAAATGTAAGATTAAAAAGAGCACTGGTACATGTATGGTTGGAACCCAACGTGCCATGATATCAATGATCCTCACGGAAGCAGCAAACAGAATAAAGAGGAGAACTGTGGCCACAATGGTGATGTCCAGCTTTGCCGGAGGCGTTTGCTCTGTCCTCAGCATTCTGATCAGAAGGATCAAAGTGGAAAAGACCATGATGGGAAGACAAACCAGGAGGTTGAATATCACTCTGAACATTCTTGAAGGCTCACAACTTGCATTCTTTTCGTTGACCGTGGACTCAAATTGTAGATAGCAGGCACAATACAACACCAGTGACATTAGGCCGGACAGACCCCATAAAACGGTGCACATAATTTCAGAGAGATACTTTGGCCGTCTAGCTTGATACCAAACTGGGAAAAAGACCATGAGGTATCTTTCAGCTGCGATAGCTGTAAGCAGATAGGTGCTGGCATTGAATCCAAATGAATGCACCAACTCTACTATATGTAAATGGTATATGCTGATCGGAACAGATTTCAAAAACAAAACGAAAGCTGTTACATAGTAGGAGAGTACAGTAAGATCAGCAACTGCCATATTCAGGAAATACACAGTGAAGTTAGTTTTCTGAATCCTGTTCCAAAGAAGCCAGAAGACAATTCCATTGCCAAGTAATCCTAAAGCACAAATTGGAATAGTTATTATCATAATTGTTCTTTGCATGGCGTAGCCAGTATCCAGTTGTCCTGCGGGGTTTTTGACTCCACCAATAGTGTGGAAAGACAAGGAGTATGACTCTGCCATCTTGGGACTGTTAATGTATGAAGCAATTCTCTTCAACCTGCCAAAAATCAAACACAAATTGTCATTATTATGGTGTTGTGAAGTAGTGATAGAGGTAGGAAACCGTCAAGGCAAGAATGTTTGTATTACAATATTCCACTTGCCACTTTGGAATTTTCTCCCATGGCTTTCTTCTACATACTGGACTTTGTGTCTTTCTTTAAAGAGCACGGGCCTACAAAAACTGGTATGGCCTTTCATCAGTTTCTGCAGTAAAACCTTAGTATGCATAACTCATCCAAATGAAACAGCCTTGCACAACATGGTGACCTCCAAACATTTTGACTGCAACTTCCATCATCCCTGTCCACTGGCATGCTGGATGGGGCTCATGGAAGTTGTAATAAGGTGCACAGTCTGGGAGTCATTTTGGACTCACAGCAGTCCATAGAGGCGCAGGTCAATTCTGTGTCCAGGGCAGCTGTCTACTAGCTCCATCAGGTATGCAGGCTGAGACCCTACCTGCCCATGGACTGTCTTGCCAGAGTGGTGCAAGCTCTAGTTATCTCCCACTAGGACTACTGCAATGCACTCTACATGGGCCTGCCTTTGAAGGTGACCCGGAAACTATAACTAATCCAGAATGCGGCAGCCAGACTGGTGACGCAGAGCAGCCGTCGAGACCACATAACACCGGTCTTGAAAGACCTTACATTGGCTCCCAGTACGTTTCCGAGCACATTTAAAAGTGTTGGTGTTGACCTGTAAAGCCCTAAACAGCCTCGGTCCAGTATACCTGAAGGAGCGTATCCACCCCCATCGTTCAGCCCAGACACTGAGGTCCAGCTCCAAGGGCCTTCTGGCGGTTCCCTCCCTGCGAGAAGTGAGGTTGCAGGGAACCAGGCAGAGGGCCTTCTATGTAGTGGCACCTGCCCTGTGGAACGCCCTCCCATCAGATGTCAAGAAAATAAACAACTTTCTGACTTTTAGAAGACATCTGCAGGCAGCCCTGTTTAAGGAAGTTTTGAATGTCTGATGCTTTATTGTATTTTTAATATTTTGTTGGAAGCCACCCAAAGTGGCTGTGGAAACCCAGCCAGATGGGCAGGGTGAAAATATATCATCATCATCATCATCATCATCATCAAAAATAGCAGGTGGGCATCAGGCTGAGGAAGGTTGTCATTGATTATTATTTCCCGCAGGTGCCCCTGTTTAAAATATAACATAGCTAATTTTCTCACTGCAGATGGCGTCTGCTATTGTGAAGTAAATTGTTGCATGGACAATTATTAAGAACATAAAATAGTCACAACACCAGCACATTTTGCCTATATAGCCCTACTGCATGGAAATATTTGATACCAAATGTTGGAAAACAATGAAATAGGTGTAATTATCTTAGCCTAAGTTTATCAGTTTCACACTAACCTGATTTCACCTAAATACTAGCATCCTGCAATAAATAGCTGCAATAAAATACAATAATCTTACTTGGTAACTAGACTAGGCAACTATATTAGAATCATAGAGTTGGAAGAGACCACAAGGGCCATCGAGTTAGCATGTACCAAATTTGGAATTCAGTTTTTATGTAATAAAATTATTGTGAAAGAAGAAATGAGTTAATGGGAATATCAAAATATAATACTGCTTTGGTTCAACATGCAGCCCGAGGGGCTCATGTGAACCTCAATGTCTTTTTTTGGCAGCCCAGATTTTAAGGGATCAAGGAGGACTATGGGAAGGGAGGGAGAGAGAACTGGCAAAAACCAACTCTTTCTCCTATCCTGTGAGAAAAGAAGAGAGGGAATTCATGGTAATTTGGGATCCAAGCAACTGTTTTTGTCTGAGCTATGACAGAATATGTTTTTCAAGCGATTATTTCAGGGCATTTTGGAATGCTTCATGACTTGGGAATAGGTATTTACTACTTGTCCATCACTTTACATGAAAGCAGTTATCCTTCTCTCTTGAAAACATGAATGGTATGCCATATTTTCCCACCAGACAGCTAAAAGATACTTCCCATGCCATCCTTGAATCCTCATGAACCCTTCTTTTTGTGTATCAGGGTTGTATTTGGCAGGAGGCAACATTCCTCCAAAGGACCCAGTGTCTTGGTTTCCGCAGCCTAACTTTTAAATCCTCTGTTAATTTTGCTTATATTTATGATTTGGGAACATGGGCACGCTACTCTTTGCTTAATGGCGAATGGGAAATGAGCAACTGTTTTACTATGAATGTCAGCAGGGCACCCCAGGACAACCCTTACTCAGGATAAAAACAGGAGAAGAATGAGAGAAGGGATTGTGACACCCTCAGCTCTAAGACTTCAGCTCTATGTCTGACTTTCCAGAAGGCATATCTTTCTGAGTGGTCATGGTTTTATCTTCTCCTGGACCAGACATACCTCTTGGACTAAGGGCAAGACCAGTAGACTGAAGCAACTCCATCCCAGTGAAACAAAAGTCTGGGCAAAGTCTCTAGCTATTGTGAAGTAATAGATGATTGAACTGACGGGCCCGCTCATATTTGACTGTTAAGACTGGTGGTCTAGAAATCTGTGCGCCAGACTAGAAATGTGCCTTCTAAAGTATTTATCTCCCTATGCCAGTGAACTGGAATGACTGCTCCCCGCTTAAAACGGGGGGCGCCCTTTGCGTGGACGTGCGCAGCCCCTGGATCTGGAGTGGCTCCATCAGCATAGGCTTGGCTTTGCCTTCCCTCAGGTGGGATACCTGGAGGTCTCCGCCTACCTCAGTCAGTTGTCCAATCCCACCTGGGGGAAGCGTTGCCAAGGAGACCAGGCCAGGTAGGGGAGGGATTACCTGCCCACACAATAGAGGGAGGATCTTACCTGGGAATCCTCACTTGGCTCCAGAGCTTCTCCCACCCTACCCACCCTCAGTTAATGTCTTATTTTGCAGGTTAACTTTTCTTCACAGGTTTTGCAGGTTAACTTTTCTTCACAGGTATGCGGGTGCTGCTACGTTAAGGTCGCTGTTAAAGGGCCGGAAAGGAATTTCCCTGCATTGGCAGGTTTCGCCTTTCCTGTAGCAAAACGTCACAACTTTGGCGGTATCAGCTTCCTCTTTGTGGCGGCGATACCAGGTTCCCTGTTAAAGGGGTTTCTGAAGGGAGGCTTTGACCGTACGCCGAAAGGTCGTCATTGCTCTCCCCTGCGGCAGCAGCGTAAAAGGGGGCGGCTATCTCTGCTTGAACATATGTTCTCCAGAGCCGGCACATTCCCCCCCCCCACACACACTGGATAACCCTGATGCTCCCTAGGTCCCCGGCTGGGGACTGGGGAGGGAGAACGCAAAATGCCTGAGCCAAGGTCTACCCACATTTGAAATTTAATAAAGTTGTAGCCAATTTAATCCCATAGCACGTTGTCTTGAGTCGTTATTCCACATGACGGGGGGGACCGCTCGGGATCTAGGGACTCTGCCTGTCCACGCAAATAAATTTTAACCTTATTTCTGTAGAGAAGGCTTTAGAGGCAAGTGACTGATGGAAATAAGACATCGTCGCTTTACCTTTGTTTCCCTCATCCGTCCATTTCCACTCAAGGTACAGCAGTGATCTGTTTGACACTGTGCTCCTTAAAAATGCTCCTCTATGATGCCTTTTAAACAGACGCATGTGAGTAATGAAACTCTTGGCCTTTCTTTTAATAAAATTAGTAAGAGCAGTCGCAAGACAGAAATCTGAATACTACCGTGATCACTCTCCAGTTTTCTTTTCAACTTCCTGTGTTCCTGCTTCTGTCCTTCATAAAACTGTACTGCTGCAATTTTATGGCCCACCTCAGTATGATGATGGGCGCCCTATGTAACAAACAACATGAGATTTTAATGACCTCACAAAAACTGTCAGCTGCAGTATTGTGAAGATCACAATATCATTACACTGGATCCAGCTTCCTACTCCCGTTTCAGATGGAGACTTTCTTGATCAGCCTGGTAGATGATGATTAAGATAATTATAGATAACCTGCTCTTGGGCAAAGATGGAGATACATCCCCCCTGGTCCTCTCATCAACTTTGATCCCATCAGCATAGTTTCTTCTAGCAATCTCATTGTGGTTCTGCTGGTGGGAAGATACTTGAAAGTGGTGATAATAATTTTAATAATAAGTGGTTTCCAAAGCCACTCTGGGCGGCTTCCAACAAAATATTAAAAATATGGTACTATGCTACTGCTTTCCATGCTAGAACTCTCGTATGTGGCTTTATAAAGTTACAACCAGGGCTTTTTCTCAGTCAAAAGTCACTGGAACTCATTTCAGGCACCTCTCAGGTGGGTACCATTGCCATTATAAGAGAACAAGGGAGGCATTCATTGTGAGTCCTGGAACCTTTTTTTCTAGAAAAATAGCACTGGTTACAACTCTTAATATCTTCAACTGTTAATGCTTCTTAATATCTCTTTGATAATAATAAATAATGATAATATGAAGCCACAGGGTGGTGATTTCTAGCACCACATAATCAGCGGTACCCCTTTCTAAAGACAAAGGAACTGGGTCACTGTTTTGTATGCTTTGGAAATCTCTTGAAATGACTACGAGGACAGTATTCAATTAAGAAAAATGCATTGAGTGGACACCTTCAGCTTGCACACAGGGACTTTCCTCTATATTTTCTACCATCTGTGTTCTGCAGTGTTCACAAATCCGATCCTGAAAGTTGGGGGGCGGGGACACCAGAACAAACTCAAGGTTTATAGGGGGAGAATGTTCAATTGTGCAGAGAGAGAAAAAACTTGCACTGGCAGAATGTTTGCCTTAGCACTAGGTTGAATACAACCTCTAGAATGCACCCTGTGTGTAATTGCCTTTTAGGACAGCTCAGAAATGTCATTTTGTTCTGAATGTAGCAGCCTGGCTTTACTATTTATTGTACTAGCTGTAAAATATCCTCTTTACACTGATTTTGTATTTACTTTGTTGGTCACCAATGTATTTCTAGGCCAAATACAATTCATTTTAACTTCCAGTGCCCCAAATGATCTCATACTAGATATAGACTAGAATACAATCTCTTCCCTGAACTCTTTGAGTTGGGATCTGCTTGAGAGCTGTTATTTCAACTACCGCTTCCACCTGGTGCATGATTAACAACTACCTGAAATACAGCTGTGGGTGTATTTTTTTCTGGTGGCACCTGTATACAGTGGTACCTCGGGTTAAGAACTTAATTCGTTCTTGAGTTCTGTTCTTAACCTGAAACTGTTCTTAACCTGAGGTACCACTTTAGCTAATGGGGCCTCCGCTGCCGCCACATGATTTCTGTTCTCATCCTGAGGCATAGCTGTCAACTTACAGATTTGAAAATAAGGGACCAGCAGCCTTGAAAATAAGGGACCAGCAGCCAAAATAAGGGACCTGCAGCCTCACCTGTTCCAGGCACTCCAGTCTTCCTGTCCTCCTGCAGTCTGGTCAAACTCATGCTGGTAGCTTCGAGAACACTGTCCAACCAACTTTGTAACCAGAGGTTCAACTGAACAGAATCTGAATCACATGCACCACAAGGCATATGCAGCCTCAACTTAAGATGACTCCCCGGCCTGGCTTTGCACTGCAAAGTTTGCAGCAGCACGTGCAACAAAATGGCATCCAGCATTTAAAAAACCCCTCAGCTTGCATTAACTAGCCACACACATGGCATGCAAGCTCCACCCCCCAGTTGTTCTTAGACTTCTTATTGGGTGAGCAACACAGTTGGAGCCTCCCTCCTCCCTGGCTGGCAGGGAGGGAGGGAGAGGAGCTGCTTCCTTTGAAATTTAAGGGACATCATTTAAGGGACATTTAAGGGACATCCATCAATAAGGGACAGCAGCGGGACATGGCACTGGAATAAGGGACTGTCCCTTCAAATAAGGGACACTTGACAGCTATGACCTGAGGTACTATTTCTGGGTTAGCAGAAGCATCTGTAACCTGAAGCATCTGTAACCCGAGGTACCGCTGTAGCACTGTAGAATTTGCTCCCTAAGAAAAGTTGTCGGTCGTGCTCTACTGTGAGGAAACAGGTTCAGAATGTTAAGAGGTCTGCGCTCTGCCAACTGTTCTTATTGCTTTTGTTCAATATAGATTGACTCTAGACTTAGTCATGCTTCAAGAAGATGCAATGAAATCAATCGGACCAGTTACTCATGACAAACCTAAGTCTCATTGATTTCTTTGGGCAAGATTCAAAAAATACTTGCAGTAGTGCGAGTCAGCACAACTGGTCCTCTCCTCATGCCCCTCTGCTCTCTCTGAATCAGCTCTTTTGGGGGGAAGGGTCAGGAGAACCCCTAGAATAGCACACAGGCAGAGGAAATGGTAGATGGTTCCACTGGAAAGCAGAAATGCTTGTGCTGTTGTAACGATCATATTAATGCGACATTAAATTTCATATGACTCTAAGCTTGATGGAGTATGTTTCCAGTCATGTGAAAACAGCATGCTGCTGAGATATTGGTCTGTATTTATATTCCATACCTTGTTTTTAATCAACTGTTTTATTGGAAGCTTTGATTGATGGAGGAATTTAGGACTGAGGAGAGCCTACCATCTCCAGAGTGGAAGGAGGGCTCTGGCATGAAATTTAAAGGCAGGTCTTGGTCATACTGTCATATGTAAATTGCCAAATTAAGTCAGAGTGAAGTCAGAAATGGAACAGATCTCTGTTGGGTTGGAAATCCTTTATTGAACACTGGCACAATAAGGTGCATTCATCAACAGACTGTTGTAAATATGCTCATATGTAACACATACATTTGTAATAAGATTGGTTTAGATGTATGTTTAATGTATATAATGAAATACGAATTTTAAAAATAACTTCAGTCACATTACTCTAACAGCTTCTAGAGCAGAAATAGGGAACCTGGGGCCTCCCAAAGGCTGTTGGATTCCAACACTCATCAGCCCCCAGCCCACATGGGCAGTGTTCAGTGAACGTGTGTTTGTTGTGTCACCACCACTTCTGTCTCATCCTTCCAGGATCGATGAAACACAGCAGAGAATGTCTCCCGAGACCTTTGCTGTTTTCGTCTTCCAACAAGGAAGTACACAAAAGGATTAATACTGCCGTTGATTACACTGAGAATGCAAGAAATATTAAAGAAAGCCCCGTTTAGTTTTTTTCCTGGATGCCAGTATACGACAAAGGCTGAGATCCTGAGTGGCAATGCAAAGATGAGGAAGAGGACAACTGTGATAACAATGGTAAGGGAAAGCCGTGCTGAAGATCTTCGCCATACTTTGACCAACAGGCTCAGACTGCACAGGACTATTATTGGAATAAAAATCACAAAAATTGTGAGAAGGAATAGATTTGCTATGGCATGCTTTCTGTAACATGGTTCTTCACATGAAAAATAAGCTCCCCAGCAGGTGAAATATTCTACACCAGTCACCACACAGGAGAAGATCCATAGAAGAGCACATAATATGGCCGAGAGATGTTCTGGCCGATTACTATGGTACCAGAATGGAAAAAAAGCACCAAGACACCTCTCGATGCTAATGACTGTTAATAGGAAAAAACTGGTGTTGTAGCCAAAAAGAGCCAAGATATCAATTACAGGATATATGTAGTTCTCAAAAGTGAGTTCCCCCCATATAAACACACTGAAAACAATGTATATCATGTAAGAGATGAGTACTGTGAAATCTGCAATAGCCAGGTTCAGTATATATACGGTGTATGTATTCCGTTTGATTCCACAACAGAGAAACCGGAAAATGGCTCCGTTGCCAATTAGTCCCAAAATGAGGACAGGCATGGAAGCAAAGGTCACAATGGTGATGATGACTTCATCTCTGGCAGTGTCACTTCGTGTCTCATTAGCAGTATGATTAGAAAAGGACCTTGTCTCTGTAATCAGAGTGCTGTTGCACCCAGGTCCTGCTTGCGTTGGCATCTGGCTGGGCACTGTGAGAACACAATACCGAATTAAATGAGCCTTTGGCTTGGTTCTTATCAGGACACTTCCCAAATGTTCAAGAATGCTGTCTTCCCTGTGAAAAAAATAATAACTCCATTATTAGGTTGCTCAGTATTAGATCTGCAGATGGGCATTTCCAAGTGTTCATATTAAGCAAAGAAAAGGCACATGGGGATAGTATACAGAGTCCCTAAAGGTACGGAAGACAAAATTCCTCATAGATATAAGGCCAATTTAAGAGGCTTCACAAATGCTGCTTTGAAAGGAAGAGCCCATGACTCTGAGGAAGTGGTAGAACATATGTTTTACCTGCAAAACGTCTCAGGTTCAGTTATTGGCACCTCCAGGCAGAGCTGGGGAAAGGAGTATGGCAACCCTCACAATATTTTACTTTAGTTCACTATGCAGAAGATAAATGAGGTGTATTTTTGGAATACAAAGGAAATGTCTGGCTTATCAACAATGAGTGGTGGGGGGACAATATATTGAGAAAATTTAAAAATGAACCAGTGCCAGCCCGTGTCATTTGCTTGGTACAGAACACAAATGGTCCCAAACCACTCTCTGCCAGGACCAACACTTTAGCAAGCATTGTTGCACCATTCAGACTGGAATGCCTGACTCCATCTGCCTACTTTTATGGTGCCCTGAAACAGCTTGCTTCACCCTGCTGTATGGCAAGTCCAGCCCTGGAAACAGGTCTATTTAAGGTGAAGTGGGAGAGTCATCAAGCAGGAATGAGGCAAAATTTTACAAAGAACATTTTACAAAGAAGGCCTTCCAGATGTTGCAGGACTATAACTCCCATCATCATAACCACTGGTCACTCTAGCTCGGGCCATAAGTTGGCCAACCCTGGACTTTAAAAGAATGAAACCTTATAAACAAAGATAAGATTGCTTGCACCAAATATGGATTTCACCGCTGCTGACCTTCATGTTGGTTTCACGAGTATGAAAATCTATGATATCTTTTTGGGAAGTGGTTTGTCTGTCTTCCAGTTCCGTCATGGTTCAGCCTCCTTTTGCAATATCATTGTCAAACTTGGCACAAGAGTTCCTAAGGTGGGGGCAGTAGTCTTTGTTGACATTTGGAAATTGAGTGCCATTTTGAATCAAGATGGGGGGTTGAAACGTGACTTTGGTGTGACCTCACCCATTTTTTAGCATAGGTTGGGCCACCTCTCAAGATTACCATCAACTATCTTGGCATGCGGTTTCCTGTGGTGAGTACTGCAGTATTTGTTGATGTTTGGATGCCGGAAGCCATTTTAAATCAAGGTGGTGAACCACAATGTGACTTTGGCATGACGTCATCCAATTTTTGGCATGACGGGTCCAAGCTCATACTCACAATCTGGGCAAACCCAGGGAAATCCTGATCTGGCTCCAACTAAATTTGGGGGCAGGGCTAATGTTTGATTGGGGTTTTGAAACCCTAATTGTGAGGAGGACGGGGGGAAAGGAGACAATGCATTTCCCCTCCCTACTGACAGTTGCACTGTAGAGACCAGGAACTCAACAGCTGCTGAGTGCAATTCAGTGAAGAGTTCAACCCTCTTGGGGAACACCTTTGTGAAGTAGCACCCAGTTTGTTCCCTGCAGCATCTGGCTGGCAACTCTGAGAACAGGAAGCTGGCCCAGTTTGATTCAGCAGGGCTCTTCTTATGTTCTTACTTTCTAGAAATACAAAATACGTTATGTGCCACACGAAGTGATTCGTCTCCCCTCCCCCTGTAGTGGCCTTCCCCTCCCAATGGAAAACATATGTGTAGCTGGTATTTAAACCAAAGAAGGAAACAATTTTTTCAGCTGCTAATTCCGTGACTGATTACAAAACCTTATCTGAGAAATACTGCTCTATTCAATGTGAGAAATCTGTGACCCTGATCTGAACTCCAGAACTCCATGATTCCATGGGGATTCTCCCAGTCTCCTCTGTCTGCAAGGCACTTCTAGCAGAAGACTGATCTCTAAATTTGGGGTGACATTGGGAATTCAACAGAGGCAGCTAGGATTTTGCAGAGAGAGAGAGAGAGAGAGAGAGAGAGAGAGAGAGCGTGAGCGCTAGTATGAATCCTTTAGGGAGCATACCCAATATGGTCCTGAAACAGACAGACAAACACACACACACACACACACACACACACAGCTGGCCTTATTTCTTTGTGTGGAAAGAACAATATTCATAAGGGTCTCCTTCGTGTTCCCAAATTGAGGCTGCAAGTAATGCTACCCCTAACAGTACATTATCCATTATATCCACCCAACTTTCCTGAGAAGTTCCAGGAGTGCAGTCCTTACCAGGTTTGGATCGCCTTTGGAAGAAGGTCACTGGAGGCTAACTGATGTTTTGGAGTAACTACCTTTCTTTACAGATATACAAGTTAAGCAAAGGTGGAGGCCTAAGGGACATTACTCCAAGATGTTTACAGAGCCCAACCTCAGATCTTATTGTCTTCCTCAGATTATTATGAATTTGAAAAACTTTTCTGAAAACTATTTTCTGATGGGGTGTATGTGTCATAGCTCCATCTGCTGATCCCAATTCTAAATTAAGCTAAAGGCAGCTCCTCCAGCCTCCAGGACAACCAGCCTCATATAACCAACATGCTTAAGTCTAAGTAATGCTTGAAGGGGTTGAGACCATAGAATTAGCTGTCCTGCAAAGCTTAGCTCACCTTGAAAGGAATGAGATAACCAATCCTTTGTTCCCCTTCAGTCTACATAAGAAGTTCAGCATGTGAAGAGGCTAAGCTGGTTGCTCCTGCTTTGCCGTATTGATCTCACAAACAATTTTCCAGTTCCTTTGCTAATCATTTAGGAACTTTCATCACTTTGGAACTAAATGGAGTTTTATTACCTCTCTGACTGATGTATGGAAAAACACAGGAACCTGACCTTTGGAGAGTTTCTAAGTAAACCATTTTTAACTTACTAAACATGCGGTCTTTTCCTATGCTAGGGGAAGAGGGGACTATTTTGGAACTCGCTTGGGAAGATATATTTAAAGGTCTAACAGTCTATACTTCCATGCTTTGCTTTGCTCTGTTTTCTATCTCTACTGAGGTTCTCTCACCAGAGTACTTGCTTCAGACTTGGTTCTTGGCATCCAGGGAATTCTCCCTTTATATATATTTCTTTTCCCTTGCACCAACACACATATACTTTCTTTTTTCCTTTGTTTAATAATATGCTTTTGTGCCAATTCTCTCTCCCCCCCCCCATTGTGCACAAGAACGAAAGTAGAACTGGCTGGATCAGGCCAGTGGCCCATCTAGTCCAGCATCCTGTTCTCTCAGTGGCTCGGGAAAGCAGGATTTGAACACAAGAGAACTATCCGCTCCTGTGGTTTGAAGCAGCTATGATTCTTGCACAAACAGCTATATCCATTGAGGGCCTCCCAATTCCTGTGCAACATCCTTTTCTCCCTTCCCTTCCTTTCTTGACTGCATTTTCTGTTTTGTTCTGCTGCTAGTTTTTTATTGGATTCTATAACACAACAGAACACACAAATTCTGAAGCATCTTAATGGTGTTATGAATGTGTGGGTGCCAGACGCCCAAAGTACCTAGGTCCAGTAGGTGTTAGAATTTAATTAGGGCTTGGGATGTTAAAACTGGAATATAGCCAGTATTAGGCAGTGTGCTATTGACACGTCTAATCCTTTAAGTAAGTCAAATGTCAAAAGCTAAGCCAGGCTAACTTCCTTATGAGGTGATAACGGGGGTGTGTGTGTGTGTGTGTGAATGAGCCATTAAGAGGAAAAAGAATCAAAGGGTCTTGCTGTGAGAGCGTAAATTGTTGGGCTCCCTCTCTCTATTCAGAGTTAAACGATAAAGCCAAAGCTTGGCAAGGTTAGGGTTAGGGTTAGAAGCAATATGGTTTAGAGAAGGGAGCTGGGAGTTATAGGACCACATAAAATCCTATTTTAGGTCGCGCCTATGGAAGGAAGACTCTCTTGGAGTGCTGATGCTGCGAACCTCTCCATTGTAGACTCAGGTTGTATATATGTGTGAGTAAACCATCTATCCTAAAGACACCACAGTCTCCGCTGTGGCTCATTCCTAAAAGGAAACATGAACTTTGGGTAAAGCACCAGGAACCCCCTGGAATCTTGTACCACTTGGAGATTGGGGGTGGCGTGAAGAGAAGCTGCCTCCTCACAAAGCAAGGCTTCACGATGGCCAGAAACCCCACACTTCTGCTGTGCCCATTGCTATGCATACCCACCAAATACTTAGTCACGGAATTCGAGCCATGGTCCCAAGCACACTTACCTGGTAGTAAGCCCCATTGGACTTAGTGGAGC